TCGAAACTTTTTACGCTCAGCGAAAAATCGGTGGAGTAAGCAGCCATACCTGGCGACATCAAGAGAAGATGTAATAGAGAAGCCCATACGATTCTGGCGTGCTGTTTCACTAACTCACTGGTCTCACGGGTGTGTACCCGTCATTTCTTTCAATTTTGGCTCATTTTCCCAAACCGAAACTATCCGTCACGCTCGATAGAATGTCATTTCTTCGTTTCCACATGTCATTTCTTCGTTTCCACACCCGGTCAATCCCCCCCTCCCCGCCACACTGGTCCTAGGCCCCCTTGAATAATCTCTTCGACAGCCAATGCAGAAAAAGTGAAGAGCTGGAAAATAAGTCAAATAATGCTCCGCTCTTAGGCTTGGCTAAATCTATCTATAATTTATTAAACGTTGACCAAAACAATAAGCAGTGTTACAAGAGGCTTGTCAGTGAATTATCGGTCTAAAGCCAAATATCCACAAAATAGAGCTGCGCTGAAAATCCTTACAAACTGAGCTGAGTGTCCGGACTATGCCTTTTGAATATATTCATCAAACCTTTCTGAATATTTGTTTATTTTGAATAAATTCTAAAAAAGGATGTATTGATGTTGAGGTCACAAATTATATGTGATGAATTGTCAGCCATTGTTTCGCGGATATTTACCCTAAATAATTTTTACCACAAGGCCGTGAGTTTGCATTTAATTTAATCCGAAGGACTCGTGATATGTTAAAACTAAGTGATCGAAATCATCTTTCAAACAAGCTTGAGGAGATGAGAACCGCGACAATAAAATATTGCGTGACAACTAAAATATTCTTCAACAAGGATCTATCTCATATGAATTTCCTCCATGTCAACTGAATCTGAATGAACATGTATTGTAACGTTTAATATAATATCAAATGCCAAATACCCTGATCATCAGATGTTAAAACCCAAGTGTTCGCTGCAGCTTAACGGTATGATGATGATTGTGCTGTGTGCATGATCTTGATTAAAAGAAATATTAAAGATCAAAGAACCAAGTCTAATTAAGTTATACCAAATTTTCACGCTTTTGAAATGATAATTTTAAAGTAAACGTAATTTATACCATCTTTAAATCACAGCTTTAAGATTTACTTACATGAGAACAAAAAAATCCAAACGGACGGATGCAATAGCAGCTTTAGATTCATCACTGTAATGAGCAGTGCCAAACGCTAAACAACACTTCAATCATTATCAATGATTAACAAAGACGTACCTGACAGTTTTCTCTTGCCGTAGAAGCGATAATTATTCCGTCCAGACGTAGGAAAGTTAATCTGAGTTATTGTCGAGCTGACTGAAATTGTATCAACTTCCCGGTCTCTGATCGTCCAAAGCAACCATTTTTTTCCCTAAAATGACCCCAAATGAATCTCATGCTTTTAACATAACATGCGATGTGTTTGGCTGTACAGCAAATGACCGATTGCGCGTTGAAATCTTAAAATCTATCAAGTGATGTCGACGCAAAACACTTCCGGGATATCCAACTAAACTTTATTTCTGTTGCATACCCCAACCACAGTGCATGCTAGGAAATAATTAAAGGCTAAGCCAATCAGTTGATGATACCCCCACATATTTATAATGGCCTAATTATTACGTTATGAAGAAAACAAACGAGTGTATCATGCCTAATGTAACAAGTATTCGGCAAGAACGCGACGAACTCTCGCGCGATAGAGCTCATAAACTGGATCACTAACACCTAATAGACCGAGTGCCTTTACGCAAGCTATGTTGTTGTTGTTAACAACAGTCCGTTGACTGCTTCACACGAGCTTGTTGACTTAGCGTAGCCGAGTCACGCAATTGCATCAAGCTATTTTGAGGGCCTAGCGACAAACTACTTTACGTACAACAGCATCTTACTCAGCCTGACAGTATTGATTAAGGTAAACCCAAGAGCAAGTCTTATCACTGTCCAGTTTCCTTATACATTCGAAGGAAAAGAAAGAACTGCTACTACGTACTCTATGGCAATTATCATTGTTTGATCGAACTGAGTTATTAAGATGTGATCAGCTGGCACACTTGCGTCTGTCATTCAAAGCTATCAAGGCAATCATAGATTTTGCAATATCTTATTTTCAAATGAGATTTACCCCTTTGTGGAGGGTTTTCCAATACACACAAATAGATTCCATTAAAAAATATAGGTTTTCCATCGGAAAACCGGAAGTCTACCGGTTAAAATTGAAATATACTACCGGAAGCGGTAATGATCAAATATACCGGAGGTCAATGAATTGATGATATGGTTTCTTCCAAAGGTGTTAGATGGATTACGATGGACACGAATAGAACAAGTCTTTTCCATCGGAATAGTCGATTTTCCGATGGTGAGAGACTTTAAAAAAAATTAGCGTTCAGTTGTAGTAATATGCATATATAACTTAGCAAAAAAAGCTCTAGATGCACATGAAAAATGTTGTAGCGTTGCCATCTGCGACCGGTTTTGTGATTGTGTGACACCGAATACAAAGAGATTGCAAATAAATTTTATCCACATTCTCAATGAATATAGTTTTATTCCTAGACATGTTTGCAGCGAAATCTTTTTAGATCCCTATTCGTTCCGTTAAGCAGCGATATTTTTAAAAAATCACAATCCAAACGATCTGAGTACCTGTGAGAGTAGATGAGATCTCTGAACAGTTCAAAGGAAGGACATCAAGGACAGCAACTATTTCAAAAAAATTATTAATAAGTTTCGAGATTTATACCGAATGATAATAGATGTATTGCTTATACAAGCATGTGGTTCTTGGAATGAAGGTACCTCGAAACCAGACTTTTTTTCTGTGTTCAGACAATCAATCATTGGTCTTGATATCATCCCTGGATGAATTATCCAAAATTAGTAGGTTTATTTGTCTTCCTAGATTTTACTTTGTGTTTCTACCGTTCTTTCCATGGAACTTCGTATACGTAATTTCTATGGAACCTCTTAGCATCAATAATTTTTACTCATGTATTATACTTTGTGTCACCGTCCGGTGGTTGTTCTCAATGGAAGATCTCTTGGTACTCGTAGGATTTGATGTAAGAACGAAAATTACATCTGTACAAAATGCTGCCTTGCTTTTTTGTTCGTCTAATAAATGTTATGTTTGTTAAATGCCTTCGTTTTTTATTTTGCCCTTTTTGGTTTGTTTTGATTTGTTTTTGTTCTTGGTTTTGTCATTTGGTTTTTCTTTTTAATTGTAAACAGCTGTAATTAGGGAATTTCGTCCACAACTGAGCTCGATTCTCCTCAGTTTCGGAGGTTGTACTGGTGGGTTGTTTAATTTTTCTTTCTGGATTTTTGGGCAAAGCCGAAGGTGATGGTGTTGAAATCTAAAATAATCAAGTGTCATTAAGATGAAAAATAATTGTTCCCGGATTTCAAAAGAAAAATATTGATAGGTGTAGATTATCGAGTTTGTCATTATACAGAACAAGACAGACACTAATATGCACTACAAGCAACAAGGTTGAAAGTTGATGTTTTTTTCAGATTTATCTGGTATCAAGGAGAAAAAAATGCGACATTGCTGGTTGACTTCGTGCCGGCTAGAGTAGAGTTGAAAGGCGATACCATTGGTTGCCATCGAGCCATGCTAAATGAAATGATCGAGCTTCATGGAACCACAATTGATCCCGTGAGCAAACATCAACCAGGGTTCACTATTAAGGAGGGAATAGATATGGCCGAACAGCTTATATCTAGAAAACTGGTCAGTTCAGGATACGTTGTGGTGTTAAGATAATCATTACTTCATATCTGTGTCCTTTCAGAGGCAGCTGCCCCAGCCAAACTATCTCCAATAACCTATACTGCTCTAGCTTGTTCATATGCTTGCAGAAAACACTCGTACCAAAGGCTTTTAAAAACCAGATGATTGCAAACTGCCAATTTATACCGAGCAAGAGAATCGCTTACTTCGTTTTCTGTGGTGCAAACGTAGAGGCAAATTGTGGGAGATTATTCAGCTTTTAAGGCAGAAAAGGAACAAAATCTGATTTAACAAATTTTGCGAAATTTATATATTCGCAAATTTATATAATACTCTGTCGAGCATTTTCCGCCAGCCAATGTTTGTTTTTGTGTTTATGTTCTTTGATCTCTTATTCTACTCGCTATCTGTGGAAAGAATGGTTAGAATAAGGGAAGGGAGACTACCTGTAGTATACGAATGATCGGCGCGAGACTCGGAGCGCTTCGAAACATTATTCCTGTGACAAAAGTGTGGTCTCCCTACCACTGCACCACAAAGTGAACCTCTCGTGGAATACACTTCTTACCGGTTTAAAGCAATTAACGGCAAAATTTGCCATGTAAAACTTGTGAGCAATAGCTTTGCTTTATGAAAACAACTATCGCCCTCATCATCCACCCACTAACTACATAATCTGACTATTAGGCGTCAATTAGATTATCGCATATCTTTGAAGTAGTTATTGCTGTCGTTCCTTAGTGGCCATGAAGGGTCATTTATGGATCGTTTAACTGAGCTCATTGTCATCACATTTTATCCGCTATTCTCGTCACGAATTGTGAGCAAGGAAACATCCGGTAGTCCTGTAATGGCGTGTGTGGTCCTGGCTACACTCTAGACAGCATAAGCCATGTGATGGCACGCAGCGACCCGCCAGCCACTGCACACATGCTTGCTAACACATCCTTGCTTACACGATTGGCACGAGATTGTTTTAAGTTTTCTAGGGGAAACTGGTGACAAACGACTCTCCGGAAGTACTTCCGGTTAGGTTGTTTTAAGTTCTTTAGAAGGATAATTCTTGATGAATCGTGCGACGATCATGTTAAAATCAAGAGCTACCACTTGGATAAATAATCTTTCCTTACTGAACTTGAAACTAGCTTTAGGTGAAGTTTTAAAACTTTTCCAAATTAATCTGGTTTGTCAATTTTACATCAGGTGTATAGTCAATGCTACAAGACACACAGTCACTGAGACCTCGTGTTCCATTGTGACGTATTAGTATATTCTATCCCAGGAAATGGAGAGTTAGTTTTCCGTAAATATTGGTTTAAAACACTCAATAATTTCTCGAGCTTATCCCACGCAGATACGTTTTCATTGTTACATTGTTTACATGTTTGGCGAGTCTTGGCTTGAGAAAGGTATGAACACCGAGTGTACCAGGAATTTATGTGGTGACGCACTTTGATTGTATCTTAACAGTGATCTTCTGGATACAGACTCATAGTATATTTCGCCATTAAAAACATTTTACTTTGATATTACATTAAAAAAAATACGGAAGTTGTCAAGTTGCCCTGCGTGACTCGCTCTTGATGATACTCGCTGATAAAGTCTATTGGACTGCGCATATCTACGTGCCAAAGACCATACCATAAACGTAGGACACGTAGAATTCAATAAATATACATGTACGGCGTGAAGATAATATTATCAGCAGTGAATATATTACCCTTTATCGCGACAGTACAAGTCATGAAATATACAAATACACATTTGATCAAATAATTGATTGATGAAGTATTAATTATGGTACAATTACTTTCTCCCACATGTTATCCTCTTGAGAAAAAAACATCTCATGGAAGAACAGCTTACAGTTGTTGATGATCCCGTGCTTTGATGCATCTTATCGCCTATATCAAGCTAATTAAATTTTCAAGTGTCAACGTTGCTGTGGCGCAGTTCACTGCTAATAACACTCTGAACTCGTTTAACGAATTGAAGAAATTCAGGTAACTTCGCAACGATATCTTCAGGTTTCCAATTTTCATTCTTTAATTGTTCGTCCCAGTCTTTGCAGTGTAGATGCAGATCGACCTGCAAAAAAAAAAACGTTTTTATCAGTAAATAGCCATAGGTTTACATGCTGAAAATAAATTTTGTCAACAAAACATTGAAAATTGAAACTTTCCTTGATTGGCCAAAATGGACACTACGATTACTCGTGAAAGCGATTATTTATTTCATTACAAGTGTATAAATTGCGTGTGTCTGATTCAATATGCGAGGATGCTAGTCACAATAATGATGACCATCATAATTTTTTGTACCGTTTCTCTTTCCTCTTTTTCCTCTATATCGTAAGATAACGACATCTCCTTAGAAAGGATAACGAAAAATCCAGCTTGTGGTTCGAACACAGTTCGATGAGAACATCGTCTGTGACGTAGAAATATTTCCTTTGACAAAGTCTCATCGGCGGGGAGATTTGTTCCATTTACTTCATCGTCTTCCGTGAACGTAAAAGTTAGCTTGGACAGATATGATAACAGAGCTTGTCTTTCATTTTCGTCAAGATCAGCATAATCGGTAGACACGGCATCATCTAAAAGAAAAACATGATTGTTATGTCTTTGGCCAAGTTAAACAAACAAGGCTAAGAGCATGCATCATCTACTGAAAAGCAATGTTTTATTTAAATCTGAGGTGATCTGCATTTTTTTAATGGTATTTTAAGTTTCGTACGTTGTGGCATTAATTTCGATCAGAAGTTTGAAAAACATTTATGGTTCTTTACATTCATCCAGTACTTTCATTATTTTATCTATTTACTTATTGGTAGATTTATTGGCAAAAATAACCAACTAGCAAACTTGACTCCTTGAGAGTTCAAAGTTACACGGACCGGCAAACTGAAATACAGCGTGAAATGACGAAGTACTCCCAACGGGTACTTTATGTTTCATGGCAGACATAGCTTTTAAAAACGCATTTTACGTTTGATTACCTAAATTTTGGCAGCTTAAATTAGTATTGATCACTGAAAAAAAGAGTGAATGACTTAAATACATAAAGTTACTTAAATAACGTTCACCATTTCGTTTCCGTAAAGTTATTCTGCAATCAAGTTCGCTTCCGGGAAACAAAATGTCAGCCTGTAGAAATCTGCGAGATGGAAGGGCCAGCCATCCTCGACACCTTGAGCGTGTTTTTTCATCTTCGAAATAAATTTCCTCCAATATATTTTTGACGTCGCTAAAGGGGACTGCCTTCTCTTTCACTGCTTTGTCAGAGTCCTTGTTCAGTACCCATATCTGTTATACATAACAGTACTTAAGTAAGTAAGTAAGTAAGTGATGTCTTTATTTAATGAAGGTGACATAAAAACTAATAAACTAACGGCCCAATTACTTCAACTGAAACATTTTTTATATCAGTGGATACAAGATTATCACTAGATTCATCTTAAATTCCGTAATTCATGCTTTGGGTTACCATCTCAAGTGTCATTCCGCAATCATGCAGCCAAACAAATGTGGGTGCTTACATCTAAGGGTTTGAAATAGCTTCGTAAGTTTTGAAACGAGCGTAACTGAACTGAACTATATATAGGCTACTAAAAAGGGGATTTAGTTTTCCGTGAACTATGAATTTAGCCAAACGTACGTAGTTTTGAGAGACCAGTAGGTCCAGAATCTTAAGAATTGGGGTATAAAATCAAGTTTTGAGCCGGTTGAATTTTCCTCCCTGCCATCCTTCTACGTACCTTGCCTCTCAATTCGTGTCCACTGGACACAACGAAGGTCAAGTCATATCTTGCATGATATTCTCTGCGGTATTTCTGACCAAAGTTTTTCTCTAAGACTTGCTGATCAACATTGACACCTTCCTTAAATGCGATTTTCCAGTAATCCTGTCCTTCCTGAGGTTGAAATTTTTTCGTTGCTTCTTCAATACTCCATTGTTCTTCATCTGAAACCTCCGCTGTAATCAATCGAGCGTTTCAAATTCTTACTTCTGCAGGTTTAGCCGGAGTGGATTTCAGATCTTATAGATTAGAACGCCACCAGCGAGTTTTGAGTACATTTTGATCATTATTCTTACCATCATTTAGATAAGTGATCAGCAAAGTTAGGAGATAGCTGCAGTAGATTTGACTTTATGACAATTTCTTAAGGTTTATTACATATTTATTCATGTTGAATGGATAATTTCAAACTGATGAGTCAATACTCGTAAAAAGAGAGAACTGTAATAGTCTTTTGTAACAAATTATACTCAGTAAGTTTACCTTCATCGGGTCCGCGGATCACTACCTTTCCAAAATGACACCACATGTCGGCCATCGACCCCTTTTCCCTTTTAATTCTGAGCAGAGATTCCAAAGCATCTTCTTTTAGTCTCAACTCGTATGCCGTGCTATCACTACAACTTGATTCCTTGATAAGAGAAAACAAAGGAAAACTTTTTACTGATTGTATCTAATAACTAACAACTATTCACCAAAGTGGAGGTGGCTAGTGGGGGATATTTATCTCGCCGCTTCGAGGCTCGATAAATATCTTCTGCCAGCCATCGACACTGTGACTAATTGTTGGTTCTTATATACTTAAACAGTGAGATAAAAATAACTCAAAAAGATGACTATAACTCAACTATTCCGCAATGATTACGACATTTTCGAGCGCAAATTCCGCGTGAGTTGCTCGGCGGTAAAAAGCAAAGGATATCCAGAGTTTGACTAGCGAATCAAAGCGCGTCTTCAACACTATCCACTCATATTGGTATATCCTAATAGTCGTTGGTGGTTCTCCCTTTAACCTGTAACGGGTTTGCACCATTATAACTCATTGCAGATATAACTTATGGCGAATAAGTGCTCTGTTCTTTCAGAGCTGCGCTACGAATTTACCACCTTGGAAAAGTGACAACTGATAGAGATTGATGATTATGGATATGATAGTTTCAAGGTTGGTGCTAGTATGTTAAAGCACACTATAAGAAATATCTGAAAACATCATAACTGAGAAAAGGAACTTAACAACTATATCACAAAACAAATCAAAGACATCATCGTCAATACAGTAAAAATAAAGTAACGAAAACCGCTGAGAACAACGTTGAATTGTCGTCTTCAGAATGAACAAACCTGCAGAGGTTCATATTCCTCAGTCGGTAGCAGTCGATAATGTTCATCCTTTTCCAGAAGACCCAACCAACTATTCTGAGGCTTCAGCATTAACTCAGAGTTTTCTGGAAGATTCCAGCCATCGATGTAGCAACAAACCTTGTTACAAGGCTTTTCAACTCCCCTTAGTCTTGCCCCTGCCTTCACATAAAATAATCAAGGAGTTAAAATATACTTATATTGAGTAAGAGGAATGGTACGTTTTGAGCCCGGTAAAGAAATAGAGAAATATGTTTTTTTTGTCTTGTCATGAGTGTGAGACAAAGTAAAAAATTCTAAGTCCCCATGAGGAATCGAACCTCAGATCTTTCGGATGCCGCACTCCGATACCCTACCATTAAGCCACAGTGACTCTAAAGTGAGCGAGATCCATTACGAAGTTCATATAGAGCACGCGTCCTGCGTGTCTGCTTACCATCTCTCTCAATCTATTTACAAACATGACGCTATCGACATCGCTGATCTCAGTAGTATGCAGGACGCGTGTTATGTATGAACTTCGTACTGAGCCTCGCTCACCGTTGAGTCTCTTAGTGGTAGAGCATCAAAGCGCAGAACCCGAAGATCTGATTTTTTTCTCTTTGTCTCACGCTTGTGACAAGACAAAAAACATCATTCCTAAACTTATACTGCAATCAAAGAAGGTAACTTAAATTTTGGATTGTCATTACAACCAGCAGTGGGATATTGTGACAGTGCAAGGTCCACAACATTTAGTTCTTTTCCCGACATAAATATATTATAACGATTATGGTTAAGGATTGCACTGACCCATCAGTTTTACTAATTATAAAAAATGAGAGCGTCAGCACTGGAAAATGTAGCTTAAGTCTGCGGAAAATTGCCTAACAGGCTTTTCATTCATTTTCTGCACAGACAATGTTTATCCGTGAACCGATCCTCTCCGTGGCCTGTATTGCAGCTATACATCTAAGACCACTCTGAGAACCAATTAGATTGCACATTTCGTGCTGATGAACAGATCCCTTGACTTGCTCACGTAAATTCGTTTCCTGGCAAAGACAAGACGAAAGAATTTCCTTCCATGGAATTTTACCCACGAAATAGTATGATGTTTGTTTATTTTTTAACAGTTGGCAACAAGTAAAAAAAATATACCAAACAATTGTTCCAGAAAACTTTAATGTTAAGTTGTGAGTTCGAATTGATCATGTCGACTGACCTGTAGACCACATTATAAGGTGATACTCACCACTATACTCCAAATACGTAATTTTGTCATATCTCTCTGAGACTTGGTACCAGTCGTTATATAACATTCTCCTTGTATACGAATCATCGTTGCCCCAGTCTGTGTGCTTATTTTTTTGAGGGTATCGCCTCCCACACCAAAGACGATTCCTTTGTACTTATCTGGAATTTTTACCAGTTCACCCGGAGATCCTTCAGTTTTCCTTCTCTTAACTTCTTCCTGTTAAAATCCCACAGAAAACAAAGACCCACGAGATGAAAAACAACTTATGATACAGAGATACCAAAAACTTGTCGAAAATTGTACAACTATTAACGACTCAAGGTCGGCATCCTTGTGCTTCCACTCGTGGTTGTCAAAGACAGTGTAAGGGACTGAAATTTTTATTCGGGAAATATTCTATTTATCTAACAGTCGTGTGATTAAGTAAAAGTAAAAGGATAGCCGAATGGAATTCCAGGTCCATCCCAGAGTTGTTTCCTTCATAGTACGGTGAACATTTACGGAATCATTCCCGTTTTTAAACGGATTTTTTTAATTTGAAACTAAGGGATGGCCTGATGCAATTGCAGGTCCTCTTCAAAGTTGCTTCCATTTACAGAAAATTTACGGAATCGTTCCAGGTTTTAAATTACTTACCACTTTTTCTGAGATTAATCTCTTCGCAAGCGTTATTTGTTCCCTGTTTCCAGTGATAGTAAATCCTTCCTCATCTCTGCTCCTTGAAGTGATATTTGCCGAAGAACTCTTTCTGATCTCCTTTATCACTAGTCCTCCCCTTCCAATAACATGACCTTTGAGTTCCTTGGGAACATGCAAATATTCGTTCTCCATTGTTCTTTCAGGATTTGTTACTACAGTCTGGAGCTATCATCTGAAAACCCCGGAAAATGGGTTTGCTCTATGGGCAGTTTTCCAAACTAAAGTCGACGTTGGAAAGTAATCATCTTTGTCAGAGTTGTCAGAGGAAGTATTCCGTCTTGATGTTTTTTAATTTAAAAATATATTTTGACTGCGTTAATTTACAATTTTGGTCCGAATAACTTACAAGATTGCTATTTGCACATGTACTGCATCGTTTCTTCTATCTTATTGCAAATGTAGCGTACAGCATCTAGGAGATTTTTAGTATTTTAGTATCCGAGTAGAGGAAATTTAAACAAATTTGACAAAACGGCTGTGAAATTATACTTCACCGATAATCATTAGTTTTTAAACGTAATGATCACGCAAGTGATGACCTCATTATCAAATTTGCTTTAAATATGATTGTAAATATTACTTTTAAATCTAGACAATGCCGAACCATTCTTTGATAAACAATAACAAAGCTAGAATACACTTTTTTGTCAAGATTGTCGCCAAATGTATTCGAAACGAAGAGCCTCGTCTTGAATGAATATTTGATATGATTGCCCTACCGTTTTCCTTTTGATTCCATACGATCGGGGATGCTCGTAAAATTAATTTATCCAGCTTAAGATCGATACAGCACGAGAAGTGCTCGAGATACAGCCGGAAGTACTTCCGGTGTTGCCAAAATCTTGGTCGAATCTCAAAGTAAAAAGTTCTATTCGGATTTCTCAAAAGCTGGAAATAATGGAATCTTTTTCCGGCTCACTTCTGCCAAAGGCAAACGTTCAAAAGGAATAATCGCTAGCTAAAGCCCTCTCTTCTCATTGGCATTCGTTGCGTTCTGTCGGCTGCAGATCGTCTTCAGAGCCCGCGGTACACCTTCCAGCGAAATAGATTAACTGATTCATGTACCATGCATCAGATTTCCCCGACAATAATATTTTTAATAATTTGCTGTCAAATCACTTTCAATCCAAGCAATCTTCAAATGCTTTCTTTGGCAATCCGTAGTGTCTACGAAAGGACAGTAGAAACTGTCATCGCACATTCCTTTAATCAGACCCTTAATAAAAGATAAAATTCTTACGAATGAAGGAAGACGTGTTCGTCTAAAGCGTTAAATGGTTAATAAGAAAAGTAAATAATAAATAAATGAATGCAAATGTTACAATAAAACTGATTCCTCAGAACAAACGTATTTTGCCTATATTGTCAGAAGGCTGGCGTTTGAAACCAATATTTTTCAAGAAAGTTAATTAAATAGTACTCTGAGAAAAGGATCCTGATAGGAAAAAAAAGAGATGTAGTTGCTCTACTTTCTTCATGGATGAATTCAGGATAGGGATTACAAATATGCGAGACGTAAAAAGTAAGGAATGGAAACATACTTGCAATGACATCATACTCAGGCTGACAACATTGATTAAGATTAGAAAAAACTCTCAAAGACAGTGCTGAGCGTTGGTCAGGTAACGAGAATTTCCTTTCCAATTAACGTCCAGAAATTGACAGAGAATAGTAAGCAAAGTGGCTACAAATACAGAGGACCAGACTAACGTGAAAGCGTTGCGTTACATTTTCTCAGGATGCATTGCGGTCGTGGTTAGCACTGTAGTCAGTTGTTAGACTTCAATCCCGGAAGTATCCAGAGATGACTCCGAGTGGATCGATTTGAATATTTTTAAGCATAGCCACTGTTTGTTAAAGAATATTGCACTAAGGAGGTGATGTGGTGAGCATAAAGTGTATTTGGGTTCGTTATGACCGAGAATAATGGTAGCAATGATCAATTTATAATCGAATATGCAGCGAGCCGTTTGTGTAATCATTGTTGGTACACGTAATTTCGGTCAACCAAGGAGCGATATCACTTTTTGAGTTTCGCTTCTGAGGTAAAATTCTATGATGATCGAGTCGTCACTGTTTATGTTTGCGAAAATTTCAATTTATCTAATTTTATGAAACGCTTCATCCTAACATTTTGGTGGACATTTTAGTGAGTTAAGTTTTATTGTTAAAATCTGTCTGTGTTATGTTTAATCGTGTCCGGCAGAAGAATTTGATTTTAAGTATAGGCAAGTCGCATAACGTTCTCTATCATACGTCATACCCAAAGTCGTGACTGAAGTTAGGAAAGTTCAGAAATAGTAACTTCGGGACGATGTTTTAAAATTGCTTGGGCTAGGGTTTAAAAAAAACTCGCGTGTTGAGTTTATTCTTTATATTGAGTTAGTGTCCGGCAGAAACGTTATAAGCGAGCCATTAAAACAAAATGAAAGTAATATAAATGTTTAACCGGCATTAACCTATACATTCGAAATGTTGTAACGTTAGTACGCCCGAACAGTTTCACCGATTACGTGACGGAGAATATAGCATAATTGCAAAGTAATTTCATCTACGGCAATTGAGAATGCAACTATATTCCTAGACGAAAGGGTAAATAGTGAATCTATACAGATCCCCACTCGCTCCATTGAATTGAGATATACGATTACCTGTGAGAGTACACAAGATCTCTGAACAGTTCAACCGAAGGGCAGAACCTGACTATTATATTTTCAGAATTAATAAGTTACGTGATTCATACTGAATGATATATCGACGTTTTGCATAATTATTCATGCACGCGAGCGCTGGGAATGAAGGTACCTCTATATTTTTCTGTGATGAGTCTAGTTTGTTTGTTTGTGTAATGAATGGTCTTCTGTTTTATGATTTATTTATCTTTTTTCGATTTGTTTTGATTTTGTCATTTGGTTTTTCCTTTCAATTTTAAACAGCTATGAATAGGGAATTTAGTTTGATATTGTGCTCGTCTCTCCTCAGTCTTGGATGTTGTTTAAGTGGGTTGGTTTGTTTTTTTTCTGTTTTTTTTTTTTTTTGTTACAATCTCAGATAACCAACAGTGTCATTAAAACGAAAAATGATCACTCTTTGATTTCAAAGGAAAATATTTAAGAGGTATAGATTATCGAGTACGTCATGATAGAGACCGAGACAGACTTATACAAAACGCAAAAGAATTTAGAGACAAATTTTAGAGATAAATTTGAAAGTAAATTAAATTTTTTTCAGATTTATCTGGTACCAAGGAGAGAAAACTATGGATGCATCGCTGGTTGCCTTCGTGCCGGTTCCAATAGAGTTGAAAGGCCATGTCATTGGTAAGCATCGAGTCGTGCTTAATGAAATGATTGAGCTTTCTGGAACCACAATTGATCCCGGGAGCAGAGATCAACCAGGGTTTACTATAACTGGAAACGAAGAGGGAATAGAGATGGCCAAACAGCTGATATCTGAAAAACTGGTCAGTTCAAGACACGTTATTGTGTTAAGATTAACATTACTTCATATTGTGTCCTTCGTGAATTTTCACTTATGTTCAGAAATGTACACAGTAGGAAAAATGTCAGATTTAAGGAAATTTCGTCAAATCGAGTTCATTGACTCGACGATTTTGGCGAATTTCAGTCAAATTCGTGAAAGCGAAATCAGCTTGGCGGATTTCACGATTTTGACGAACTTTCACCATTCTTCGTAACTGCATGCATTTCTGGACATATCTCAGAATTTTGACGTTGACAGCTCTTTTAAAGGCAGCTGACCAGAGCAAAACTACCTCCGTAAATTTCATTTTTGCAGGAGGAGCTGAAAGATAATTGGGACGAGCTGATTGAAATTCCAGATAGACACAAAGGCAGGGTGATTGGGAAATGGAAAACTAAGTTACGCGAGCTAGAAACCGAAACAGGAGTAAGACTTTTTGTCAAGGAACGAGAGGTATATATAGTCCGTGGAACAGAACAACAACGGCGACGTGCAAAAATTAGCATTGGAAAAATTGTGGTATGAACTAATTTATTCCTTGATAATCATTCACAAAGCGAGACCGCTGTAGGAGCGTGATTTAGGATAGTCTTGCTGAACTCCGGAGAGTAGCAGCCTAAGAATGAAAAGAGAAAAAAACGATGGCATTTATCAAGTGTGGTAAACAGGAGCCGCTTATTGCAAACTGAATAGTAAACCCTAGAACTCGTGCCCTTTTTTCGAAGAAAAAAAAATGTGTTTTCTGTCTGGTAACCACTTAGAGCTAACTCGATAATTCGCCAAGATACGTGATGTTTAAAATCCTGCTTCTGGTTAAATGTATCGTGTTTTCTTCTCCCTGCGTCATGTCTTAGTATGCCCTTGAAATGGTTTCTTCGGCCTTTTGTTTGTTTTATGGGCCAGTAACTGTTGAAGACAAACCTCTTGGAGTTCAAAATTTTTAAATGAAACATAACAGAACGGTGAATTTTCGAGAAAAATAAAAATAGTAAAAAAATTCTTAAAATTTAGGGAAAAACTCAGACTTTCAGCTTTCTGTAAATTGATTCAATCCTTGAGGATGTCAGGGTGGGTAAGGTGAGAAAGCGATCAATTTTAGGGCGTGAACGATGCAAGCATATGTTTTAATGTTTGTCAGCTGTTCAAATTAATTAAGTATCAAAAGTTCAATTATCAAGGTGTTAAATTTCCACAAAAAGCGTTTATCGCCGTTAGTCTCTGCCCTTTATCAGAAGGAGAGAATACACGCAGAGCACGGTGAAAAATTTTGGCTGACCAATTCCGGTTTAATTAATCCTCAGCGAAAAGTGATCTAAAGTTCGGACCGTGACTGAGGTTTCTTTATTTTCATTGTAAACTAATTGATTTATCACAAGCTGAATACTCGTGTCGGGTTTAAGCCAATAACTGTGTTTGCAATGTGCTGGTTAAAAACCTACTTTGTGATTGCATTTACCCTTTTTCTGAGCACTGGTAACGATGCCTTTAAACCACCAGGCTGAAGCAAGAATGAAGGATTTTGAAAACGAACTTTATAAAGTTTGCTCCTATGTCGATGGCTGTCATCTTCCTGTGAACTGTAAACTCAAGCTTGAGGAGACACCAGAAGAGGATCACACCTATTATCGGCTGACGCCAGCTGAGCACTTTGAAAGGGAGGTATGTTTCATGTGAAACTTCCGCAGGGAACAACGATGCACATGTTTGAACACGTTAAACCCGTATTGAACTGGAAATGGACGGAGGAATACTGTGATAGCTGACCTTTTCTGTGATTTATGCTCGGCGTTTTGAATTCCATGCTTATACAGACTACGAATTTCAAACCATGAGATCCGAGCTATCAATACCCAACCGTCATCCCAGGTCTCTTTTTCCGCCCCTTTGACAAATTTCAAAAATCGTACGCTGTATCAATTTCATTATTTTATCGCGAATTTACACTCTTTACTCCAAACGCAAATTTAAATCTCGGCAGGATTCCTACAATAACTGGAACGACACCGTGTATCAATCAAATCTTGGGGATGAAGTTTTGATCTCTCTAAGGAAGATTATAAATAACGTGGAAACAGCTGAGAATCCGAAGGTCGACATGTGGTGCCATTTAGGAACCTCCCTTATTAGAGCACCTGGTGAAGGTAGTGTTCATTTCTCTCTTTCATTGATGAATATCAAAAATCCATCCTGTTCAAAAGTTTTTTTTTTTTCTGCTATGTTGTCTCTTCCTTGTCGTCCTTCTCGCCGTTTCTCCTTCGCGTTCTCTGTGATGTTCTCTCTTTTTTGTTTCCCGTGTGCACTTTGCATTTCCTTACTGATAACACAGACCTGGCTGACTTGTCACACCTCGCGAGACTTACAAAGTGGTTTATTTATCAACACATTTAAAATTTAAGTGTCCTTTTTGATATTGTAGAAGACGTTCTCCAACAAACGTGGAGTATCGAGGAGATAACAGAAAAGTTTCAAAAGCCCGATGAAGGGGAAAGTTTTTGGAAAGTTTCTTTTACCCAGCGAGATGACATTCCAGAGGATATCTTTAAAAGAAATGGCTACGTAGAGATCACTGAAGACGACGAATATATCTCCAGATATGACCTGACATATCTGACACCCTGCTTTCATAAACTTAGGTGTAAGGTAAGTTACAGAGATCTTTTGTCTCTTTTCTTCCTGGGCAGACAACGAACGTGTGTAATGCGTAATAGAACTCCTAAGTTCTTTTGTTATATTTTTACACTAAACTCAATTAATTTGCTTTGCCCTTTGACGGCTTGTCCCTAGATGGCCCATTTATTGACTAAGCGAATGAAGAATTTCCACACCGATCATGCTTGTGCGAAGGGAGAGATTCATTTGAACACGAAGTATTTGACGCATTTTTCAAGGTCACCAGCACGTTTACTGAATTTCTTAGGGGCACTACATTCTTTTGTGTTTTTTTTTTTTTATATTTGATATAGTTTACGGCGGGAAAGCGTACATTAATACTCAATATCCAAAAGTATGTGATAGCCGTCCAAACTTCACAATCAATACAGTCACTAGGGTAATTTAGTATTATCAACTGAGATGATAACGAAATTGACCACCGTATATAGCTGACGTTTCGAGCGTTAGCCCCTCGTCAGAGCGACATTCACTCTAACGTCGTCATCTCACCGACCCAAACTGCAAAATCATGTCTGAGAGACTGATTAGGTTGTTTGCTATACGGCATGCTGCTTATAAGTGACTGGCTGACTTAATGACCAACTGGCTGACTGACAGTTTAATTTACTGACTCACCGACTGATCAAGGCTGGCTGATGGAATAACCGACCGACCGATCGACCGACCGACCGACTAACTAACGCACTGACTGACTCTCTCACTGACTGCCAGACTGACAGGTGGAAGGACTGACCGAAATGACTAATGAAAAAACGACCGGACAGAGAACCAGATAGAAGGACAGACTGGGACACAGTTTCTCTCTGTTTCCACGTCGGTTTTCTCTCTCCCAAACTATAGGTGGGCCAAAAATTGAATCATAAATCTAAACCCCATTACATACTGTGCTTTTTCCCCTTTATTAATGTGACAGGTGTGGGTGGCAAAGAGTAACATAAAGAAAAGGCTGGAAGATATACCAATCCCTTTCAGTGACGTTAAAAATGTACTGGAGGAGATTTATTTCGAAGATGATTTGACACGAGCACGCTGTCGTGGATGGCTCGTACTTAAATCTCGAAGGCATTTGCAGAGCGACATTCTGTTTCCTGGCTGCGAGCTAGACTGCAGGTTCACTATGCGTGAGCGAAGAGGCAAGACTCACAATTTGTGTTTAGTTGTGATCGTTATAGTCATATGTAATCATCAATCATTTATTTGTTCATTCATTCATTAATTCCTCTATCCATCCTTCTATCCGCCTGTTTGTCCTTCCATTCATCCCAACAACCATTCATTCATCTTTTTTCATTCATCCTTGCCCTGATTAGCTTTCGAAGGCTCTTTCCTACGGCACCATGGCATTGTTTTATACAGAAAAGAACAACTGCATTTATGCAACTTCGATAGGGTCGTGGGAAGTGGTTTCCAAACCGGAAGCAAGACAGAATTAATGATTTTTTTCTCCGGTTTTGAATCATTGTCTATCATAACGTGAATTTTCCATTCCTCTGGTGATAGATCTCTTAAACTTCCATCCACGCAATAGAGACCGGCTGGTGACGCAAAATCAGCCAAGAAAACCCTACATATTTTAAACATACTGAGATTTACACGCTGAAAGAAGGCCGAGTAAATTTTCTTCTCTGAGTAAGTTTGCGTCATTTACTGCATAACATCTTCCTCCACTTAAATCACCTGATCTAAGATTTACCATCTTCATTTACACCACAATCAAACTTAAGCATCCTATATTCACATTCCTATGTCCTTGATAGGCAAGCACTTCTGTTTCCCAGAGGCTTTCATTCTTCTTTTAACCAATTACGTCCTTCATTTTTCGATACAACATTCATCCATAAATCTTTTAACCATGTATTCGTCCTTCCCATTTTACTGTCACCGTTACCAAGTAGACTTTTGATGCGATTAAACATCGCACCTTCATAAAGACTAGTTGTTATATCTAATACATGTGAAAATGACAATTTTTTATTTTCAGCGTCTAAACAATCCGAATCTTGTCTCACTTCCATCACGCACCACGTCCTGGTCAAGTGTCAATACGCAACAACGCTGCTCAGCAATAACTCAAAACAGAAAAAAACCGAAAAGGGCCACGTGTGTGTTTAATTTATAACGAATTGCTTTGGAATGAAGTTCGCTCTGAATCCTTCCCATCTCACGATGATACAGCTCTATGATTTTTGCATGATAAATTGTTTATTTTCTACCTCTAAAAATATTGCACAAAAGTAAATACTGTGAAACATTTATCTTCCCATAGATTATGCTGTTGAAAGAGGAGACGTTCCGAAAATCGAAGTGAGACGCACTTTGTCCACATACCTTTCTCGATTAACTTGGACAGATGAAGATGCCTTCGGATTACGTCTTCCAGATCACAATTTTCCTGAGGGATTTCACTTACTCCATAAGCGTTGCTGTAAGCGAAAAATGTACAGTACGCGTCCAGGATTCTCTGCCATAATTTCGCAGGAGAACTCATGGTGGACTGACCCTTCAGGAAATGAAACAAACAGAGAATCGGTAAACATTTAATTTTTTACTACTTTGAATCTCATGAATTTTACAAATAATGGCATATTTTCTGAAGAACACACTGTCGAGTCCTAACTCTATCTTTCTCTGTTTCCAATGGGTAGACCGACCTCCATCTACACAGCGAAGAGTGCGACAAACTCCTTAGTAGCTCAGATTGGCAACCGGAAATCATAGTTCAAAAGTTGCCTGCATTTCTTGAATTTGTAAAGGAAATTCAAGGCTATGTCGTGCGGGAAATGAAAGAAACTGGATCAACAAGAACAGGTTAGAAAACACATGCTACCTTTTCATGTATCTCGTCGACATGAAAAAGCATCGGATTCCATACCAACTTTATCCCTTTTAACGCCGGATTCCTAAATTGAGCTATGTCTTCATACAAAAACATCACAAATATTAATAGAGAAAAGTCCCAAGCCTGCATTGCAATCAGTGCATAATCTCAAAGGAACTGGGTCAGAGAATTGGTTTAAACTCGTCTTTATGTCTCATGATGAGGTATCAACCGTCTACCTTAGTTATTAAAGGCATCACGGCGAAAATAGTGCCAATGAGACCTAGAAGAAGCCCACAAATAATTCGGGAGATTGCAGTACCTTTTCTTTCAAATAGGACCTTATTCTGGGTAGCCATTGTTCTCGTAGCGAATATTCTGATTTTTGTATTAAGAAGTATCGTATATCAACATACATAGCATAAAATGGCAATCAACTTCTTTTTCCTCTCGAAAAACTTTAGTTAGAACCATCGGACTTAATATTCTGCTTTGACTCTGAGCGTGACACCATTTCTCTTGACTTCTTATAAAGAAGTGTTCTTTCTATTAATTCTAGCTTTTTCATCATACATTCATTATTTATTTATTTATATATTATGGTTGTTATTACGAAATTTTTTCATTGGATCTAATCTACATGATGATGTTCTGTTGCCTTCGAAAATGCAGTTCCTCCGGAGATCCTTGCAAGGGGCCCTTCAGCCTTAAAAGCCTACTATGACGCATTGGACGAAGGAAAAATCTGTGACAGGAGAGTACCATTGATGTTGGTTGGACAAGACCGATCTGGAAAGACTAGCTTGAAGAAATCGCTAAAGGGAATGTGTTTCGACCCAGAAGAGGAGAGCACAGTGGGCATCGACTTAGATCGTTACCATTTTCAAGTGACAACAGAAATGTGGACGACAGGGAAAAAGAATGAAGAAGGAGACGTTGATGAAGAAGCTATTTCATTTGAAGAAAACGTAGCACGGTTGGCTGCTAATACGTTGAAGAAGACAAAAACTGTCTCTGAGTTTAGAAGCGAACACATTGCTGATGAAGGAGACTATGATCTTGAAGAAACTGATGATCTCTTGGAGGTAATCCCCAGTGACAAAACAGTTGGCCCAGAGAAAATCGAGTCAACAGAGGCTCGTTTATCCACTGAACATAGCACGGGTGAAATTCTCAAAGCGGTAGGAGAGGCTCCTGACCAGAAAGCAGAAGAAAATTTACCTTATCTCACTCCAGAACAAGAATCAGAATTTCAAGAAATTGCTTCAAGAATTGAACGCAAACTCAAACTCGAGGAAAAAGAAGATGAAGATATCTACTCAATTCTGTGGGATTTTGCCGGACAGTCCGTTTATTATGTGACACATCCCCTCTTTCTCACTGCAAGAGCAATTTACTTTCTTGTTTATGACCTCAGCCAAAATCCAGACGAAAAGGCTAAGCCTCTCGTGAAGCAGGGAGTGTACAAAAAGTCCCAAGACAGTTTCAACCTGAAAACTAACTTGGATTATCTAGATTTCTGGATGAATTCATTGGCGTCCTTAGCCTTTCAACACCCAAGCCATGGGGAGGATCTAGAACCTGGTTCTGATGTTCTTCCCCAGCAACTTCCAGTCGTTTTTTTAGTCTGCACCCACGCTGATAAACCTTATCATGGCAGAGACCCATTTGAAATTGCGAATGAAGTTTATGGGACATTGAAAGAGAGACCCTTTGGTACCCATTTGTTTGACGTGTATTGTGTGGATAATACAAAGTCAGGCAGTGAGTCTGAGTGTCAAGAAGTCAAGCGCTTAAGACAGGATGTTCTTTCTGTTTCCAAGGAATTGCCACATGTTAAAGAAGTAATTCCTGTTAAGTGGTTAAAGTACGAAAAGACACTTGAATGCATGAAGAAAGAAGGGCAGAAGTGGATTTCACTTGCTAAAGCAAAGTGCGTTGCATGTGATCAATGCGAAATCGAGAGTGAAGATGAGTTTAAGACGCTGCTCAACTTTCTGCATGACCTAAGAATCTTGATCCATTTTGATGACACCGCAGAGCTGGAAGATATGGTGGTCCTGGATACTCAGTGGTTGATAGACGTTTTCAAGAAGGTGATAACTGTAAAACCCTACCACTGGAAAGAAAAGCCATTTGTAGACCTATGGTGTAGGCTCGAAAAGGAAGGAATCTTGGAGGAGAAGCTTTTAGAACATGTCTGGAAACCTTTGATTCTCCACAAAGAAACATTTGAAAGTTTAGTTGCAATAATGGAGAGATTTAGTCTGCTATGTTTATGGCCCTTACCTGATGTTTCCGGTAATAAACAATACCTGGTACCATCAATGCTGAAGTCACATCCACCAGAAGCTGTCATGAAGTTGGTGTCAACTGCACATATGCCTTCTCTTGTTCTCAAATTTGAATCTGGTAAAGTGCCTTCTGGCTTATTTCCTCGACTAGTGCTGCAGTTTTTTCTTTGGGGAAAAGAAATGTTTTGGAGCTCAGCAAAACCAAAGATGTACCACAGCTTTGTCAGGTTTTTTCTGTCAAAAGATGCTGGAGGTTCTGTGATTCTTCTTTGTCACTCGTGTTACATTGAGGTTGTCTATCATCGTGGGAGTGTAGACGACGGATTAGGAAATGCTTTACGGTGCCAAAGGTCGATGGATATCTGTTATAAAGAACATGAATTAACGTGTGTCCGTGTCATCTGTAGACAGTTTGGTTTGATTCTGGAGTGCATGCGTAATCAGTTCTGCTGGTTGAACAGTATGAGATACACAATGGGTATCATCTGCCCGGTTTGCCGTGAACAAAGTGCCAATGACTACTGCGATAAGCATCAGAGTCTAGATTGCAAAGAAGAGGACTGCCTTCACTTTTGGCCCCAGTCTGATTTGTTTGCTTCTAAGGGGGAAGTCTTTTGCGACAAATCGGTTTGTGCGCATAATAGTAGATTCAGCCCTGAGCGCTGGGCTCCTTGGTTTCCACCTCAGGATGATCAGGTAATTATCATTACGAAGCTGCAGAAAAAACAAGTAACTCTACTATTGCAGGTCAAATAATGTAATTTAGCTAAGGCATATACATCGTAAATCAGGGAGTGTATTAACATAGTTTTCAATCTTTAAAGACAAAGAAATTGAAAAGGCTCTTTGGAATATGTCTAATTCTTGCAGAATTTCCGAAGAGTTTTGGGAGTGTAAGAGATGTGTTCACACCATTGCCAGAATATATTTTATGTAAAGGTCAACAAATTATCAAAACGCAGTGTGGTAACAACAAAGCATGATATCATTATATATTCTGGCCATTTTTGAACCACAATTTTATAATTCTCAGATCGTGAAATGTGAGAAAATTTTTCAGTCCTCTCCCTTTTTTATATATCATAGGTGTCATGCAGTAACTACTGTGAGAACATTTTGTCTTTGGATACAGGTGAGCTTCCTACCTAGAATTGCATGTTTAAGACAATCGACGCAGTTTATCGTCTACAGTGCACCAAAATCTCAAATCACTCTGCCTAGTTGTTTATGAACAATATTTCAAAGCCATTTTTCATACTGGTTAAGAGTAAGTGCAGGTTCTCGTGATGCTTGAAGTATCCTTTTATATTCACTCAAAGTGAATCCACTTTGTCACTCTCAAATGGTCGTGTTTGCGTACGCAATTGCGCGGTTCTCAAATTAGTCTATTCCAAGGCGCTAAGAACCTGGCTAGATAGTTATGATGTCACACATTCTTCAAGTTTTCATAAACTTGTATCCTTAGGATATAAAGATGGAACCCTTTCTGTTCCTGTTGAGATTCTAGACTCCCTTTTGTCACCGTCGAATGATTGCAAAGATGTTGTACAACAACTGAAGGACAAATTCAATCTGGACCAAGTTGTTTTGCGAGATCCCGACCCTGATAAAATGAAGCTGACTCGTTACTTGGCCAGAAAGGCTAACATCGAGGGCCGCTATGATGTGATTAAAGAGCTGAGAAGTCTTGTGCCAGCAGGGACCACAGGTAGGTTCGCTTTCAAAACTTTCCCTACGGTGTAAAAACTCAAATTTACCAAGAGGTCATTTTTATGCAGTCGAAATATTGCTCTGAGAAAAAGAAATATATATCCATTCCGAGTACAGTACAGACTTATTCCTCTATGGTCATGGGTTATCCTATATAATATATCAGAATATTTAAAGTCGTATTGGCTCTGTTTGTAAACCAAATGTTTTTCATGTACATTACGGATTCGCCCTTCTGTCAGGTTTTCAAATCTTACAGCATAAGACTTTCGCGACATTCAGATTTTCAAACTTACGACACTACAAGATAATAACTAAATGGAGAGACGAAAACTAACATAATTGCGGTGACGCAAAGAGTAAGTTTCTCGAACTTAACGTCATATCATAAGGTGACTTAATTGGAAGAGGGTTATTTGCCATTGTTTCAGCATATTGAAATTCATGTGTTCCTAGTAAGCGTGACTTTTTCTTTAGAGTCTACAACAATTTTCAATGTGAACGGATTTTGCGGTCAATTTACTCAAGACGATAAACTCCCATTTAAGCGTGAACTGCCTGGAGACAAAGTGAGCGCTTTCCTGTCACTGTAGATATACTGTCCCGCAGTTGTCCCGCAGTTGTCCCGCAGTTGTCCTGCAGTTGCGTCTTTGTTCATTTTGAACATTTTGTTCTTGAACCCGACCTTTTTGGGTTGTTAGGTGTTGTGCTTTTGGATTTCATTATTTTTTTATATACATATCTTATTTCTTTTTGCTAGCTCCTCTGTTGTCTGAGAGACTTCCCATTCAACAAATACCTATCAGCCAGCTGAGCAAGCTCACCGTTGCCCTAAGTGGTAAGGCTATAAAACAAAGCAAATGAACTTTTCACATTTTATTAGTAAAATAGGTTTTATAGGTTGGAAGTATAAGCCAGTTTTATTTTAAGCTTTTATGGTAGCGTTCGACAAAACTCGCAAAATATGTAAAGTAAAAGATGACGAATGTACTTGTACTATCTCAAAAACCAGTTGTGTTGATAAAGCGTGTTTATTTCTGTAGTTTCAGACAAGTGGAAGCTTTTTGCCGAAAAACTAGAGCTGACCCCAGACGAAATTCGTTTCCTTGATCAGCGCACCTTGAATCCAGTTGATGCTGCCTTGAATTACATTGCAAAAAGACGTCCACTTACTGTGGGAGATCTTTACGACCTATTAAACGACTGTGAGCTACCTGTCATAGCTGATAAGCTCTAAGAGTAGATATTTTCCTTCATGGAATATTAGTTTCTTAAACTAAGAGAAAATTGATTTTTTCACACACAAAAAAAACTACGTAAATAAATCTTTTTTAACTCTTTCATGTATTTGTGGGTCTTTCAACAAAAATCAACTGAGAAAAAATAAGAAAAGTCCCCAATTTAAGTCATGTCAATCATTGTTTACAACTTATCGCAGGGTCTGTTTAATTTTCATTACTTTTTTCCTTCTCTTGCATAGACTATTTTTTGGAAAAAATTTAAGCTTCGGTAGCTTTCAGTTTTGACCGTTTTCCTGCTTCCAAACTACCCTTTACAGCGTTAATTTAAAAACTGAACTCTTCATTGAGGCAAAGTTGCGCGCCTTTCACAAATATTGAAAAATTTTGAGTCCCAATAAGGAATCGAACCGCACACCCTATATAATTCTGCGCTCCAATACTCTACCACCGAGCCACAGAGAAAACAAACAACAAAATCTGAATTATTTAGCGCAAGGTTTGTTAACTATATTTCAAGTATATTCACCAAATAACTACACAAAAGAATTAATTCGTATCTACAATACAGCAGCTAACGTAAAGGCAAATTGTAGGAGATTATTCAGCTTTTAAGGCGCAAAAGGAACAAAATCCGATCTACCAAGCGCGAAATGTAAATACTTGCAAAGTTGGCATAGAAATCTGGTTGTGAGTGAGTAGTGATTAATATGATACTTTGTCGAGCATTTTTCGTTCTTGTGTTCATGTTTATTGATCTTTTCTCGATACGAATGATTGGCGCGAGACTCAGAGCGCTTCGAAACATTATTCCTGGGCCAAAGGTATGGTCTCGTCACCACTGCACCACAAAGTGAACCTCTCGTGGAATATAATTCTCACCGGTTTAAAGCAATTAACGGCAAAATTGGCCATGTAAAACTTGTGAGCAATAGCTTTGCTTTATGAAAACAACCATCGCCCTCATCATCCACCCACTGACTACATAAACTGACTAGGCGTCTGATTAGGCGTCGGCGTCTGATTAGGCGTCGGTTAGATTATCGCGTATCTTTGAAGTCGTTATTGCTGTCGTTCCCAAGTGGCCATTTCCTAAGTGGTCATTTATGGATCGTTTGACTGAGCCCATTGTCATTACATTTTATCCGCTTTTCTCGTCACGAATTTCGTGCGAAGAAACATCCGGTAGTACTGCAATGGGGTGTGTGGTCAGGCTACACTCTGGAATACACAAGCTATGTGATGCCACACAGCGGCCCGCTAGCTACTGTACACATGCTTGCTTGCCTGGCCTGAGCGAGTATCCAAGCCACTTTATTAAGACTGGCACGAGATTAATTCAAGTTTTCCGGGGGAAACTGGTGACGAAGGACTTTCCGGAAGTGCTTCCGGTTAGGTTGTTTTCAGTTCTCACGAATGATAATCCTTGGCGAATCGTTCGATATTTAGGTTGAAATCAAGAGCTGCAACTTACTTAACAGAGAGCGAGCACTGCTTGATACCGATGGGAAGTCGTGGTTTTGATAGGAGACGATCGAATGACTCGAAAGGAGGGTAAGTAAAGTAATCGCAAATTCTTGCTTGAAATGTCTTCAACTTTCCTATTTAGGTGCAAAAGTAGGGAACCCTTTTACTTTCTTTCCTTACCTTATTTGCTTAAAGAAAAGTGGATGCGTTCTTTTTTCAAATTAATTTTCGATTCGTCCTTGGCTGGTGTCTAAAATTTTTTCGAATTCATATGTACTCATCAGATCTCGTCTTACTTCGGTTTCCAATATCACTTATTCAAACAGATTCTGTATACAGTCCCGATGTTACAATGACAACCGGAAAGTTTTATTTTTTCTATATCATAAACCAGGTCAATTTGAAAACTAGAAGGTTTGTAACTGCAAGTATCGGTTAGAGTGTTTATAATCAACCATACTCAAGTATTGTGATACCGCGCCGGCAAAACACCAAAGTGACAAATGCAAATTTTTTTCTAGTCACGACACTGTATAATGTATAAATTTAAACAGTTTTAATCATAACACGTATAAATTATCAAACAAGGGCAATTTATTATAATCGTGGCGAATTTCTATGTCTTATTGCCTTCATTATATATAAATTTTCTTAATGAAATATCATCTTGGATAAATATTATTCCTTACTGAACAAACTAGCTTAGTATGAATTTTTTTAAACTTTTTTTAATTAACCTGGTTTGTTATTTTTAAAACGGGTGTTTGGTTGATGCTACGAGACACAGTCATTCAAACCTAATGTTCCATTGCAGAGCTTGTCGTGTCACACAATCGAAAAGGGGGCTTATTAACAATTCGACAGTTAAAAACTGTGATGACGAATTTCGTTGTCGATAGGAGTTTACATAATAAGCTCAGTTATGCACGCATTCTGATTGGTTCTCACTTATGATCTATTGGAGGACAGACGTATAGATGACGTCACCATTAAAACGTTTTTTAATTCTTTATTATATAAAACAAATGCTGCGCATGGTGTGTCACTTTTTTGTTCTTACCACATTGTGACGTCCTCTGTGATCTATTACTGAACAGACGCACGGCAACTTGTAAGCTATTTGTTAAACAGACCGCTCTAAGCCACTGTCGATTTTTTTATCTCAATATCGACGTCAAAGAAAAAGGTTCTCTCATTGCGTGACCATTGCGTGACACGTTGACTCGAGCGGCGTGGTCTGTACTCTTAATGCCAATGGCAATTGGCAATCAGATTGGGACATTAATGCCAATTGTGGTAAAACTATTCTTATGTTTGACAGATCAGCTTACAACCGCCTCAAGAAACAAAATAAAGAGGTAGTGGAGAGTGAATTAGTTGAGGTGCAAAGCGATTTGAAAGGCCATGTAATTGGTAAGGGAGGCTGTAACATTAGAGAGATCATGGCGAAATCTGGAGCAAAGATCAGCTCGAGGAGAGATGAGGACAGCTTCTTAATAAGGGGCAATACTGAGCAACGAGCACGTGCAAAGAGTCTTATTTTAGAGAAGGTGGTAAGTTTCTACTGATAAAAAGACAAAATCACTTTCATTGAATGAGAAGGCGCTAACACTGGGGTTAAAAAATTTCGAGCCAAGTTTACCAAATTTTAAGAGCTTTATTTCCTTCAGGCTTATTTTTGCTGATCTTGTCCAAAACTGATTGAGATTCGTATTCTAAGTTAAATCAGTTTCGTTCATTATAATAGCAAGAAATACAGCGTAAGAGAAACGACGCACGTTCCCTTGGTGAACATGTGGAGATTCCTCAAGTTTACAAAGGCTTGGTAATGGGTAAAGGAGGCGATAATCTCCGTGACATCAGCACTCAAACTGGTGCAAAAGTCATAAGGAAAGACGGTGAAGTATATATAGCTGGTGGGACTGAACAGCAACGACAACAGGCCAAACTGCACATTAGCACTATCATCGTAAGTTCATTCCTTCACAGAATATTAATTAAAAGCAAAAATATTCCTTTGTAAATCTCTTTTGAGAACTGAAATGATGATAAGGGTCGATCTTGTGCTTTCGTGAACATTATCATTATCATGATGGGCGTTCCCATTTCCATTGCAATCGTTTTGATTATGGTCAGTGTCATGATGGGTATCGCTGTTCATCAAGGTGGGCTCAATAATGGGGATATGTTTCAAGTGCATTTTGTTGAAACACATAGCAGAGAAAAATGATGCGTGAAAAACACACCAGGAAAACAGGTTTTGGGAACAAATGAAAAAGACATAAGGGCGGGGGTACAATCACAGAGCACGAATTCTGCAAAAAAAATTGTAGTGGGGGAGGGGGAGTTTTAAAGGACAAGTTCCTAGGAATTGTCTCCTAGAAATTTGTCCTCCGAGACACGTCGCACAGAGTTCAAATTCTTGAACTTGATAAGAGAAAACTTTGTGAAGACAACCACGGAAGTCGTTTGCACGCTTGTGCCAATTTTTTTTTTTTCACAATGAAATTAGCTTTTCGGAAAGTCGACCTTCCGTAAAGGAATTGAGGGAATGAAAATTAGAAATGTAGAGTTCCCGAATCGGGAGGCGACGGTACAGTGACTCCCATGTTTTCGGAGAATCAGCCAACTGGTCAGTTCTTTCCTTTAGTCTCAACTGGAGTCTTCCTTCATCTTCATGCATCAAATTGATCAAAGCATTATTGTAGTCTTTCACTTCTGAAACTCTTGAAAATAATTAATTGTTCACACAGGGCAGGTCTGCTTGAGTAAACACCTTTAAAACAGGCATTATATATTATTCGGTTTTTTGTTATGTTTTTCTTTTTTTTATTGATGTGCAAATACTTTGCATGCACTTAGAAATATTTCACCTCTAGGAGCAAGATGATCAAGGAACGTACCGCACATTCAAGTTCGACTGATAAAAGAATGCACAATATGGAGAATACTTGAGAAAATAAAAAGACGCCTGTTTTAGAAAATCACAAGGTGTCCGGTATAGCTTTGAACACTGCGAATAATGCTCTACTACTTTTAATTTGCTGATTTTAAAACAGCTTATGCAATAATAAAATTCGTTGTTTTTCAAGGCTGGAGCAAGACTAAGGGGAGTGGAAAACGAATTCAACAAAGTATGTCGTTTCATTGATGGCTGTAATCTGCCAGGTGATTGTAAGTTGAAGCTAGAGCAAGTTTCTGAGGGAGATCGTATGGTTCTTCCAGGACTGCAAAGTCAGTGTCGACTGAAACCTACTGAGGACTATGAACATCAGGTTTGTTCATAACAGTTAATATTAAAAGCGATGTAGTTTAGGAACGTGCTAAGACAGTTAGCTATGAATACATTATCAAAAAATTTTCCGTAATAAACTCAGATAGTGTTTCATATGGCCTAACAATTCCTTCTTCCTCCTTTCTTCTTTTAGCCCACTTCTCGAGGGCTGTACGGCTTTCACTCTTTGGCCCTGCTCACGCTATCACAAACGGCCAATCATAAGGGGATTTTTGTTATGTGATAAATGAAACTTTTTATTCACCAGAGTCTAAGACTATCAAAAATATTTTTACGACCAACTTAGACTTTCATTTGCCCGTCGATGCCGCAGATTTTTTAACTGTACTCTGCAGATACACAAGTGCAGCACAAGAAAATAATTTTTCCAGGCTAAAACTACATGTACGTCTAGTTTCATTAACGATGAAAATGTTTCGGAATTGTCGCATACCCTTTTTAGTGAAAAACTGGTTGTTAACGCATATTTAATGCATTTTGCAACGTCAAACAGAATTTGAAATTGAAAATTGATCTAATTTAGGAACCAAATAGTTCTACCGATGGTTATCACTCGCAAATTATGGATGCCGCATTAAAGGCACTACGTCAAATAAAGTATGAAACCGAACAGCAACCGAAGGCTGACATGTGGTGTCACTTGGGAAAGGCTATCATCCGGGGAGCCGATGAAGGTAATTTCAGCCATACCCGTTCTACTTCTTCTGTTAGCTTATTGCAAAAACTCTTATTTTCAGGGACAGACGAGAAACTGTAAAATTCCAAAATAGTTTTTATCTGCGTAAACGACTTTAATACAAAAAGTTAGAAAAACTTGATTTACACTCGTTTTGTTCTTTGTTAAGGACGAGCTCTTGCTGATAAAGAACAGGAAAAGAACTTATACGACGATTGTTTGCAAATGAATTAAGGATTAATTAGATATAGTGCATCAGGCCTGACGTTTATCACTGAATCTTGTTATATGAAGAGGAGTTGACCATAAATATCCGATGCATCACTAACAAAAAAAAGTGATGAGAACAAAAATGTATTCTGCCTATTTTTTTTTTTTTTTTTTTCTGGTAGAGGAAGTGACTGAAGGGGAATGGAGTATTGATGAGGTTACAGCAAAGCTTCAATCTTCAGAAGCAGAAAACTATTGGAAAGTGGCCTTCAAAGAAGGTGTGAATCTCGATGAGAAAATCCTGGAGGGTAATTTGTGCGAAACGACGACTGAGGATTTCAAAGTGAGATATGATTTAACATATTCGACGCCATGTGGGCACCAAGTGCGATGCAAGGTACGGCGACATCATGGTTAGAAATGGTGATCCACACAATATAAAATAGATCAATACACCAGCTGATAAACCTAACAGATAGCAGCATAGCTTTATTAAAAATCCATTGCAACCACAAGGTTGGATTATGGACTGTACAAATCTTTAATTAATACTAAATACAAAAAAGAATAAAAAACTAAATAAAAAAGGGCTAAAAATACTACATATGTACATTAAAACTCATGAACGGAAGAGAAAAAATACTATTGATATATATCATTATATATATTGTACATAGTGAAATTTAAGAAATAGCCGCATTATATATGTTAAAGCCATTAGGAAAAAGCCGCGTTGTACATGATAAAACTATTCTTCAGTCTATTTTTTCTGCAAAAAGGTACGTTAAAAAGCGCGCTTTCTCCTTAAGGTTACGGTACTAAGATTACATGACGGAAAAAGGCCATGTAATTTGTGGCAGGTGTTGTCTTTGATCTCACTGAATAGGCGCTCCGTCAGCAATTGGCGCCGTTTGTAGAGGGTGGCAATATTGCACTTTTTAAGAGCTTCTTGATAGCTTAAAACTGGGAGTTGGCAAAGCTTTGGGAAAAAAGACTCGGTTAAAAAACCTCCAAGAATGATATATAGAGCGATATACAATGATATCCAGTCCCCTACATTAAGATATATAGTTAAACAGCTCTTAAGTTTTTCTAACAAGCTAATTAACAGGAAAATAACGAATCTCACGCAAAAACAGATTCTTGCATTGCATTAAAATAAGTGTTTCTAAGGGGATCATATTCAACAACCGATCGTGTCTTGTATAATCTTTGATATATAGGTGTGGGTGGCAAAGGCGGATATAAATAAGAAGTTGGAGGATATTTCAATCCCTTTCAGCGACGTGAAGAATATTCTCGAGACAATTCACTTTGAGGACGAGGTGACACGGTCGAGATGCCAAGGATGGCTGGTTCTTCCATCTCGAAGATATTTACAAGCCGATATTTTGTTTCCCAGTTGTGAATTTGATTGCAGGTTAACCATTCGAGGGCGAACAGGTGGGTGTGAAACGCTTATAATTTGGTATCGCACTGACCTTTGAAATATTATTGATTTTATTTCATTGCTATTCTAAGAATATACACTATCAAAACTCTGTGCGAGTTTGGTGCCAGCAAAGGGAACTAGGAAACGAAGAATTCGATAAAAGATTTGATAATAAGAAAACTTGTCAAGAGGATATGCGTTACAATCCTCCTCAGGTTTTCTTGAAACACCCCATTCCTCTCTGTGTTATATATTCGCGAGCGCTGCAAGTTTCTTATGGCCAACGTAAAAAGGGGGTAGATAAGATCTAAAGCAGGTTTGTTACGAGAATTAAAAAAAATTGTCTGAATATTAGTCGTTTGGCTATTTTGTACCATCATGCTCCACGCTGTACTATGTAACAAGAAAATATGACACATTGTGAGGCTAGTCTTCTCATTGCTGTAATATACGATAAACACACTGCTGTAAGCTTGGAAAGAAAAGGTCATTGTTACTGAGTAATACGTCAGTTTGGAAATCTGAAACATACCGGCACAAACTCACGTCAACGGAACAAATTACAGATTCACTCCACCAAATGAAAAATAGGCTTAAATTGATTTAAATTTAAAGCGCTGGCGCACCATGTTAAGGATGTCCCACTTATTAAGATGTAAGAAAAGTATATACAAATATAAAGATAAAAGTTCCAATTATCCTTGATAAAATTTAAAACGCTCCTTTTTAAGGCTGTAATACTGTTTGCTTCTCGAATATTACTAGGTGAACTCTTCCATTATTAATGATTCGATTGAAAAAGCTATATTTAAAACCATTAGTTCCACTAAAACTCGGGCGAGGTGAGGTGTGCCATTTTTCCTCAAGTTATAATTTATATTTATGTCCTTACAAAATAGAAGCTTGTTTTAAATATCTAAACATAATGTCCGCTAATCGAACAAAAATGTAACATTTCTCAATAATTCTGTAGATCGTGCGGTCAACGCAGACTATGCACCAGATGAAGAAACAAGACTTATCCTGTCAAAGTATCTCTCTGGACTCACCTTCGATGATGAAGATGATTTCGGACTCCGCCTTCCAGAAGAAACCATACCCGAGGGATTTCACTTGATCCATAAACGCTCCTCCAAACGAACTTTGTACACCGCCAATGAGGGATACGCGATCATTCTTTCCAAAGAAAGCTCGTGGCGAAGTGACATCCTAAACGAAGACTCCAGAGAATCGGTAGGGACAGTTCCATCGGGCCAAGCCGGTCAAAATGATGTTTTCGTTAATATTAATATTCTACAACATGGCCTAAAATTTTTTATGATTACTCGTGGACACTATACAAATAGGTGGGCTTACCTTGTTTAAAGTAGAGTAGGTACTGCATATCATGTAAACGTCACTCAACTTTTGTTTCTGCGTTTCTTTTGGATTTAACAACATTTTTTCTCGTGGAACTCCAGCTATGATTTGATCACCGAGTGTTGGTATTTGCGAAGGATCCTTCCTTCCGTCTAAGCTTCCATTTATCATGTCATACAAAGTTATTCATGTACGTATTTTAAAACAGTTCTCCATATGCCACCAGCAAATTTTTTATTCTTATTTCACATTTACTTAGAGTAAACACATGGTTTCAAATGTAATTTGGGATGGATGAGCGCGAACAAATGTTTTCAAAGTCTAGCATAATTGCACGAGCCTGTGACGCCGTTTAGAGGTCGTGTTCGTTTGGCTCTTTATGAGTGCCTTTGTTTATCAACCATCAAAATTCTCTGTTTTTCACTTTTTTGGCACGGAATAACCCTTTCTCTCCACTAAATTTTATTATTTCTGCATCGGAATTCTCATCGACACGTTTTTTTGATGTACATTATAGATGAGGAAACGATATAACGAAAAACTCTGCGAGAGCGAAACCGAAGGAAACTGTGTATGATTTGCTGGAAGCGTAGGACGAAAGCAGCCAAAAAAGCAATAGAAAAGCTTGAATTAGATAACGACTATTTTTCTACTCATAGAAAATTGTTTATTTACACGTCATTGTTTGTATTCGTTTGTAGACTGATCTTCATTTGCACTGTAAAGAGTGGGATGAGGCACTTTGCACCAAGGACTGGGAGCCAGATGCCATTGTTGCAAAACTTCCAGAGTTCTTGAAGTTTTTGAAACAAGTTCAAAGTTTTGTTGCACAAGAAATGGCAGAGTGAAATTTTCTTAAAGGAATATAGTTTTTGTATTATATTTTTGTGAAAGATTTTAAATGTTTCTGAAATTTTTGTGATATGTTGGAAACATCGTTCACAAATTTCGTTAATATCAAGTCCAGCCCTTCTCGGAAAAATTCAATTTTAAACCGTCAATTTCAAACTACTGGTGGTAAGTTTTTCAGTATGCAGGCATTCTTGATGGGCGGCCCCAACTCTTCTGACCACTGATTAGATTTTTTTTAGTTCGAAAAGCTGACTCAGAATTTACACCTATTTATTCTGTTTTCAGCCCGGTACTTCCGACAACGCCTGTTTTGGTAATATCCAGAACGCTTGTCGTAATCTAAGGCTTAAACTAAGCAAATACCCAGATAATACGTTTGCCATAAAAAAAAAGTGGTGATGACCATGCAAGATCTGGCTCTCGCAAGCTGAAAGTTTTTTTTAGGAACAGCTTACAATCAGAAACGTTTTCTTCGTGGGATGTTGACTCTTCAGGGATAATTCAAAAGACTTCTTAATATCGTATTCAACGTATTCGAGGAGACCGCAACCTGTTGCCTAAAAGAGGTACAGTTCAAGGCCTTGTCAGTTTCAAGCGGGCAACCTTTTGCTCCACCAAATATTCTTGACATCGACTGACATAAGAATTTTTGACGAGCAAAGTCAAGAGTTAGGTAGAAGTGGGTAGGATATCTAGATATTCAGGAAACAACTTTTTCTTGGTTACAACCGTTGACGCTGATAAAAATAAGGAGAAAACAAGGGACGGCAAAACTGTTCTTAAAATACCGAATAAAAATAAATTATTCTCGATACGTCAATCATGGGCTCTTTTACCCGCGGCTTGATTTCCGGTCGTTAACCATTATGACATGTACATGTACTTAAGAAATTAAAATTACAGTGCGGTTGATGCTGTCGCTATCCAAGAGCTAAAATGCTAAGAAAATGTATGTGAACGATAGCTTAGAACTGTTTTACAAAAGGACAGAAAATTTCTAAATTATCGCACTTTTTCAAGTTTTCTTAGGGCTGGAAATCGTTGAATAACACCCTAGTTTATATGATAAACGTGTTTCCTGTCTACCATGGTTTGTTAAAAGGTTTCATACGAATTTAATTTTAGCATAGATATAGTATGGTGGAGAAATACCGATGAAGATGCATTTTTTAAAAAAGATGACAATGTGAATAAATTCCTGCTACTTCTATTAGTATTTATGAGATAACAAGGTAATATGTTCATTATTATATGTTATAAGTTCGTGGCATGGAATTTTTTCTTCAAAGGATCAAAAATTTTTTGCGAGGGAAAATGCTTTCAAGCCTAAAGGCTAAAAATACTGCTTATTAGCATGACAACAGAAACGTTATTAAACGGAGTTGAATAGTAACGGAGAATAAAAGAATGCAAACAGAACATCCCCTGCCTAATGATCAGTAGCCCAATGCTAACCAGTAATTGGCTCATTTTTTTCCTTCTCTCTTTAGAGATGCAAGATGCAATTCCTTTTTTCCTTTAGAAATGTGGCTGACTCCTTCCTACGCATGTGCAGTCAATGCAACTAACGATTTTCGATATTTTGCCTTTGTTCTTACGATATTTAAATGATATCACCAAATAACGTCCACAACAAAGTACACTTCTTCCTTACACTTCGATAGAATCCCTCTCCTTCGGACAAAATCAGATTTTCCCTTGATTCCATCCCATTTTTCCAGTTATTTACTATCAGCTGACTCAAACTCGTTTACTCGTACCCTTGGAACGCAAGTGCACATTTACAGAACAACTGATTGAATAAACGAAAAGTAACATATGGAGGTGTTGTGTTAAAATGGTTTTTACTTTATAAGGTTTTTTATAATGAAAAACGGAAACACAATGTTTGGTCAGTCTGATTATTGTATTATCCTGAACTTTAACAATCTAACCGTCATCAAATGGCCTTGCATGTCAACACACTCATAGAGTGATCTGGCCACGACAAAACTGTTGTATCAGAAACCACTATAGGAAGACTGACTCACATTTCCCTTATTGAAAAAGTTGCCATGTGCGTTTTGGAGATGGTATTACCTTTAGGCATTTCACAAATGTAAGCCCTTTTTTGATTGTTTGAAAGATCATTAAACAGGCCTTGCGTTTTTGCTGGGAAATCCCTTGACATCACCACTTTATCTCCATCACTAGATGGAGCGCCAGCGGTCGTCTGCCATTTTTTAAAGCTCAGCTTGCTTCCACTCACCAACTTCCAATCCCCTTTAAAACTTTATGCAGACCTATATGCCATTCGTAAGGCTTCCCGATGCAACGCTTTTGAATTTCGTTGTTGAGGAAGCTCCATTCTGCTTCATTTTCTATAGAGACGAGGTCGCCACCCTTCTTTTGGCAAGTTTTTCGGTTATCGGACCATGTCCCGCCCGATTTCGCATCGAAAATAAAGTAACAGTAACTTTTGAAACATGTTTTATGTTCTATGGACAGAAGATATTCAAATCTGATTTGAAAATGATTTTGAAATTTGTAGAAATGTCATTGTATCAACGCTTGCCCCCTTACTCAGGGAGCTGCACACCCTTCCGTGCGCCTAAGTACAGATTTGCAGGGGGTGTTTCCGCGGTGGCGAGACTCTACATTCAGTTTTGATGAGTCACCGGGCAAAAATATAGTAAATTAACATGTTAAAAATAACTAAAACTGTCGGAAGTTGGAATTTTAATTCTTTTTAAAGGCATCTCTAACTAGGAATCGAATTTCAATTTGCGCTGACCACGACAACACAAGATTAAAATTAAAACGAGTCTAAAGAGTTATGGCCGCAGGAAAAATCTTTGAAACTGTTAATTTGCTTCCGCCTTAAACAACACGACCGCTGACGAACACAAGAATTGAAAGGTTTAAACTATAAATAATTTTGCCCCTTTTGTTACAGTTTGAAATCGTGGCAACCTGTGATGCCGTGTTCAGCCACAAAAGGGAATATAGAGCGAATACTAATCGATCTCAGGAAAACCTATCATTCATACTTTATTTTCTTAGATCAGTAAGTAGAAAAAGAAACTTAAGAAAAAACTGGATAGGATAATTCATACAAACCCACCGTAATAATAGTGTATAATGCACTTACAGTTCCTAAAAAACAAATCGTGCGGGAGTTTCTTATGTACACTGAAAAAGGGCAACACGAAATGTCATAAGATAGTCTACATGAGGCCCTCGTGAAAAAACAATAAGAAAACATCCAAAAAGAGTAGAAAGTGACCCGTAAATTACAAAATGTTTTACACATATAAATGACTGCAATGGATACAAAAACAACCAGGTGCCTTGTGAGTTCGTTAATGAATGAGCTCATGGAAAAACAGTCCTTTTATTTCATTAGGGAAAATTGTTCCAAATTCTAGCCGTTCTAAAAGCAGAAGAACGCTGTCCATATGAGTGTTTTACTCGAGGTAGTACTCCCTATTTTACAAAAGTGCCGAGGACAAAACCTGACGCAAACATGGATATTTCTCGGAGTTTCCGGAGTGTTAGTACTCTCCAGCTGCTGGGCCTAGTTGTTCGAAGGCCGTTTGTCTTGGAATTTTAATGTGTTTCTTTATTCATTTGTTCAAAAGCCTTTTTAGGATAATTTTCTCTATTCTTTTTAGAGCATCCACGCGTCCAATCGAGGAAAAAAATAATTTTACTGAATTTTCTGCCAAAGCTTTCAGCTCTAAGATCAGATTATATACTTACCCTGGGTTATCTTATCCCGGCTTTGAACAACCCAGCCAAGAGGGAAGATGAACCAGTCAAGTATGTTATTATCCAACAGCACAAAGTAGAGTACAAATAACACGCGAATAGATTTCAAATATCCCGCAATAGTGTATAGTTGGTTATTTGGAACTGTGAAAAAACCTGTTTAACCTGTCGGCTGCGCGCTACGCTTCTCTATCCGCTTTTCTTTTCCCGCCTTATGAGATATGAGTAGAAACGCTCGGCAGAAAAAAAGCAGTTAGATGATAAATAACATGTTAGACCTTTTGTTGTGTAGTATGGCTAATTACCAAATGGACGTGAGTGTTCTACCGAAAACTAAAACACTCGTAGAATTAATACGACTAACTGGCGTATTTTTCATATGCGACGAGAGTGCAGATATTGAGCAGCGACGTCACAACTCCCGCCTTTTCAAACTTTACTGAATGAACCTAGTTCGTTTCTTGTTGGAATACTACACGGCAGCAAGAGTTTTTTTTTGTGGTAAGCGACAAAGATGTAAATGTATTTTCCTGAACAGCTAGAGAACGAGAGCGCCGAAAAGAAACTTCTCGAAACTTGCGACGAGACAAAGGTAAATTTTTGTTTTTTTTTTCTATTGATACCCAGAAATGGAATTTAAGCCCCCACCGTATATATATCAATGGCCCATACAAAAAAAAGAATAATACACTTTAGCTCGAAGACATGAATTTTCTGTTCTCTAAGCACGAATAACATCTGAGATGTTGTTCTCGCTACTCGAACGTAAAATTCGTATCCTCTCGCCACCGTGTGATGACCTCTACGTATTTTTAACGCGTTGTTTTTATTTTTACTCGCTCTAAGAGCCAGTTAAAATACGGCACAACTCAGCGATACTGCACGTCAAAACGTCAAATAAGATAATGTACCGGCGCAGCTGGAGATAATGCTGGAAGGAAATACAGTTGGCCATTCAGCCGTGTCATGGGCTACACTCTAAATTTGGTTTTAGACAGTGACCGGGGCATAGAACACCAATTTTTTAGAATTTGAAACTTCCCGGTTGCTTCTTTTAGCCGACCAATGTGGAAAATTTCCTATCATATCGAAAGATAATCGCTGCAATTAAGATTTTAGACCATTGACTCTTGCTGGCTTTCGACCGAAGCTATTGATTTGAGACTCAACCAAAGAAAACTCTAACTTTGACTAGGAGCTTTTGTAACCTTCAAAAACCATCAACCATTAATAAGACCTCATACAGATCTAACCAAATTAAATTCCGAAAAGATATGGTTACTCATTTGCCTTACAATTCCTCTTTTATTGTTCTTTCGAATATGAGACAAATTTGAAGTAGAAAGAATCAAAACATATTTCCATCATACTCTGTGCTATCATTTCTTTGTCGACTTCATTAGGAATCTGATGAGGAAAGAAAAGGCAATATTAGTTGGTCTCTTTACAATGAGAAATTAAATCATAAAAAATTAAGATTCCGTCTCGCTGAACAGGTGACTGAAGAGCCATTTGATTTCTACACAAATTGTTGATCGTACTAAACAACCACTATGGAGGAATTCTTGCACATATATAATGACTTTGGGAAGCAAAAAAAAAAGAACAAATTGCATAAGAGTTATCAGGATGTGAATTTAAGTTTCATTTTTAACTATACTACATTCAATAGCGGAGAAGATTGTGACCTATCTTTTCCATTTGTACAATTGAAGTTTTGACCGATTCACAAGTTGGATACTATGATGCTAAAGTTTCTTTCTCGTAGGTTACTTTTAAACAGCTAATAAGGCTTGATCCCTTTGGCAGAGACCAAAGTTCAGTGCTGAGTCACTTAGATTTCCTTACCTTTGGGTAGTTCACAGATGTAAGCTCTTTTGATCCAATTTGGAAGATCATTAAACAGCCCTTTTTTTGTCGGTGGGTAATCCTTTGACATTACCGCTTTATTTCCATCACCAGAAGGCTCGCCATGGGTTGTTTGCCATTTGTCTATGGTCAGGGGGCTATTATTCACCCACTTCCAGACTTCTCCCACTTTATTCAGGCCAATGTGCCATTCGTTAGGTTGCCCAATGCAACGCTTTTGAATTTCATCATTGAGGAAGCTCCATTCTGCTTCGGTCTCGATGGAAACAAGGTCACCACCCTTTCGTTTGCAGGTTTCTCGGTTGTCGGTCCATGTTGCGGGTGATTCCGCATCAGAGATAAGGTAACAAGAATTTTGGAAGCAAGGATTGGTTCCCAACGCTATAAATGGAAAATATTTGAAAAAATAAACATCGAATTGGAATGGATGGGTTGTTTACATCACATACAAGGCACAACAGGAAACAGATATTAAACTCATTGTTCACATGGTGTAGTTGCATTTTTAGTGTACAATTAACACACTTAACTCCACTGACCCCTCAATAGAACAAAACAATAGTCAATTTATTAAGTGAAATCAAAATGGGAAGGAAATGGTGTGTTATTGACAGCTTCTTTCTTAGCCAAACGGTGAGCGTTTAAACAAGTTGATTGCGGAAACGATTTACTGAAGTAAACGAGAAAATATTGTCATAATTAAGCGGGTCCACGATAGATTTGGGGTGAAAAATCGTAAGGTCCTTGAAAATCAGTGATTTTATTCCAACTCGGTAGATTCGAGGTGTGAAATGTCTCCGAGTATCAATTCTTATAAGCAAGGACCAATAGGCAAGAATCACATTGAATTGTCCGGGGTACTGGATTTTGGTTGATGAATCAACAAAATAAGTAATCTGATGGTAAATCAATTTTGATTCAATGTAAGCATGCACAACGAACGTCACATTACTTTTAGTAATCCGGAATCAATTATAACTTGATTTTTTTTCTTCATGGATGCCCTGGAATAGCTTAACAATGTTTAGTTTTATTTAACACTTTGAATGTTTTAGTATGAATTTGAGCACCAGGGCTTAGTTATACCTTATATATATAATTACTGCTCAGCGAGAGGAAGCGAAGTACAAATCAGGAAAGATCGTAAAGTTTCTTGCGACTACAATATTCTTTTTTCTAGTCATTGTCTGCTTACCATTAGCAATGCCTTGAAAGCAAAAAAGAAGTACCATTCCCAAGTTAACCGTGAAGAAAACGTTCGTCATGTCTTCTATCAGATTTTGTGCTGTAAAAAGTCTCTTGGAAATGTTTCTCCTTCTAACGACGTATATGTATGTGGTCTTCAAAGCTTATGTTGTAGACTTGAAAATATCCCTCTGCGTCTAACGATATATGCATGTGTCCACACATGCATAATTTAACTAACTTTTAGTTCTTAAAATTAAGCGTGGGGTCTTATGAAAGAGTTCACTAGATCAACCTGTCGCAAAGAACCTAGAAATCATATTCAGGGCATAGATATGCATAATCAACTTAGTCAGCTGTGCTAAACTGTTGTGCCGTAAAAAATACAGACCAGTTGAGGATTTTAAGCCTCGAATCCCACATTGTCCCTAAAGACAATTTCACATTTGAGTAAATGGTGCGAGATAAAAAAGTTAAAATAATTTGGTTGATGTATTTTTTATCGGCCATCCAAACCGACCGGGCACAATTTGAGTTAAACTAAAACCCAACGCGCTGAAAACTAACCCCACATCCAAAAGAGATCCAGTAATCCCAACTTGCATTTTTTTTGCTTTAATTTGCGATAGCATTTATTTCTGCGGACACTAACATAGTGCTCCTACTTATGGTATCCATTAAAAAAAGGATCATTTCTGATATTCTGCTCTGTCGAAAGTTTTGACTGGTAAAACGTAACTCAGCCGTGTTCAATTTTTTTAATCAAGTCCGAGTGAACGTCAATATATTTACATGTCCTCTTCATTCTCAGCGGTTTCATAAGATGCAAACGGTAGCACAGAATGCTTGGTCAGTTTTTTACTTTGCTCTCCACATCCTAAGTGTGTTTAGAAGCAGCTAGCTTGTGCCATGCTTTCAGTTGGACGAGAACCACCAGCCGCTCGGAACAGGTTGAAATGGCATCACATTTAACTTACTATCATCTATTGCATTGATAAATACTTAGAAAATGGAAAAAGAGCACCGTGTTGTTGACCTTTGCTTGAATTCTCTACATCAAACACAGAATATGATATTTGACAATTAATTGACTGACCATTTGGTGAAATCTTTTAAGAGCTCCACTATCTAATGTTTCAAAGGGAAATGTATGTAGGGGATTGTCAGTAAGAGCTAAGCTGAAAAAAGAGTTCTCGTGAAATTAATACTGTCTAAACTTTTTCTATGTAGTAAAAATCATATTTTGAACAGTTTCAATTAACTATTGAAACTTAATAACTGGTATAACAGAAACTGAAATTAATGTAGCGTTAGAGGACTTTCTAAGGACTCGAGCCTCTTATCGATAGATATCTGACAAGGTAATAAAACGGTGCTTGAAATAATACTAGTTAGCGAAGAAATTATAGGATACTCTGCTGAAGTCCCCGAAAATCCCAGTTCAACAGAGTAATTTCACCATACTTTTAGATATATCTTTAAGTGGGAGACTTATCTTTACTAAAAATATATGGCATGTAGATACCTACATGCCTTATATTTACCTCATGGGATAGTCATGTGGGACTCTTCGATAATGAAGAACAAAACTAATGGCAAGAAGAAATTAAGAAGAATGCTTATATTGGTTAAGCCAGAGTCTTTTTGCTGACTGATACTAGTGATACTAATACAATACTAACGAACTACTCAGACTCAGGCCAACTTTGCGATCTAATTGCATCACGATAAGTCCAAGACCAGAAGGATCATAACGAGTGTAACTAGCGTTTTTATCGTGTTGTTCATCAAAAAGAAGGCGGTGGAGCTATACGTTTCTGTAGCTCTTGCTGCGTCACTACTCAATCTCTAATCAAAAAGCTTGTCAATGAACAATAATAGGAAAAACTTCGCCTGTTACGAGGGAATCCCACGCCATATTTTAAGCGAAAAACTGATATGCCCCCTGAACAATAACGTAATTCATGGGATATTTCTGCCCTGATCCTCGCTTGTTAACCGACTGGCTCATAAGTTAGAACATTTCAACGTCAACCTCACATTTTACTTGAGGTCTACATTAGAATTGAGCGACTTCTTTTGGGGACTATATGTTGCTGCCGTGAGAAAAAACATTAAATAGTGCATCTACAAGCTTTTAGACATCGGAAGACCTCATAGATAATAAGTCATTTTATGGCATGTATCTTTGCTCTGCGAATAAATCTCAAACCCACGCATTCATTTCTCAGAGTACTCGAACGCCCACTCTAGAATCTAACTTAACTATAAATAAGGAGTTAGCTTCTTCGTCCGGTACTCATATCCTAATTTTAACGGGATCAAGAAGAAGCGCTTCAAATCACGTAAATAGTCGAGCACACAATGTGGCGTTGGATCGTTTCGTTGATGTTTATCATTGTCTTTGTTCAGGGCACTGCACTAGGTTAAAGATTTTGTTACCTTGTTTTACTTATATTTTCCTATTTTTGAATAGGTTGCTCTCCGGAATGGGTTGATCTGTTGGTCTCCCCAACTCTTAACAAATGATCTTATTTGTGTTGTGTGTTACGATTTCAAACATTGCTGGAAAAGCTTAAAAAAAACCTGGCCAAGTGCCCGGTCGCGTGAGAAAAGCAAAGCTTTAGTCTTCCCAAAGCGTGTCATCATTGATATCATTCCTTATTCAACAGGAAAGAAACCTAAAGGACTCAAAAATAAAAATGACAGCCCTGAAGGTAAGGTAGATCTAGACTCACAGATGTGTTCATGTGATTCAACTGCTTTCATCAATTCTTGAATCATTTGTTTCGTGCAGACAGCCTTAACGTCGTATTGGAAGTGTTTTCTGGCGTACGTGACCCAAGTTGGACGATCCAACAAGGGAACTCAAATTACCAAGAAATCATAGCCTCCTTAAACAGTGCCACCTTGTACGAACCAGATGAGGCGCCTCCAAAACTCGGATACCAAGGATTTGTGGTGCAAGAGGTGAAACAAGGACAGGAGCAATCGCAAAAGCTGGTGGTTGGTTCTGAAACAGAGAGCTTACAACTGATGTTACTTCGCAGCAGCCCAGAGGGTAAAATATCGTCTAATGTGAGAAACATCGTGGAGAGGGAAATCCGAAATGGAAACGTGTCTGTGGTGAGTAGGAGAAGAAAACGATATGCTCCATGGTACGACCCGAGTCATTGGAACGGACCAGCATATGTGCGGAGAAACAACTGCTACAACTACGCAAGCACGATCCGGAACAACACTTTTGCACAGCCTGGCTTTGGAGCGGGACGGCCATACCCTTTTCAATTTACCGCCGAAGACATGAAACGAGCTGCAGAAGCTGATGGATGTGTTTCCCTGGTAGCAAAAAAACACATGTGCGCCCCAAAGGGACCAGAACATCTGATTGCATTGTTTGTCTACATTGGTAAGTAAAGGTGCATCGTTGGATTACCAAATTTGGCGATCGTATCGAACTCTCAATAATTAAATCATATGCAGCATTTACTTTGGGTGAAAGCTCATGCTCTTATAAAGGCAGGCAACCTACCATATTAATACATTACTATTTGTACCATTCTACTTTTCCTATTTTATTCTGGAATTCAACTAAAATCGAAAATCACTTTCGTAATTACCTGGAATACAAGTACTCTAATCTGTATCACACAAGAACAAAAACATTTGCAACAAGAAACAAGGAGTGTATGGGTATCGTACATCACACTTTTTTTAAACAGAGATCGCAAACTATATCTATATATCGCTCGCCTTTATATCGTACTTATACCACGTTTATAAGTTATTTAAAAATATCAGCTCAGTGTTCTTCTCTCTCTTTCCACAGGCGATCCAAATGATTATTTTGATCGTGATTTTCACTTTTACCGATTGGACAATAATGGATACTGGTCTCACAAAGCTGGACAAACTCCTGCTACAAATGTGGATGGAGCAGGAAACCGTATTCGTGACCCAAGAAAAGCTGTAAATGGCTACTTCGATTATAAATTTGTCTCCTTTATGACCATTAATAGAAACAATGTAACCATACAGGGATACTGAATAATATCTGACAGAATAATTGTCTCGTTACTCGTTGTCCTTTGTAAGTTGCAAAGTATGCTTTCAAGTGATGTTACAACCTGGCTTGCCCAGCTGATAATAAATTGATCACATTTCCAAAAACGATTTACATTTTTTCGTTGTTCTTTCATAACGAAACTTTATTTCAGGGGCCCAAATTAATCATACACCACGTACAAGAGAAATCAGTCCCTTCCTACAGCATCACGGACTTTCGAATTGGAAATGTCCTAAATGTTGTAAACTAAAGGGAACGCGTACCTAAAGGGGCGTACTTACCGTGGGAATGTACCGCTTTTGGTCGTTTAAAACTTTGGTTTGAATGTTGCTCACGCCGTCGTCTAAGAAATATTTCCTTTAGTTTGGACTATGCAACTTTGCGCTTTCCTAAGATATCTTGAGTTACAGTGCTTATATTTTAAACAAGGAGAGACATTGAACAGACACAAAAAAGCAACCAATACAAAATAATCGACCCGGAAATTTGAAGTAACTGGAACCTCGCATACATAAAAAAAATTGCGATTTACGAAGTTAATAAACAAATTATGATTTACACTATTAGACCTAAGACATTCTTATAAGACTATTGATCCCACTTTCTCTTGGGTATTTTACAAACTATAGCCTTTTACTTTATTTATTTTCGCCTTCTTGGTCGTCAAAATTTTAGCTTTATTTTGAAGGGAAAGGGAGAAGTCGATGGAAACTCCTGCTTCAATTTTCGTAGGCTCCATTACCAGGAGATGATTTAATACCGCTGTAAAATAAATTGTCAGGCAACTGCTGTTCTGTCTAAAAATTCCACAAGTTGTCCACAGGGTGATAATAAAAAAAGGCAAATGAAACATATTAAAACTGTAAAAGGAAAATACCACATGAGCCGAAAAAGATACTAGATTGGAAAAATATATATAAAAGATGAAATATTCGCCAAGCTCGAAAAAAAAAAAAAACTAGCATTAATGGGCCCCTTATCCAGTTTGTCAGTAATTCCACGTCCGCCGACTCCAAGTTCCCCTTCGGCGCGAAGTAAAGCAAGACTGAGAATAACCCCTTCAGTTCAGACGCCCTTGAAGATTGTTATCAAATTTACTCGTAGAGATGCGAGAAATGAATTTTACGCTAACAGATGAATGCTCATTAAAATAAATTGCGGCCAAACACGAAGATTGACGCATTTTAGGCAGTTCATAGAGTTATACAATTAATTAAAGGAAGAGCTGCAAAGAGTTTTTTTCCATGGTGAGACCCCTCATTGCACCTGTTCTGTCGCACTTTGTAATACTTGTCACAATTTTAACAACGCTGGGAATGAATTTAAAATGCATTTGAAAGTTTTCGGCTAAGAGGCCGAAGTGTCTCAGACAATGGCCTTTCCAGACGAGTGAATTAATCATAACCATTACAATTTCCGAAAAAGAAAATACATTTGAGACAAACATCTCCAGTGGGGACAATGTCTGAAGCAAAAAATCTGGAGCGAGTGAGCCACGCGACTTGCCAGTCTGTCGATTTTTACGTCAATCTGTCAGCCATTGAGTGAACAAATCATTGGGTCAGTGAGTTAATAAAATGAATAAGAGTTTTATTACATAATCATCGCCCTTAAAAGCGGAATGCGAAATAATTTCCTATTCAAATTACAAAAAGGATAAAAAATCGTTACAGTTATATTGGAGTGGAACTTACATGTGCACATATACATTTCATAAGTTCATTTGTTGATGATTTATATTACCGATTGAAATTTAGCAAATTTACACTTATAAAATTGACTGAGTGAGTTAGTCAAGGAGTCATTGAGGCAGTTAATCAGACAAGTTTGGGGGGGATGATGAGAAAATTTGTCAAATTGAGATAAATGAAATGAATCAAAAGAATTCATCTAAGCATTCTAAACACTGAATTAGCATCACGACACGATCACGAGGTCAAAATAGCGAGTGGCCACGCTTATCGGGCTCTTGAAAAATATGAATCCGTAAAAAAGCCGAAGAAGTTGGTCCCTAGGACGGTAGACATGTATCCTGAGGTAGCAAGGACTCACCTGCCTCGGAAAATTTAGACGTGCTACTTGTGTTAGGCTTGATGCTATTTATAACAAAACAACTAGAGTAACAGGGTACACACTCTCCCTTATATATCTTTAATTAAGTCGAAGTCGACACTTCGCACCACATCCTAGTTTACACTACGATGGCTAATACCTAATACAATTCCACAACGTGTCTTCGGGGCCAATACAAACAAATTGTAAATAAACATTATAAATAGACATAGAGCCAGTTATTCATGGCTAAATACAAAGTGCAACCTAGGAGTTGAACTCGGGTCAACCAAGAACAAAATTAATTCCGTGAGTAGTAGAGTAGAGGGCTTGAACCTCGGACCACCAGATTTATACGTCAAGTCCCCTTAACACTCTGCCACACTTCCTCCACAAATTATACATATGTGAAAGATAGTTTATTATTTTCATCCTTTATTTATTTATAAGAGATTCATATATTTTAAGAGTCAGTGGTGCAATCATTTCATTCTTTTGAGGTATCAATGTTTGAAGCTAATCATTTTAGGCCAGCAAGTAAACCGTATTACGCGTGTAAGGTTGTTATCATAAATGATGTAACTTAAGTTACCATTGTAAATAGTAAGTATAGTATAAACCAAAAATACAAAACAAAGCAATGACTTACCCATTTGTAAGCTTATTAAAAATATTTTCTGACGATGCAGATGTTGTTTCAACACTTGAGGTCAAAAGCCTCGATCATATGACTAACCCTGATCTGATATAGACCCGATCACGCTTTTATTGATGCTAATCATTTCTATAAATAGAAAACTCCATCGTTTTAAGAGTCAAAAGCTTGCAAAGTCTCCCTCAGGGCCAAACAGGTAGATAATTACCATTCAAGTGACGATATCCGGTTGAGTTGGACGATCAATGACCTAGAAAAGATGTCAGTTGCACGTTCAGACCTCTAGATTTGTGTAGTAGCCAGTGGTAAGCTCAGGGTGGTCTAAATATGCAAAATACTATTGCGCGAAAAAAAAAACGAGAATCAGACAGAGAGAGCGCACCAGATTTTATATCCGACTTCAGATCAAGATATGCTTTCTTGAAGACCGTCACAAAACAGCTTTGGACGATTTGAAATCTGAGGGGCTAATTTGCTCCATGTCGATCGCCACAAACGCCTGGAGATCTCCATGTCATTTTTACTCCCCTTAGTCAGGAGGCCACCGCGTCTCCTGCGTTTCTTTTGAACACCAGATAGATAGCCCCTCCAACGTGGACACCCATCTGGATGCTGCGCGCCAGATGGCGCCCAAATCCACCTACCTATTCCCAAGTCATCACAGTCACTCGTTTGGCTGCCGTATGTAACACTCTTGAATCTCACCATGGATGAACTGCCGTTTCTCTTCGGTTTCTATGTAGAACAAGTCATCTCCCATACTTTGGCGTGTTTTCTAGCTGTCCCTTCATGTCTTTCCAGATTCCGAAATTGTGTAGGGGAAATTTTTATAGTATGGATTTTCGATTTCTATTTATGAAATCAATCTAAAAAAGGAGTAGCAAAAACTATTTCATTGATATCCACAAGGTTATACAATATACTTGCGAAATTTATTGTTTTTATAGCTCTATTGTTGAAATATAAGTTAGCTAGAGCCCCTTTTCGATGAAAATTGAATTCATAAAGTATGACTAGAATCTTTGAGAGGATCTTCACTAAATCCAGACTTCTTTTGTTGGACATTTGCAGAAACGTTTTCACCCAAAACATACGATTACACTGTAACCCAAAGTTCGAGCCTTACAAGAAGTTCTGTCCTTTTATGCGCTTAAGACGCCTTATAAATATCACGCACAAATTTCGCACTTAATGAATTCACTAAGGTCATGTATTTTTAGCTTGGGGTGGAAAGCATTGTGGTTTCCTAATGTAGATTTTTATTGCCGAGGTCAGTTTGATATAAAAAAGAACCAATCTCATCGCTGTTCGTCGATACATCAATCTAACTCACAGGCGTCTGAGGATCACTAAAAGAGGACGGAAATTGGCAAAGGCCATATGCGAAACGAAAGGCGGTAGGTGACACCTACGAATAAACAATTACACAACATTCGTTTCGGATTTAGCGAAATGTGACTCTCGCCTCGCAGCATGGAGGTGATTTGTTACAACAAGATTTTTTTTTTATGAGGGTTTGTACAAGGAAAAAAGTATTCGTAATGTTTGGTTTGTCTGAAAATTTGGTTATCCTGTGTTTTATCTATGTAACCGTCATCGATTTCAATAGTTAGTTTAACATGTAAAACACACGCATGGATTTGTGTCAATGGTGGACTATCTATAAAAAACCTTAGCGAAATTGACATATCCCAAGGCCTGGACCATAAGCCTCCTTCTGTCCCGTTATGATCTCTTAGCGGCGAATGTCAAAACAAAAAAAAATAATGAATTAATATGGCTTAATATTTGGATGAATTCGCGGTTGTATTTTAAAATGGATTAAGTATTTCCAAAATATCTTTAGTTCAAGGGACCGTAACGAAAAAGCCTAAGCGAAGCAGAAATGCGCTGCATCAGAGCATAAAAATTTCTGCTTTGACTGTCGCTTTTAGCCAGTTTTCCATGCTCGGGTGCATCAAGGATCGTATTCATTCGAGAAAGTCAATTTTGATTCACTCTGATCTGTAAATTTCTTGAGTACCACCCCCACTGCAGGATTTTTGGATGTTCTACGCTTTCTTGAACGCTGCGCTGGGTGCACATTTTTGACGTTTATCAATAAAGGGCAAAATTACTGAGCGCTGATTGGTTGAGAGAGAGGGCATTTTTTCTTAATCGAGGGCATTTTTAGTAATCAAGAGAGGGCATGATTACCTTGTTCAGTTAAAAGCACTTTGTTGTTTTTCTGTTGGCAGAAACGCTCTGTTGAAATGAGCTTTGTTTTCTAGACTTTTGGCAGTGTATCACGACACAGTTTTGGAGAATAAAATTTCATTGAATCGATTGGTCAGTTCAATTTGATTGATGATTTGCCGTAGCGCTAAACAAGCTTCCCAGATAAAAATAGACTGCGCGCGTGATTTTCCTTCGTATAAATTTTGCCCTTTATTGATAAACAAGTTATCCCATGAGACCTCGTACTATTAAGGATTAATTGCACTTGAGTTTTCAAAATTTTCCAAATTGCCCTCGTCGCTTCGCGACTCGGGCAATTTTGGAAAATTTTGAAAACTCTCGTGCAATTAATCCTTAATAGTACTTGGCCTCATGTGATTACATATACTAACCGATGAAAACATTTGTTGTCGATGTGTGCCCCACTTTACTGCTGACAGATTAGACAGCTATAAAAAAGTGCTAAAAATTGATCACGAGAGGATGTCACTTATAGAGACAAGATAAAAGAGGATTAGGAGAGACATCAATTCTATTTTAAAACATAATTTATTTAACATGAACGTTAAGGATCAAAAAGCAAGTAGGTAAGCAAAGAAAAGCAAGTTACTGATGGGGAATGAATTTGAAGTACAGTTTGAGTAATATCCCTTAGAAATCACCAAAGTAGTTGCGTCAATTTTCAAGGTCCACGGGTGCGATATATGATGAAGCTTCAGCAGACATATGAATCTGAGGAATTTTACACATGAACAATTTTTACCTTTCTCGAGTCTGTCGAAAAAACGTACAACTAACTACCGTAACTACCAGTTCTTGATAACTTAACAAAATAATTTCAAATTACAAGATCTGGAAAATAGTTCCTGGTTTTTTTTACTAATCTCATTACGAGTAGAGCATTCTTAATCGACTCTAACAGGATGGTCTAACCAATATGTGAGTAAGAAGAATAATAAGTAGATAAAATAGCGTCAAACTTAAGATCTTTTCTTTAAACCTGTCTGAAAAGATAATGATACCAGTATGGCGATTCATTTACATAATCTGCTCGGGGGTAAACCAACCATGAAGTAACATACTCAGTAACAGGTTGACTTTATGAAGACTCTTTATTCGGCTTATGCGAAATATTCATTATGTCACTTGTGAGCAGAACACTTTCTGGTATGTTGGCATAAATAGCTAACCAGGGTATTTAATTAAAAACTTCACGGCTCACGTTGGGTAAAAGTGAAAAAGAAGACCATGGGGCGACACATCCCAACAGTTTGGGCGGTTTTCATATCCCTCTGTTTCCTAGGAATTGGTAAAGGTATGTAGAGGTGAAACTTTTCAAAAACTATGGAAATTGGCAGGGTTGCTAAATTGTGTTCATAAAAAAGATAATTTTACATAATACTAAATTTAGGCAGTGGTTTCAAGAAAAAAACCTTAAAAGCTGAAGTAGGTTGTGTTTCATGATATGAAATAGAATATTTCTGTTTAAGTCTTTAAAAGCAAAAAAGGAACTTCAAACTTTAGCGAGCTATTTTACAAGATTATTTACAGCATATTGGAGTGTGTGGATCGGAAGATCTTAAATAGCAGATCAGTCCAACTCCTAGTATTCTAAAAAATTGTTCAGTTGCACAGGGGAAAAACGGCCAAATTCCAAATCCTTTATGAGCACACAGTACAAATGTGTAGAACTGTAGGCTTCTTCGTTTACGGATCAAGAAAGATACTCGGGAACTGAAAGAATTATGTCACAATAAATTGACAAGTTGCAGCAGCATATCAGCAGGTGACTTTACTGTAGGGAACCAACACTTAATTTCAACTCGCAAATAGATTTTAGGGGATCAAATCCGCAACGAATTAGTTGTCTTCCGGTTTAATTTACTTTAAGAACTACACCTGTAGGTCAGTTTAGTACCACCCTGTTGATATAACCAGCTGGTTAAAAACAATTGCTTTTGACCTCAGTTTATTATGCCAACCCGTCATCAAAAGCACACATTCATGCTACATACCTCAACTTAATAAAAGTGATATGGATCAGTGAGGTCGGTTAAGAAAATGAACCTTCCGGTAAAAGTTACTTATTCCCCTACAAAAATTTGCATGACCAAGAAGGGGATACTCCACCGCAGTATTCAGTGGTCACCCCAGTAAATAATGCTCGTTTGTTTGATTTTCATCAGGTCAGGAGGCACCTGAGGGCGCTGCCAGTGGAAATGGTCCTGAAAGTAGCATACCTCCAGGTATCTCTTAAATCAGCAAAGACTTCAGTAGAAACATTTATAGGAGACATATTGCCTAGATAATTTCTCTTTGTTTTAGGTGAAGACGGTTTCATCATAACTTTGGAAGTACTTTCCGGTATTCCTGACCCACAATGGACGATTCGACAGGATGACGAAAAGTTCAGTGAGGTACAAAACCTTTACAAAGATGCGGAAAAACATAAACCGGAGGAGGCACCAGCAAAGCTCGGATACGAGGGATTTGTAGTACAGGAGGTGAGGAAGGGACATTACCAGCCATTGGTATTGATTGTGGGTCCTGAAACAGAGGAGCTGCAGCTACTCTTACTCCGGACCAGTCCTCCTAATAAGATTTCAACGAGTCTCAACAATATCGTCGAAGGAGAAATTCGGAGTGGAAATGTCAATGCCGTAAAAAGAAGTAGAGCGAAACGTTACGCACCCCCTTATCAGCCCGGAAGATGGAACGACAATGCCCACGTGCAGTTAAACAACTGCTACAACTACGCAAGCACAAACAGGACTGACACCTTTGCACAGCCCGGGACAGCGACAGGGAAACCGCTTCCGCGGCCTTTTACCGGAGATGACGCGAAGAAATCAGCAACGTCGGATGGCTGTGTTTTTGTGAAGGCCAAGAAAACTATGTCTGCTCCTTCTGGTGATGAACACCTTGTGGCTTTAGTTGTTTCCACTAGTAAGTACCTACAACATTACTGACTAATTATCGGTTAGCCTTATAAACGCCGCAAGAATGACTAACCTCGTGGTCCATCTTAGTTGTAAAGCTTGCATACCTGCAAACTTACAGAAGCATAAAGATTTGCTCGAGAATGGACATTAGTCTTTAGTACTTTCAGACTTTTCTCGAACGATATTAATGCAACTCGGGTGAAAAGGCTTATGGGAAAAAAGAAGTAAGCAACACGAAACTAAAATAAAATGAAACTCCCGCAAAATCAGTTTTCATGCTGCAAGGGATTTCAAAGGGATGTTTCTCAAAACCTAGTACAGGAAGCCCTAATGCATGAGATTTGTTTCAAAAAGACCCTTTTTATTGTCGTGAGTATGATCAGTTCATATTTACTTTCACAGGGATTGTCAACGATTACCACTGGTACCGACTGGACAATAATGGATACTGGTCTCACAAACCTGGCCGAACCCCTGCCACTGATCGTGACGGGAATGGAGACAAGATACGTGATCCAAGAAAAGCTGCCAATGGTTTCATACCCTATGAATTTGTTTGTTTCATGAAAATCAATAGGTTCACTCTAAAAATCGCTTGAGTTTAAAAAGTATCTGTTAAGAAATCTGATCAATATTACATAAGTGTAACTCAAACTTAAAACTTCAACAATTAGCCCTGAAAAGAAGTAAATAAAGTGACTGTTTGAGAACACGAACATCTTTGTCAGTTCAATGTTGTCTTTTGCCGCTTCTTCCTCGTCAGCTCATCACTATTTTTTGTAGTTTTTTAGATAATTATATCTTAACTAGGCTCGCTACAAAAAAAATTTGATTCATTACCCGCACGTTATAATTTTGACAAGATACCATTGGCTCAAAAATGTATGACTGCTTTAGAATGGCGAAATAACTCTCTCTTTTTCATTTTGTGTAGCTTTTTGAGTGGGAAACTCCTTATTTTAAGTTATTTAGTGAAATGAAAGCTTTTAAAATACAATTCACTGAAAGCACAAGGGGGTTCCATCTGATGCCTTTTATATGAGTATAACCAGAGAGGACCCTAATAAATCGAAAAGTCTAGGTCTTCCTCACTGCCGCTGAAACTCAGTCCAATCCCCTTCGTCAAATTGTATGTACGCTGATTAAAATCCCCTCTGAAGAAAACTAGTTTTGAAAGCTAAATGAGTTCATTTCTCTTGATGAAACGAAAGAAGCAAACTAATGTTAAAAACACAGACGCATCTGGTTCATTCTAAAATTACTATCTCCAAGTAATGGCTATCTTGGTAATTTAGTGTTAACAACTGGGTTGAAAACGTAAATTAGCCACCGTAAAGAGTAAAAAAGCTGACGTTTCGAGCGTTAGCCCTTCGTCAGAGCGATCGCTCTGTCAGCTTTTTTACTCTTTACGGTGGCTAATTTACGTTTTCAACCCAGTTGTTAACACTAAATTACCTGCTATACTCTCCCACCAACGCAGCACCACAGTTTCTTTAGAAACTTACCCCTTTATTCATAATGGCTATCTTGGATTGTTCAGTCGACAAACTTCTTCTACAAATGAAATAAACTGCACGCAAAGGTCTCACGCAGTAAGGACAATATGACGTACACACGATTTCTTAATGTTTCTAATTTCTTCGAAACGATTATCTGTTTTCTAAGCAGCAACAAAAAAACACGCCCAACTCAAGAGAAAAGTTTTATAAGCATAACAGATTTTGCTTTTTGCTCGTCGTGGATGCGGTGCGCTTCTCGTAGCATTTAAGACAATTGAACATAACCAGCCTAACGATAAAGGCGGTTGGGCTCGTAGATGATTTTTAGATTATCTAGGAATTGATGGTTTCGGGAAAAATAAGCAGAGAGATCTACCGAGTCAAGAAGATCAAAACAAAGATATACAATACATCGGAGCATAAGTATTTCTGCCTTGACTTCGACTTGTGGTTAACTTTGCACGCTCGAATAACTCTCGGGGTCTTTCTGTCCACGAACATATAAATCGTTGGTCATTCAAGGAAAAATTTACTTCAAATGACTACAAATGTCCATTGTACCGTACTTTCATTAAGGCTACAGAAAAGTATAAGACAGAGAAAGGTATTTTTGACGTGAATAGATACACAACCCCAAAATCTATCAGTGTTTCACTTAAGCTAAGTGACAGCGAAATAGCCTGAGTCGTGTTAGAATTTATAACAACCTATATGTCACTTATTAACAGAAAATTTTCAGGAACAAGATTAAGAATGATATAAATGCTAAAAGCATCATTCCATTGGCCTGACCTGGGTGAAAAATGAACTAAGGATAGCTACAAATGGAACAAACCCATATCAAACGACAACTGTAATAGAATCAAACAGTGGTCACTTCATTGTTCAAGATTTGATCCTCGGGAAAATTAAAAGAAAAGAACGTTAAGTTGCATAGCTACAAGTTCTATATGACAGAGCTCTATCTAAGACATGAAACTTGGGTAATTTCAGGGGGAATTTTTCATGCCTTTGTTGAGTTGAAAAGCAGTATCGTACACTTTACACTGCTTTTTAACTAGTTTGAGCTAATTTGTGGCCGTACGAAAATGAAAATGAAGATTTAAAATGAATTGTTCTCACCACTTAAATAAAGATCAAAGTTCTCATGACAAGATCAAATATCTTTGAAACAACCTATAAAACTTAACATAGAATTGTACAAATTTTCTTCAAAACCCGTTAACAAAACAAGTGATACCCGGTTGCTGACTCATTAACATAATCTGCTTAGAAGCAAATTGACCATGAAGTAACAAACTGAGAAACAGGTTGACAGATTCTTTATGCGGCTTATTCGAAATATTCATTATGTCACTTGTAAGCAGAAAACTGCTTGGTATATTGACATATATAGATAATCAGTGAATTCCTTTAAGACCAAACTTCTGGGTTCACGTTGGAAGCAAGTGAAACAAGAAGACGATGGGACGATACTTCCAGACAGTTTGGGCGGTTTTCATATCCCTTTGTTTCCTAGGAATTACCAAAGGTATGAAAAGGTGAAAAATTTCAAAGGCGATTGTGGTTCGTAGACTAGTTAAACTGTGTACCTAACGTATTACTTTGTTCATAACTGAAACAGTGGTGTCATTTAAGAACACTCTTAGCTGGATTCTGTGGGGTTTTTTTTAATTGAATGAATACTAAACCATTTAAATGTAAAGAAATAATTGCAAACTCAGACAAGCTGTTTTAAGGTGCTAATACATATGCATATACAGTTCATGAGATGCCATGAATCACAGTGTTTTGGAATTCAAGCAAGTCCAAGTCTAAGTTGTTTAAAAATTGCTTTAAATTACTTCTCGGCACAGAAGCATTTCTACCAATCTCGGCCTCGGAAACTCAAGCTACTCTTAAATACTCTTCTCGTTCTTGATCAGCCTTTTGAACTATCATCATATTAAGAATATTAGTTTTCAATTCACAAATGCATCACGAAAACGCAATCGAATGCTTTTTTCTTCTATTTAACGATTTGAAAACATATAAGGAAAACTTTGTTTAGCGCAAAGCCGTATACATTTCAGTTCTAATTAATCAATATTGCGTTCATTAATTTCATTAACTAGGCTCTCCATAGAAATTTTTCAAAAATAAAATTGAGTGGGGTTGCGAATTTGGAGAAGTCGGATTAGTTGAATGTCTTCTGCCATTTTTTTTTTTTTTTTTTTGCGACTCCGTTACCGACATTGTCCAAAGATTACGAGGTTTGTAAGTCCGTTTTACGCATTTTTTTTTTCTGCACGTGATCAAAACGGGCAAGATTGCCCGCTCAAGTAGCCAATCAGAACATGACTCGATGCATCCTGCTCAGTGGGACCGTCAGTTTTAGAATGAATGGTTATGATGGTGTTACTACTATCATCATAAAAGGACACGGTTGATCATTCCTATAAGATAACCGAGTTATTACGTGTTTATTACGCTGTTTGGTTTAATACTTACAAACTGTTCTTGTAGTTCATGCAATTTCCTCGTTATATTTTAGCTGGATGGAAGTAAGAGTACATTTGAAGTCAGTCATAAAGATTGAGTTCGTCTATCGCAGGGTTCAAACTTCAAAAAACTTTAGAATAATTTGTTTTGGCGTGTGTTAAGGAGGAAACTAGCTACAGAGCGCACTACGCACGAAAGGCTCTAAGGAATAGTTCAGTCTTCTTTAATCATCGATGTTTATTATAATTCTACTTTCGTAAAATTTACTTCTCGCACTTCTCTTCCCCAGTCTGACTCTGACTGACTGATCAACTCTGATTTTCTATCTCTGATTTACTCGTACTTACTCAGAGTAACTCTGATCGCCTGACCGCGAACTCTCTATACCATAAAATATCTTATATCGACCATAAGTAGGCATGCGCGGACATGTTGGCCAACAATAACCCAAACACTTTCAAAAGAGTCTCATGAATGAATAACAACGCGCTTAATGATTCCAATCACACAATTAATCTTTGCCTGCCAAAGCCAAAACAAGAACTTTAGTGTGAATCCAAGGCAAGGTAAGAAGACTAGCAAACTTAACACGTCCACTGAAGGAAGTTAGATAAAATAGTAGCTATTAGAAAACTCACCAAAACAACTTCGGACGAAGTAAACGAGAAATATATACGATGATGACTAAATTATACCTAACTAATTTGATCATTCACAACATTATATCGGCCTCAAAATGGTTCAATTAACATATTTCATTTCTATCAGGTGAAAGGGCATTTGAGCGCACCGTAAATGGAAATGGTCCTACAAGTAACATCCCTCCAGGTACTTCTCTACTCTACTGAGATTCAGGTAAATAATCACATAAAGGGAGGATGCATTGCTATGATAATTTATCTTTATTTTAGGTGAAGATGGCTTCATCGTAACTCTCGCGGTATTTTCCGGCGCTTTAAACCCACAATGGACGATTGGACAGAACGACCCAAACTTCAGTGAAGCAAAAAGGCTTTTCAGAGCTGCGAACAAATACAAACTTGAGGAGGCACCACCAAAGCTTGGATATGAGGGATTTTTCGTGCAGGAGGTGAAGAAGGGGCAATATGAGCCATTGGTATTGATTGTAGGTCCTGAAACAGAGGAGCTACAGAAACTCTTGTTAGGGACTGGCCCTCCTGATAAGGTTTCGACAGCGCTGAACAGAGTCGTTATGAAAGAAATTCAGAGTAAAAATGTCAGACCAGCGAAAAGAAATCGAATGAAACGTTACGCGCCATGGTATCAGCCCGAAAAATGGAACGACGGCATTCATGTGTTTTCTAACAACTGTTACAACTATGCAAGCACAATCAGGACAGACACCTTTGCACAACCCGGGAAAAAGTCAAAGTTAACGTTTCCAAGTCCATTTAATGGAGAAGACGTAAAAAGATTAGCAGAGGCCGATGGTTGTGTTTTCAAGGAAGCTAAAAAACACATGTGCGCTCCTTCCGGTGATGAACACTTGGTGGCACTTTTTGTTTCCACTGGTAGGTACTTTAAAGCAGTCCTAATATTGTATTGACAATAGCACTGGAAGATGAAAAATGTGATTACCACCCACATGGCTAGGAACGTAAGTGTAGGCAGCTTATGGGGTTTCTCGATAACTTTGGTGGTGAGGGCTACTGGCGAAGGAGACGGAGGTGAGGGTTTCAGCGACCCCTTCATAGTAGGACATTTCGCGAAAAATTTTTGTAGCGAAAATGAAGCGGCCAGAAGGAACGACAATCGTCTATAGCTGATATTCTAAGTGGAGAGGAAGGACTGTGATTTTTTTTTATGGCGCTTAACATAACAGGATAATGACTCCGGCCATGCAGGATACAAACCCTAACTTTTCCAGATTTAAGGACGCTTCCCAAACACTCTTAGTTCCATCGCAGCCTTTCTTTGGACTCTCACGCAGCGCTCCCCCATGGGCGTGGCGTGACTAAAGAACGGCTGCGAGGGAGACTAAACACCCTAAACACACAAATTGTTAAAGTTATTATGAAATTCATCGCTTTTTATTTCCTTTAGAAATAGGTCTTGAAGATTACCATTGGTACCGATTGGACAATAATGGATACTGGTCTCACAAAGCTGGCGGCACCCCTGCCACTGACCTTGATGGAAATGGAAACAAGATCCGTGATCCAAGAAAAGCTGCCAATGGTTACATACCCTATAAATTTGTTTGCTTCATGACCATCGACAGAACAACTATTCAAATCGAGTAAATTTCTGCCATGATCCTGATCCGTTTGGTCATTCAATGAATCTAACGTAGTCCAGAAATGTACAAACAAATAGTTCTAACAGGTTGAAATAAAAGGATTATTTGTAGAAATAAAATAAATGGCTTTTTTTGTCGTCTCCTACTCAACAGCTCAACAGATCACAGTTTATGTTTCAGAGAGGGCAGTTTTAGTGGTTGTATCCTACTTTGATTCACAGCCTACATGTTGTATAAAGTCTAATTTGGTTGGTCTGTGGCTCAAGCAAATGTCATCCAGCCTTTCAGCTGTTCCCTGCTTCTGTGCTCCTTATAAGCTCGAGGGAATTTAAATCTTGGGATTATTTATTCCTTTCGATACAAGCCAAAGAAAGCCTTCCTTCCGAATTCTGTAACTGAATGTTAGCCTCAGAAACGATTGATTTAACAGAGTTTACTTTAAAACATACAGCTACAACAAATCTTTCGTTGAAACTGACCCTCTTTTTGAAGGAGTTTTTGCCTTGGGAGACAACAATTAAGTATTTTCCAAATTGCATTCGAGTTTAAGGAAGCTTGCTCGAGAAGATGGCCCCTCTCAGAGTGATCAAGAATTATTCTGCAATGTTGCAGATGACGGTCATAAACACGACTGAGAGAGATCATCACATTTTCTCCGGTAACTAAATATCGAGTGAAAAGATTGTCTAACATGTACCTTCGAAAAAATTCCTGATACGGATAGAACAACGAAGTGATATTATGGGTGGCAACCACAACAGGGCCTCTCTTCACTTCCCTATCACAGTATCATGTTACCTTTTGAGTAAATAGTTGAAGGCACTTCAAATTCGCAAATAATCTTCTATTTCTTTTTAGAAAAATATTATGGTTTAAAGTATCGAAGGCTGTACCAAAGTCTAAGAAAAACCCTCATGCACCTATATTATTTTATACATATTTCCTAGGAGTATCAACAATTCATGCCATAACTTATGCTGTGGAAATATTCCGCTCGCTTAATACGTATGAAGTTGATAAGGGAGATAATGCTTCTTCAAATAATGTGATGGTTGCTTGCAAATTATTTCTTGAAAGATTTGTGTTAGAGCTGAAAGTGTGTAAATCTGGCGATGATTGGAATAATCAAATTTGTTTCCTTTCTTGTCAAAAGTTTTGAAAAGAACCTGAAGTATTTATTGACCAATTTATTGATTGATGTCTATTGTCAAAGCGTCATAAATCTGGTTAGAAGCAAGTTTGACATACTTCTGGGAAATGCCCTCGTCGATTTTTCCAAGTTCAGATTTTTCCACGTTCATATTTTTAACTTTGTCATGAACCTCACATTCAGAAATATTGTGGAACATAAAATTATTACGGACGTATAATTGCCACTCGTTGGTAATTTCACCGCCAACGTTTCCCTCGGAAGAATTTCAGAGATACATCCAAACCATGCCTGAATTTGTTTCTCATTATCTATACGAGCGTTTCGTGTCTTACTGACACCCACGTGGGTTATTTCGAAAGTAGACTGATTGAAAGTGCAGTCCCCTAGTGAAATTAGTCATTCGTATTCAGTGCACAACCAGTCAATGGATGACAATTTTCTGTCTTGCATATGCCACGTATACTAGTACAGGTGAAGGAGTTGAAAGGGTTGAACAGAATTCTTTAGGACAAAATTTCGCTAGAGGGGGGGGGGGACAAAACGACACACGCCTAAGTATCATGATTTAAACAGGACACAGAGCATCATAGATGGGACTTAATGGTCGTAATGAGTCTTATGCTTTTTGCTCTCCAAGGACACTCTAAAGATCAGCACTGAAAGACTGCGAGGCGTCTTTGTTTCACGTAAAGTTAACAATATTGAAAACTTCTTCATCTTAAGTCATGATTAGTTTCAATGAAATGTTACATAAGTGTACAAAAATGATAGCATTTGTTTTTGTCTCAAGAAAGAAACAAAGAAATTGTGGTACCTATTTATTTCCTTCTGTAATGTTTTTGCCTAGGTCTGGAATAACTGTTTTTGGCTTTACCATTACTCTAACTCGACTTTCTTTTCCAATTCTATTACAATACCAAACTAAAGAAACTTTATAACTGGTCACCAGTTCCTTGTAATCGAAGGTATCACATAAAATTTCGAGCGAAGTGCAATTCCGTTGAGTTGAAAGAAAACTTTAAGATTAGGGCAAAAAGCTGAGGTAACCTGCCATAGATCAGTATTCCACCCAGTGGAAAACAGTATCATTCGTCTCGCGTTACTATGGGAAATTGAATCATGCTCTGACAATGTGCACAGCCATCGCATGAGGATGACTCAGGCTTCCATCTTTTGTAAGGGGGTGTTTTTCTTCGTACAGAGGATATTTCAGCGAAAGTCCACAAAAATATATTTTCAGTAACTTACTTGAGTTCCTCCTATAGGGAGTAATATAAAAGGAAAGGAAAGGCAGTCATATAAAGCAAAACAGCAACAGATATTTTGTCAGATGACACTTAAAATATGAAAGTTTTCGACCTATTTCTAATTTGAAGTTTGTGTCCAAGCTTGTGGAAAAAGCGGTATGTGTCCAGGTTACAGACTATATTACATCTAATGGTCTTTCGGAAACGTTTCAATCCGCATACAAGTCATTTCACTCCACTGAAACGGCTCTACTGAGGGTTCAAAATGACATTCTTTGTGCTTTAGATCGTAATGAGTCGGTCATACTGGTACTTTTGGATCTGTCGGCGGCGTTTGATACGGTGGACCATACTCTTCTAGTGACAAGGCTGTCTACTTGTTTTGGTTTTCAAGGAACTGTGCTTAAGTGGCTGAAATCATACCTGTCTTCACGTAAGCTGTTTGTTAAAGTTGGGAATAGTCATTCTTCACAACGTGCATTGAAGTGTGGTGTCCCTCAGGGATCAGTTCTGGGCCCTTTGTTGTATTTGTTATACACATCACCTATTGCGGACATAATAAATGATCATGGACTATCATACCATCTATATGCTGACGACACCCAATTATATATTACCTTTAAATCTACCAGCTTGAATGACATCCAACAAGTGAAGTTGAGAGTGGAATGCTGTGTGAGGGACATTGATGAATGGATGATAAGAAACTATCTTAAACTAAACCAGGACAAAACGGACCTTGTAGTCATCAGTTCCAGATTCCATCCCATGCCTGACATCGGTCACATTACTGTTGGTTCTGAGTGCATTGCACCTCGTGACTCTGTTCGTAATTTAGGGGTTCAGTTTGATAGCATATTTAGTTTTGAGGAGCACATTAAGAACATTTGTAAATCATCATTCTATCATTTGAGAAATATTGCTAAAATCCGCAAGTACTTAAGCCAAGATACATGTAAAATCTTAGTCCATGCATTTATTAGTTCGAAACTCGATCACTGTAATTCCTTATTACATGGCCTTCCTAAGTATCTGTTAGCTAGACTACAGGCAGTTCAGAATGCTGCAGCTCGTGTTGTCACATTGACACCGAGGCATGTTCATATAACTCCTATTTTAATTAATCTTCATTGGTTACCAGTTGAGTTTAGAATAACTTTTAAAGTCCTTTTTGTTGGTATACAAGGCCCTTCATGGCCTTGCACCTTATATTTCTGACCTTTTGAATTTTAAAACATACTCTAGGTCATTGCGTTCTTCATGTAAAGAATATTAAGTGGTTCCAAGAAGCAGATTGAAAACATATGGAGACAGAGCTTTCTCTATTGCAGGACCTAAATTGTGGAACGATTTACCTCTAGAGATTAGGAAATGTGCTTCAGTGGCAACTTTTAAGCAATCCCTTAAAACTTTTTATTTAAGTTAGCATATAGGTTATGAGATTCCTTTTGTTTTGAGATGTTTTTTATTTATATAGTAGATAACTTAGGCTATATTTGAATTATATTGTATATTGTAGATATTTTATATTTTATATTTTTTATATTTTATTTTGTAATTAGGTAGCGCTTTGGACAATTATTGGATTTTAGCGCTATATAAATAAAATTATTATTATTATTATTATTATTATTATTATTATTAAGAATTATTGTGGACCGTCTGATATTGAAGTTTTGGGATATCAAAGCTGATTGAGTACACTACAAAAACCTTAAATAAATCAATTTGCAGATAAATAGATAAAGAAAAATTATATCTACCAGTTTTAGATGCAAAAGGCTTCATTTTAACTCTGAGGGTTTTTCTGGTCGTCTAAACCCGAAGTGGATGATAAATAAAAATCATCCACCGTACCGAAAAGTGGAAAGTCGTTTGGCGAGTGGGATCACATACCAGCCCAAAAGTGGACCTTCGAAGCTTTGTTGCAGAGTATTTCTTGTGGGAAAGGTAAACACCAAAGGAGGAACTAAGCGTGTTAGTTTTCCAAACACAAAACGTCCCCAGCTGCTGTTACTCCAAACTATCCCTAGGGGTACGAGATCGGACGCGACAAAAGGAGTTGTAGAGAATGGAATCAAAACGGGAACCGTCACAGACGTCGATAAAGATTCCACAAAACGTTTTTCACCGTGGTACAAACCTAAGGAGAGAAACGATCGTAAGGCTGAAGAATCAAACAATTGTTACAACTTCGCCAATGACAAGAAAACGAACACTTTTGCACAACCAGGATGAGCAGGAGGTGAACCCCTTGATGACACATTAAATGATGAAGATCTTATACGTTCTGATGGTTTGAACGTTGCGCCAAGTCCAAAACACGTGTGTGCACCTGCTGGAAAGAGACATCTGGTGGCTGTATTTATTTACTGGGGTTAATATTACCTTGCTTGGGAAATGCTACGCTAGGGTAAGTGGGCATGTAATGATTCCCCTATGCTAGAATTAAAGCATTTTAATCGAATATGTTTGAGAGAAACGGCCAAAAATAGAAGAATAATTAGAGGCGTTCTAACATCTTACAGGAAGAGAGGATAAGGCGCCACTTTATCCTCTCTTGCTTACAGATATTAGGTATAAGAGTAAACAAAAAAACACATCCTCGATCTAAAGACAAAACACAAAGAAAATTAAGCTTTAAAAGAATTTATAATACCAGAGGGAAAACGATTCCAATATTAAGAAAGGTAAGAACGGTTTTTGAAAGAATGCTCATTAGGTTTTTTTCTAATTGATAGAGAAACGGAACTATTCCAAAATGACGTCCGATAATAGTTGGGAGAACTGATTGCCGAAAGTTTGTTCTTAAAGGGGCTGGATATAAGTGCTGTAGCTCAACAATTCTAGCATTGTAAATATATTTCCCAGATACCTAACATAAGTCAAAGTTGGAAGATGTCCATAGATAAATTAAAGGGAAAGAGTTAAGCAATACGGGAAATTTCAAGATATCAAGTTAACTGTAATAAAGAGAAGTAACGAAGTGGAACGTCTTTAATAATTATGATTGCCTTATTCTACAGACTGATACTGTTGGACAGTGCTAATCATAGATATTATCCCACAGTGCACGTTCATAACAAAGAAGAGAACAAGTAAGCAAACTGTAGTTACCAAACAGAGACAAGCTTCGTCGATCTGATTACAAAAAGAAAAAAAGGAATTAATAGTAATAAGGGTACTATAATCTATAACCAATGAGTGAGTGGGATTTCGCAGTTAACAAAAAGGGTATTACCAAATATTGTCAACAAGATAGTGATTTGATTTACATCACAATTTTCAGGTTTTCACGCTGTTACGAAAGGTTGTTACAGGAGGTCGTCATGAAGAGAGCCATAAATGAGTTAAGCAGGAAGGCAATTTGTACAGTTATCTTTCCTATGTTCGAGTACGTGCACGTGAAAGAACTTGTTGCAGTGAAGAAAAATATTGAAAAGTGGTCACGTAATAGAAATTAGAAATTTTAATTTTTGGCGCCACAAAAAACTAATTATATTTCCTCGCTTGCTCTCAGAATAGCTCAAGTCACCCTGTTTGCGGGGAAAATTGGGGCGAAAATTGTCTCATTTGTCTAAAGGGAGAGCTTGAAGTCCTTGTGTGTGGTGATCAAGCAGTCCACCCACTCAGCTTGCTTGATAGGTGAAGGGGAAACAACGAATCTTCCACCTCAGATGCACTCAATGCAGGTCAGTTCCTCTGAAAAATTGAAAGGTGTTACGAGTAACTTTGGGGATTCGCTCCAAAGTATTCGTTCGTGTTAGGGCACCAAGACTCCTCATCTGGTTTTCTTCTTTACTCTGCTATTTCTTCTGGTTGTACTACGGCAACTAGACAATTTATCAGCTAACTGATCAGGTCCAATACGCGTTCTTAAGTGATTTATTGGTGAATATGTTTGGGTTAGAAGACTGTCGATTTTGAAGAATTAAACCTCTCTGTAAAATTTCTACCCCAAACATTTGCACAAGGTTTCTAGAAGTGAATAACAAAGCACTTGATGTTCCACACGATTAAATGTCGATAGTTGACAGCAAAAACAACAAAAAGGAACTATGTTATTGATCCAAGCCAAGGCGATCAGACAAAACCAAACAGGAACTATGTTGATACTGTTGTTCCTTTGTTGTTCAACGCAAATATACAAAATGTTTATGATCAATTTGGTAAAGATATCCAAGTTCAAAGCTAAACAGCTCGGCGTAACACACTTATCAGTAAAGCAAACTCTGGCGAACTGCCTGAAAAACAAAAATATGTTTATCAGGAAACGTAAAGTGAGGGCAAAATCTACCTCCTGGACAACTAAACTCTAAACATAAGTAAGTACTTTATCTGAAGATTGTTTTCATAAGGCGCCCATTTTTCGAATGTCATTTCTCTTTTTGATTTTTCTTATAATCCAAAGAAGGACTTTCATCTAATTTCTCCTTACAATATCACCCCTGCATCACGCAGTAGGGTCACGAGATATAAGAACATGATTACGAACTGAAGAGATCAAAGAAACTTTTCATTGTTACACAAGCTCTCCTTGTCAGCGCCTTCGGGACTAAATGAAGATTGGTATGGAGAATATGCATACTGATGTTCGTGCATGCACATGCATGCACATGCATGCACATGTATGCACATGCATAATGTCGTGTATTATGAAGTGGTATAACTCAATTGCTCATAGACTGTCTATTGTTTTTTGTTGCCTAGTGGCCGTTTCACGTTAATCCCTTGCAGTTCCCTGGTCACTAAGACAAACTTTAAAATTGCTCGGTTACCGTTAAGATGCACGCAACGGAATTCGCAAGTTGCGTAAGGATTTAGATATGAGTGACCGTTGCGTGGCCACTGCTTGAGCCTGAAGATTGGGCTACGAATCAAATCGCCATGTTTTTTACCATATTTGGTGATACTCCTTTGTTCTCGCCTTCCAAGTGGTACGAAAACTGCTCTCGCTCATTGGTTACTGGACATAGTGCCGCCCTATACTACTCGCACTATTTCAAGTGAACAATTCGCACAGTTTAAATATATCAACCAAATTTTGTTATCGGTTCTGGCTACTTAGAGGAGTTCTTTGTTTCACTATTTTTTTTCCCTTTCGTTCAGCTTTCTGGAATTGAGTTGATATTAAATACATAGATTGTTCATTTTGATAAGAATGTTAAGATTCTAATTTCTTAGCCAGTCGTTAATGCTATGTTTTCAGTGTAGGGTATACGTTTTTTGTGCTTGTCGTATACAATACACAATAAAAGCTGCGGTGAAAAAAATTGGGTAAAAACTAGGAAATACTAAGAAAGCTGTTACGTCTCAGTTCCTTCAGCAAAACGTAAGGTATGTTACGTTATTTTTAAAAGTGTCAACGAACGATTGGTACTAAGTAGCTCTTAGATTTACAACTTAGTAGAAGAACTGAATTACAACCATTGCTGGTGGACTTGTAAATACCTGTAAATGCTGCAAAACTTATAAGTAAAAGAAGGTTCAATATTGAATTTAGCTGTAAGATCTGCCATGTCCCTTTTCTTAAAGATTCTCGGAAACAAAAGGGGTTCTGTATCGAGTCCTCAAGAGTTGCTGTGTCCCTTCAAGGAAATAGTTGCTACATAGCGAATGAAAAGTCAAAGTGACGGGGAAAAAGTCTATCCATAGGTGTTTGTCCATTTACCTTACACATGCTATTGGATTGTTTCCTTCACAGGAGGCGATCTGCTTTTACCAGTGGATAATGATTTCCGTTCTTTCCGCCCGGATAACAATGGCTTCTGGTATTACAAACCCGGACAATCTCCAGCCACTGCCACTGATGGCAGAGGCAACAAAATCTGTGACCCAAGGAAAACCGTGTTTGAGCCGCACGAGTTTTTCCGTTTTATGTATGCTGAGAGGTGGAGCACACCATCTGGCAAATTTTTTGTAAGTTTTGCCAGCTGTTGAGACGTTTCGATAGACATTTATCGGGCGCTATTATCACAGACCTCAAAATTTAACAAAAAGATATTTGTGATTTCATCTCACTCCTTCCATTTTGCACAATGACCATTCTACATCTTTGAGGATGTTAAATGACATTTTTGACAAGATCCTTTTATCATTTGCTCCTTTTCCAATGTTTTCTAAGTCATGAAAACATAGCTGCGATAACCCTGAGATCTAAAAAGTCTTTTTGCAGCATCCAGCATTTTTTTTTATTTTAATAATCTGAACAGAGCTAACACAAATCAAATTTTTTACTTAAAAGGAAGATGACAAAAACCCCAAATTGTTAAAAACGATTAAGGCATTAAAAGTGAAATGTGATATACTTCTGATCTTTGTTACTTGCACTTCTCAATATAGAGATCTTTATGAGCATTTTAATCTAGCAGTTTTTGCCAAGTTTCCTAATCGTTAACCTCTAAAAGCTCTAAGTGTAAAAATACCAGGTATGCACATTAACACAAACTTTATCGCTTTTGTCCCCCCCCACACAACCTTTCTTATCCTGTGCATACCATCTCTGCAACTCCCGGTTGCGGGAAACAGATACCGGACTTGAATTGCCGGGAAAAACCAACTCTGGTGAGGTGTGATCGGCTCCTTATAGAATATAAAAATGTTTTACGTTTACACATAGCCATAGGAGGTGGAAACACAGTCTCCTTTACGGTGAACGTCATCAGCTTTTTACCCGCATATCTTTCGCGTGTACAGCACCAGTAAGACACAAGTGTTAGGGAACTACACCTTATTTGTCCTGATCTGTGAATAAGATTCATTGTCTTAAGCTTCCCACTCTTTGTCTCGTTGAAGGGGCCGTAACTGCCACTTTTGGCTTCAAAGCACACAGGTGCATGGTAAACTTTTTGCCAGTTCCCTTGTATGAAATTTCGTAATAAGAGTTTCTTTAGTGTAAGGTTAGAAAAAGACCTGATAAAAATAAAATATCTATGCTTGGTTGGGGTTACGAAGCAGCTGTTTTATTGTTATTTACTAAATTAGAATTTGTCATCAAAATTTTCTGCTTTACAAAACAAAGAGGCAATTTTAAAATAAGTGCTGAAAACAGCTTAAAGAAATGTATTCAATCGTCAAATTTCCACGCACATTTGGACTGTTTATGATTCATTCAATGAAGTAATCCTGCCAAAATCTCCATTTTACCCCGCAAAATGTGCCACAAACCTGAATATTTATATTCAGTCGTGCGTGTAGGTTGATGCTATCTAGGTTTCGTAAAAGTATTTCGTTTTAAGTGGGCGAGAGGTTTTATAGGTCTGATGTTCTCTGTTATAAAAACATTTTGACTACTATTGGTATTCTTGCCTGGTGTCCTGCATTTCTTCAACCTGCCGAATGCGATCCTTGTTTTTCAATGTCGCCCCCAATGAAATGGCTAATTCTTTGCAACTTTTTTGTTACTACAAGGGAACATTACGTGTTTTCTTTCTAGGAATGCAAGATATGCAAGAAAGATCAACTCAGTTTTAGTTATCTTCGTAGAAGTTTGTTTCACCGTCAAGTACACAGCATGATTTTTTGTAAAACCATTTGTCTGAAGACTATGGAAATAACATGGCTAAGTTTGATTACATTGTGTCTAAAAAAATTTACCACAGCTGCATGCACCTTGTTTATTTAAACCGTGAAAAGATAAGATAACTTGAAGGGTTTTAATTGGGCTTTGAAAATATTCTGATATTTCAAAATTGAGGCGTCAGTACCGAAACTTATTGCCAGCTAGTTAGCAGAAGATATATTTTCGTTATAAGTGGTGTCTTAGCATATGAAAATAACAATTTTTATTTTCATGTATTTTTTTATGGGTAATGGTAATCTTTCCCACTGAATTGGACTGAGTTTTCTCTCAAAATTATACTGTAAAATATTAGAGGTCGTAAGGGGTTTAGTGCAAGCGAAGGCAATTCGGCTTTCATCTAATTCAGTTGTAGCTTTCGTTGAGAAACGATTCTATCACCTGCTTAAGTCTCATTGATATGCTTATTTCTTTCACAAATTATTCTGAGTCGTCTTCGTCACTTTGCTGAACCAGACTTTACGCTTGTTATCAGGGTAATTTTAGTATTATCGACTGAGTTGATAACGAAAATTGGCCACCGTTAAGAGTTTCAGTTTCAGTTTCGAGTGACCAGTTTTCTTTTGAACAGCGTTCCTGTGGTGCAAAACGTGAGGGACAATGAATAATTTGGAAATAATGTCCAGGGAATAATGAATAACGAATGTTTAGCTTCTCTCAGCCCCAAAGTTAATTCAAAGGCCATTGCGCGGCATAATTTATTTACACTATAAAGTACAAATGTGTTAATCTTGATAAAAATCTGTAATTTGTTCGATGGAAAAGAACACTATGTAGAAAAACCTTTATGTACATCTAAGCTCTAAATTAAGATGCCATGATTAGAAATTAAGTTCAGGGTCCGATTCTACTTGTTCTAATGCTCAGTATATACAACTGAAACAAGTAAAGCAAGAAAACAAACAAACAAGAAAGTATCAAATGCTCTTCTGAGAGGCGTGTGAGAGACTGTTTACCGAGGAACAGGTCCTAAGTGCTCTGTAGATCTCGCTCAAACGTTCAGTTATAGTTTTGGCTTGAACATATCCAACTTTAAACGAAAACAAAGCTCATGTTGTGTGATGTCTCAACCATGGAAGAACAAATCTTATTGCCCTTCGATCATAGTCCATTCACCGAACGGATATTCGTGAAACTAATATCAGGGTGCACCGTTACATTCATTTGCACAAAAAGAGAAATGTGAGCTAATTAGCTCGTAGGATGGGCGTGAAAGAAAGATTGAACGGCCATTATTTACTCTATATCGCAACAAAATATTTCACTCATTTCATTGATATTTTTCCTTTAAAAACTGTAAGCCTCCGTCCAGTTAACCATTTATTATAACAAAATTAAATGTGTTGGAAAAGCCAAAGAATAGTACGGGTTCACCTATATCATGTGCCTAGATCCTAATTGTGTGATTGACATGTTGTACTGCTTGGCCATAGAAGATCTGGGTTAGACGAGGCTCACACATACCAGGCGAACACATCAACACAAGTTTGGCCTGTATTTTTGCTCTCTGAACAATCCATCCAATCCTGTCCATACCATATTTGGAGCTCTTCCTTGCGTGAAACAGATAAGGGATCAACTAGGTGACTAAATTCAAGCTCCTTCGATTTATGACCAACTCCGAACGGATTGTAAAAGTGTTTTTTGCTGCCACACTGGTGATTGCTTCCAGATTTAAAGGCCATCAAATTTTCCAAAGGTGGAAATAATGATTTTTTATTTCCATTTGTAATAATTGTCATAAAGTAATTGTTGCCGTAGAGTGAATATCTGCAGCCCCAGTAAGATGGCTCGTCAACTCGGTTACAGCGTATGGAACCCGATCTGTGGATCAGCTTCATTGCTTTAATCTGGCCACTCTTTGGGACGTGAAATGTACCATGTTGGTTGTCTCGTGCTCCAAAGCACACTGGATCTGTATTCATCTTCTGCCAGTTTCCTGGGATTTTTTGAGAAAAAATGGCCTAACATCATCATCAGTGATAATCTGTCTGTCTGTCTAACTATCTCTCTGTCTGTCTAACTATGTCTGTCTGTATGACTGTCAGTCTGACTGTGTGTATTTTTGTCTGTCTGACTGACTGACTGTCTGTCTGTCTGAATTTTGTCTGTCTTTCTGACTGTCTTCCTGACTGTATGGCTCTCTGTTTGTCCGTATGACCGTCCGGTAGTCTATCTGTCCGTCTGGCTCTCTGTGTATATTTCTGTCTGACTGACTGTCTGTCTGCCTGGCTATAAGTCTGTCTGTCCGTTTACCTAGCTGTCAGTCCGACTGTATGTCTGTCCCTCTGGCTGTCAGTGTATTTGTCTGTCTGACGGTGTGTCTCTGTCTGTCGCACTGACTGAATGACTAACTATCTGTCTGTCCGTCTATTTGTCTGTTTGGCTGACTGTTCGTGTGACTGGGTATCTGTCTGTCTCTCTAAGAGACAATGCTCTTCTTTTTCTCTTTTAAGTCTGTTGCTCTAGAAGTCTTGCCTTTACAGCGAGCTTTGATCACGTGATCAGTTCCATCTGAGTATATCCAGAAATCTCCATCAGCCATATCCTTTCCTTCACTGGCTTTGATCTCACTGCACGACTCAGCCGGAAGCTCTTGACTAGATCCAAGAGGAACTTCAAGCGAAGGAGTGACATTTATCAGAAACGTAAACTCGACACAAACCCAACTTACTGCTAATCGCCATAAAATCTTAAATCTTACTTCTATACGCTTCGGCTTAGCTTTCAGCATACACTTGTTATCGTCACATCATATCACGCAACAACGATAACAATATTTTCATCAGAATGCGTTCCTTGGTTGAAATTTTTTTTTGGTCGAAACAGAAGCTTTTTTCTCCAACGAATTAAAACTGATACCCAACAGCTCACGTCTGAAAATATACTTTTTGACTAAAAACAAATTTATTTTTACCCTGGTGTTAGTTATTTTTTCATACGATAACTATGTTCTTATTTTTTCGACATCATCCATTTAAAACAACAGCGTATTAAGATGAACAGCAATGAAACGTCGCTATTGTGATTTAGATGGTCAAGAACTTAAACTGCTGCCCTTACGACAGCGTAAGCTTGTCCGAAATGCCTCACGTTTCCTCACGTTACATTGTAGCTCATACGAAGGAGGAGGAGGACACAAGCCCAAAGCAATTAGCACACATCCATCAAGAGCTACACCTGAATTAAGAGAATTATCTACGTGCCCACATTTTATATTCAAATATATTCAGTAACGGAGGAGAAAGAAGAAAGTGGAATCCAAACGTACCTCGGTCACTCAGACGTTTAATGTAGAATCGACTCCGGTCTGGAAGAAAATCCTCTGGTCTTGCTTCTCTTGTTCGGTTATTAAGTTCGCAAACTTTCTCACTAATAAAATAATTGTAGCTCTGACAGGTGAATTCATCCTGACATTTAAAATAGCATTCCTCTGGCAACCCAACCTTTGCCGTTTTAAACGTGTGGCCCTTGAGGAACATTCCAAAAACAGAGTATTCCACTGAATGGCATCGATCGATGGCCTCACTAAAAGAGATTTGGAAAATCTCAACCACAAGTGATAACCACAAAAATGTCTTCATAGCACCAGGATCTCTGAAAAAACAACAACCACAAAAACCTCTTTGCAAAAAGTATTACTAGTAACTAGCAGTTAAAATGACTCATATTTGACGAGTGAAGCAGTTACACTATATAACGAAGCACAACTGGCCCGATTAAAAAAAAATGTTATGGGTTTCATTGTTGTTCACGCTAAACAGCTTTCCACTGCATTTTGTATTTTGAAACAATATAAGCTGAAATTACCAGTATTCTTTGCTTAGTTTCGCAATCACTGATTTAATTCCCCAGAAATCGTAAAACGAATCAACAATTTCCAGTTTCCGTATTTTTAAACTGTTTCCGAACGCACTGAGGATGTGACAGAATATGTGAAAGAAGCCCTCAAAATGTCTCTTGCGTTTGTAAGCCAACCTTCATTCACTGCAAAGTGGCACCTCGAAAATCGGGACAAATTTCTTTTTCCACCTAAGTTTCATAGAAAAGTCCAAGGTCCTTCACCAGAATTGGATCCCGTTGTCTGTTGTCTGGATGTAATTCGATGGCGGTAGAAGACCGCGAATAATATGACATATAACTGTTTTTATTCTCAACGTCAATGTTCTCGCTTTACCGCTGCAACCTCTGCTTCAGTTGTGGGTTACTGTAAGAGTGAATAATTTTTACTGTAGAAAAACTAATAGATGGCGAAGAATATCAGCATCTGCCTGCGAGTTAAGGCAGTTAGCATTTTGAGCTTCTCAAGTACACCAGTTTTGTCAATACAAGTGAGAAAAGCAAAAACCAAAAGGATGGAAAATATTCATCTATTCAGAACTCGGAATTATCCATCAGCCGATGTTTATACGTACCCCGCTGAGACCAACGAAGGGTCAGTAAAACCAAACAGGATACTTGAAAGAGTCGGCTTTGCGCCTCTAAGCGACATATGGTGAAAGGAGTAAAAAATAAAATGTTTGTAACTACTTTGGATTTGTAAAGTGAATAGCATTCTGTGCGCTTTTGATATCTTGGAGCTCTAAAAAAAGGTTCATGACGAGAGTCTACAACCCTCGAATTAGGTCTAAACAAAAATAAATTCTTTTAATTCATGCACTTAAATAAAATCATTCGAGTATTCTGTAGGTTTTTCCTCGAGCTTTCACGTGACATCTATTCAAATGACTGAAAAATCTGAAATTTCGAGCAATTACAAGTGAATTTGCTTTGCAGCGCCGAAAACTGATGGGATTCACTGAATAATTCGTCCAAATACAGATTGTTGTGTAAATTCTTAATCAACCGAGCTCTGTACTGGATTCAACTCTGTACCTGAGTTTAATACAAAGAAACTTAGAAGGATTGCTCCCAGTCTCTGACCAAAGTGTCCTGCCGTGATAAGTCTCAACGAGAATTTTCTGGTCCTCGATATTTTGTTTATTTTTCTGAAAAATGCATTAATCCGAGCAGAAAATATCGATTAATATGAACTTCTCCTTAGCAAGTAATAAAAAGGGGCATTCCTCATAAACATCGTTAAAATGCCCGATACGTTCGATGAAATAGTTACCTTTCTTCCCGTGATAAAGATGCGACGAGGCATACACCTAGTTTCATAAAAACTATGAAAAGCTCACTGATTGTTTACAATGGAAAGTCTTAACTGTTAATAAGCAACAGATCCAGAGCACCCCGCTGTCAGCATAAAAATGAATTGTTGCACTCACTTACTCTTTTTCATCAAACTAGTTCGAATTTTTCGGTTTTTTTTTTTCTTTTTCCCGTTTTAAGGGGAAAAATTTTGATTGAAGAAAGATATTCAGTTCTTCTGCTGCCAACGTGAGACAAAAGTAAAAATCTGATCCAGAGGGCAGTTAAATCTTCACTGATGATTAGTATGACATGAAGAACCAACAACACCATCACATTATTCTTAAACTCCGTTTCGATGTACCAGTTTAAACCTAATAACTCGAAGTCTATCTTACTTGGACAAAAATATGAGAACTATAATGATTACAGCTATCATGTCAGGCGGATTAATTAATGATTTATTGTCCCCGCAGACAAAATTGGTACTGAAGCAGTATACAACAACTTACGTAAAAAGCCAATAACGGTCCGAGTAACAAGAAAGTCACAAATCAATCATCACTGACGTGGTTACGTATAATATTCAAATTGTAAAGTTTCCCTGCTGACACGTAAGGTTTCTGAAATTATCGGAACGTTGAGTCTGCCGACTTTGCAGTTTATCTTTTAAGGGGGCTCCGCATGGAAATGTAGTACACAAATTACCATTTAAAACAATCTGTTGAATCTTTAAAAATTTACCTATATTATTTGTTTCGCAAGGAATTATAATTAATCCTTATAGTTCTATAAATGTAAAATTTAAATTAGGAAGCAAGCTCTGACAGGCAAATAGCGAGTGAAGACTTTCAATAACATGTGTTAAACACAAGTATTAGTTAAGGTTTACAAATGGGTAAATTCGACATATAACTAAATTTATAAATATTTCATGGGGTTCGTCTGGTTAGTAATTTTTGCCGTTAAACGATCTACTCAAACTTCTTGTTTATTTACAGAGTTTAGCAAATAAGTGTCAGGGGACCAGCTGAGCGCTTGAACATCAGCACACCTAAGAATTTTTTTGAACAAAGCCCACTTTATTTCTCTTCTCGAACTGAAACGACGACGATCAATGTCTATTTCTCAAACTATCAGTGGCCTCTGAAACTTCGCCCAAGGACAGGACGGTGCTGACAATCAGATTGAAAATGTGTGATAAGATGTTTTCCACTTAGACTGACATACTAATAAACTATTTTTCCGGAAATGTTGGTTACCACTGCACTTAAGCTTAAAATTTGCTAAAAGCCTGGATTGTCAGTAGGAAAATGTCTTTTATCAAGGTTTGATTAAATATCACCAATGTTCAGTATATTGGTCTCTCTCACTCTCAAAATTTACACGCCTCTTCTTCTTCCTAACCTCTTACCACTTTTTCGCTCTTTCGGGTGATTTTCGCGATTCGGTGGCCAGCTCTTGAATGACGACTGAACGAAGCACCAGCTACGCAGGATTTATATCAGTAAATTGTTTTGGTATCCACAGAGCACGAGAGAGGTTTATCAACAGTTCTTTATAACCCACCCATAATTTCAACGCGATTTTATTAGCCACTATAGCCACGTGATGCTAAATCACCGGACAGTTATCACACAATAACCCCGTCCACGTCAACATTTGTCCTATGATTATTAACAAGCCTGCGGACAAAAAGCCATTTCAAGAGTTCTATCTTTTCATCTCGATTACTTTACACGGAGGAAAACCAACTCCGTGTTGTCCAAGCTGGTCGTGAATACGCATCGGCCATCACTTCAACACTTTTTTACCATCAGCTCTAGTGCGATACGAACATCTGGTAAATCAGTTGTTATAATCTATCCATTAATTTTCGCGCGACTCTCCCACTGACTCGACTCTTTTCACCGACTAGTTACTTGTGACATTCGTCATCTGATTATTTCCGTCGGAAAGAAAAAAAGCCAGCGGAAAAAGCCTCCTCGGGAACTTCACTTTTTTATCTTTGTTATTTATTTAGAAGAAAAACGAACTGGTTTTGTAGACTTCATTGGTAGTGGACATTAAAAAGCTGATTTCAAATGTTGCTCTGGAAAGTACAAAATGTAATTGAATATGTAATTGCCAAGGCAGCTAAGAGATTATAGCGGAGCTCGCGTAGCCCCATAATTATAGCGAAGCTCGCGGAGCGTAGCCCCATAATTATACAAAATAGTAGTAACCCATCAAGCCGAAAAATTTGGATGTACGATCGTATGACCGTACAAGGCGCTAACATGCGTGGTCAACTGTACCGCGAGCACGCCAACGCCACGGTTTTGTCCAGTAGTCCAGTGGCCAGTGCTCATGGCTCCGAGTCGGACGACCCAGGTTCTAGTCCTGGCCGGGGCAAGGCGTTGTGCCCTTGAGACGTGAGGGAAAAAAATGCGAGCACCGCTTTTAGGCTTGGCTAGATCTATATGTTACGCCCTTAGGTTGTTGAGGCGCGCAAGAGTCATGTCAGAAGACATGCTCAACATGTACACATGTAATATTCGATCAATCTCCGAGTATGCTGTGCAAGTGTGGCAAGATATTCCTGCATACCTTTCTGGCGCTATCGAATCAGTTTACAATCAAGTCGCCCGAGTCATCTCGCCCGAAACCTGAGTCATGTTGCCCGAAATTTTAGTCAGGTCGCCCGAAAAAAAAAGTCAAGTCGCTCGAAGAAACAAATACTAAAAAGATCAGAATTTCACTGTGAATAGGCAATAACGTTGAGAAATTGAAATATGTTTGAGTAACGATTCTAAAAGCGTGGTTCGTTTCTAACAACAAAGGAAAGCGTTCTCTGTTTCAAACAAAAAAAAGGAAGCGCTGTTCGTTTGGTACCTACTCGTTTCTTTCTTTTCGTAAGAAAAGAGTACATACCAAACGAACAACGCTTCATTTTTTTGTCAGAAACGGAGAACGCTTCCCTTTTTTGTTAGAAACGAACCACGCTTTTAGAATTTTTACTCAAACATATTTCAATTCCGAGCATACGATCGATTTCTGTGTAGTCAAAGTCTTCATGGTATTGTTAGAAACCAAGAAAAAGTTTCTCTAGCTTACGAAACGTCCGTGAGTAAGAAACGATTACATACCAAACGAACAACGCTTCATTTTGTTGTTGGAAACGAACAACGTTTCGCTTTGTTGTTAGGAACGAACAACGCTTTAAGAATCTTCATGGTGTTGTCGGAAACAAAGAGCGCTTTAGTGATAAAAAAATTTCTCATCGTTATTGCCTATTCACAGTCTGAAATTCTGATCTTTTTAGTATTTGTTTCTTCAGGCGACTTGATTTTTTTTTTCGGGCGACATCACTAAAAATTTCGGGCAACATAACTCTCGGGCAACTTGACCGGTTACCATTGAATCTATACAAAGAAGAGCTTTAAGAATAATATTCATTTTTTCCGCCAATATCAACTGCAGACACTATTTATTTATACTAAATATTGTTGGTTGAAGAAATACAGTTTACAGTTTACCTTCATTGAAGACAATTCTCCGAGGTGGACCAGGAGATAACAGTGAAAAGAAATAAGTCGAATAACTTTGTGTCAATGTTTACTTTATCTAACTTTAACATAACTTTGCAAATATAAAATTTGAATTTTTCTTTCAATAAAATTGCAAATTTATTTTAAAAACTGTAAGTCCCCTAACAACTTTATATGTAAATCAACCACTCTTAAAAACTTGTAGCCATCTCACACAGAAGCGCCAGAACCTCACATGAATTAAGTTTCATCTTGATTGAGGTTATCTCTTTTGCAAATATTTCTTTTTTAGTAAATTAAGTCAGGGTCTCCAAGGGGTTTGGCTTAATAAATCATTTATATTTTGTTAATCTAAAAAGTTCATAATTATTCATATCCTAGATTGTAATTTGTCTTTATGTATGATTGTCGAGATGGTGAATTTTGTAAATTCAATTTTTTCTGCATGAAGTACATCTGTAGGTTTAGGTAAGCAAATATATAAAAAATGCTCTCCAATTTTGCCAAAACGTTTCTGAACAAGGTTTATGATATCATTTTATCACATTTATTATTGATGTAATGTTTAAAAAACGAGCAGGAGTGTTTTATCGGGTTTTTGACCCGATAAAACACGTGCTGCGAGTTTTTTGAACGGCTTCAAAAACATTCTTGGAAAAGCGTGTGTCAAGAGAGTTCATAACAATTATGCTTTTGTGAACGTTAGAAATTAGCATACGAAAAGGTCAAACGCAGAGGTTTGCGAAAACGAGTTGGAGTCACTTCTGCCAACTGATCTTGAATTCGAAGTTTCAGATGATGTATTGTCTAATATGCCTTTACCAGATTACTGTACTAATGGAATAGAGAATTTTTCAAGATGTGTATTTCACAACTGTACTATTAATTTGGTGCAAAAGTAAATTTACTGTGTGAAAGAACATTAAATATGTTCCCACCATTTGTTGTGTCAGTTTCTGTGTTGATAATTAATTAATATTCATAAGTCACGTGCAGTGTCTTTATATCTGATAAAACACCGCATACTAATGAGGATGAGGTTTATCGATATAAAGTCACTGCACGTGATGTAGTATCCACTATTTGATAGGTTAATGGGCTTATGAATTATTAATGAGTTTTTGAAGAGCTTGTAAACAACTTCCTTGGAGAGGAGACCATTATGATTGATATGCACAGATGCCCCCTCTGATGCAGACAGAGGTAGTTTTTTAATTAATGGTCACCAGCCTCTGTTAGGAATCCACTTGTCAACAACTTCATCATCCTTCACAACATAGTATACAGGATGCATGTAGGCTGTGGCACATGCCTGAAAAATCCACAAATAAATGTTACATTCATTTTACAATAATTACTGTGCTTGGTACAATTTTGTCACTTAAACTTACCAAGAAAGTATTGGGTAAACCACACATAACAAAAATACTCTCCCAAACCTCCTGTTTCAAAAAGCTTGCAAGTAGGTTGTATAGGGGTAAAGAGCAATCCTATTAAAACATTACGTTTCAGCAACATGTCACCATGTCATCAAATGCAAATGAGAAACGATTACCAAAGATAAAGATAGTAAACGAAAATGGGAAGCATGACTTTAAAATGCCAAGAACAAGACCATAGAATAACTAAAGGAAGAGTTTCCTAAAGTGAAGTTTGTCTTAATGTTTAAGGCTGATCTCTATTCTTTAGTGAGTGACATCTCATAAACAAGGCACTCAACCTTTCCACAGCATTTCTTTAAGATCTTAAATTGTACATGAATATTATTTGATCTTTAAATGCCATATATATTTTTTCAATAAATTCAACTTCGTCATGTCTTTCAGAAATAACACATAAATGTGTTTAATACAACAAAACATAAGGATGATATATACTATAGCTCACTTTGAGGTCTAATATTAATTCGCTTGTGATTCTTTTGTTGTGTATATAGATGACTAACACAGATTATACTCACATGAAAGGGAATTATCCTTAAGAATGACCCAATTGGATAGAGCAACAAATCTAAAGGCCCTTCCACTGCTTGCACTGTGCTAATTTCTTGAGTCATTTTGACAAGTCTGCAATTAAAGAAACATATTTGATAGTGAGAATGCTATATACAAATTCTACAAGTTTAAATTTCTCCCTCCTCTTGAAAATGGAAAATTTGAAATGGCAAACAAATTGTTTTTTCGCTTCTTCCATATTTCTTCATTTGAAGAAATATGTTTTTCCAGATAGCTTGTTTCAAGCTCATTGATAGAGATTGCAACTGGTGTGGCCATATTTGCATTACCCCACAGGAAACACCCACATACAGCCTGTGAAGGTTGATCTACAATAGACCTATGCCTCTAAGAAAAGTCTACAAGGATTTTTATCCGTGTAAAATGTATTTTTCAACCACCACCATCACCAAGGCTAAAAATTAACTTCAGTGCTTGGTGACCAGTCGGGCCAGTTTCCTTGAATTCTTAGTGGCCCATCCCAAAATGAAGGAGCCCTCAATTTCCTCTAGTTTAAAATGAAAAACTTGAATAAACACCCCTTAGCTTTTAATGGAGCATCAAATAAAAGGAAAGAATAAGCTCATGAAATCACTGCTTAGACGGCTCAGAATTTCCACTTCAGAACTAAAACTTTGCTATAATGGATGATCTTAGAGTCCACGCAAAGAAACAAAGAGAAAGGTAGTCCAATTGAGTTACATATTGAGCTTTATTTGTAACTTTGTACTTCACATACTTTACATTGCAACTTTTCGAAATTCTGTGGCATAGTTGCACATCAGGTGTTCAAATGTTAACTTTTGGTGGCCCTTGTCAGTTCTAATTCGCCACTGGTAATCATACAACCACCAATTTTTTTAGCCCTGCATCCCCCCCTTCCCCTTCTCCTTCCCCCCCCCCCCTCACACAGCCTGCAGCTGTGGGGAGGAGTGTTGTGACAGTCATTGTTTTGTAACAGTTGTACCTTTTCAAGCCAACTTTGTCACCACAGAGACTATGTTCAGAAAACAGTGCTTTATGGCTCAAACAAAACACACATACTTAAGATTTGGATGTCCTTCAAAGTAACAAAATCCTGTTTTGAGTTTCCCAAGGCTATCATGGGACAACCCAGTCCAGCCACAGTCAATCAAAATTTGTTCCCTATCAGGGTAGTGTCCAATCACTCTTGTCAAGACTCGCACTGCAATATCATTCAAATCACATGATCCAGTTAGGTACTGCTGATAGTCTGAAGAACAAAAGCGTGAATAACTAATTGTTCTTCAGAATCCAGCTGCATTTTTACCAAAAAGGGAAAAAAATAAGTTGTAATTTTATAGTGACAGTTAAGTATAATACTTCTTTTAAAGACATAAAAAAATGTACTAAACAAAAAAGTGAATTCACCAACCATAGAATACATAATTTCCTGGATGAAACTCATTAATTCCTTCAACATCATCTGGAGGTTTAGAGCAGGATGGAGTTGCTCCTATTGCAACAGTAGGAAATTCGATACCAGCTTGTTTAAGTCTACAATGAAAGTAAAATAAAGAGTAAATTAAAATAACTCTTTAACAGCTGTTTATTTGTTTTATGGGTAACTGGTTAAGTTGTCCTAAGGTCATCTCACCCGAAGTCACCTTTTTACAGAACATGACTCAATTGTCACCCGAAATTTCAGTCATGTCGCCAGAAATTAAATGTCAAGTCTCTGGAAGAAACAATTACTTAAAAGATCAGACTTACAGATTGTGAATAGGCTATAAAATTGTTTATTCTAAGAACAAAATAGAGCATTGTTAGTATGGTACATACTCATTTTGTGTTAACGGAGTTTTCATAAACTTGAGAAACTTTATTATACAGGCAGTTTTGGTTTCTAACCACATCATGAAGACTTAGACTAAACAGAAATTGCTAATGTGGTCAGAATTGAAATATGTCTGAGTAACAACTCAAAAAGCATTGTTCCTTTCTATAACAACAATATGCAGCATTGCACTGTCTGTTTGGTATTCACTCATTTCATACCCATGGATGTTTCTTACTCTGTCTATTCATACCCAATGTGAATTGGTTTGCTCCAAACCCCAAACACTCAGTCTGTTATTTATACTTGTGACTTTTTCAACAATAGTAGTCCAGCTTGTATTGAATGTGGCAATTGAGTTAGACCATGCCAACAGGCCCTACAGTGCCACCATTGCAGTCTTTGGCAGTATCATACCTGTGAGTTTGGCATGGACCAAAGAACATACCGTTTGGCCACCATAAAAGGGTGAATAGACTGGCAATGTGTTGCTTGTTTAATCACAGCCTAAAACCCATCGGACCAAATTTCTAAAAATTTGGGTGACATGACTCAGGTCCCAGGGGGACATGACTTCAGGTGAAATAACTTCAAGTGACTTGATAATAGACTGTGTTACATACAGTGAAAAACTAGTAATGGACCAAAATTGCAACTCAAAATCAAAATTCAAAAGTTTTGTGGGCTGCTTCACAGAAAGATCATCAAGCACACTGTCAATCTCCAGAAGTTTGCTAAGAATTTTTAATTACTACCCTTACAGGTCACCATACTCTTATTGAAATAAGAAAGTTAACTTTTAAACCAAAAAAAATATCTTGCCAAACACCATCTATCAGCAACATATTTACAGAAGGAGGTTTTGAAGCAGGCAATTGAATATTGCCCACAGATACAAGTACTCTGTCCCTACCATTCACAATGGTAAGAAATGTGATCCAATTCAGTTATACCTTACAATAGAGAATGTGCAAGCACAATATATAGCTTATAAGCTAGTTAAAGCCTCAGAACACCAGCAGTCTCACCTGTGTGAAAATATTTTAAGTCTCTTGAATGTTTCACTAGCAATTTGTTTTATTTCATCTTCACCCTGACAATTGTAAGAATTCCCTTCATGGATATAGAGCCCTTTGAATGTCACACAACTCTTGGAGGAAATCTCCTTGGCCATGTCAACACTTTGAGGATCATCATACCACACACCAGCTGAAAACATGCATATTTGAGAACACAAACAGCATTAAAGGAATAGGAAGATTAAACTATAGTAGATATATCTTGTAGAAAAATTACCTTAACCCTGCCTCTCCCACAACTGATGAACATGTTACATCTCCCTATAATGAATCCAGCAAACAGGTAACAAGAACACTCAAACTTATCTCGTAGAAGTTGTTACATTTATTTTAACTAGCTTATGAGGAAATGTGCAGCAGCTAAAAGGGGGAATTAACAATTTGATCCTGGGTGTTAAAAAGGGTTCAGCCAAGAGAAAACCAAAATCTAAAAAAAAACATTTACAATTATTTCTACATTATGATTTAAAGAACATTAACTATAACTGAAGTTAATAATGCAATTTACTTCCTTGATGTACACAGTCAGGTTAATAGTAGATGAAGAATAGAAAGACTGATTTTAATGCTTATGAGGAAACGTCAAAGAAGAGAAGGATTATTGTGCCCTTGCCTCAAGTTAATCAGCTCAGAGATCAGAGATGTCTCTCTCGTGATCTAAATCACAATTGTGTGATGGCATTACAGCACTACTTATTTGAGACTGGGTGCTTATTAACTTTTCTTACCTTTAAGTTAAGTACTTATTCAAGGTTTGGTGTTTTATACAATATAACAGCTGGGCAACTCCTTAAAAAGACTTGCCCTATCCTGAACTGTTTTTATCTATTTCACACAAATAAGAACTCAGGCCCCTTACAATAACATGTCATATTTTTCTTTATCCACAAATATGCTTTTCAGAGAAGCCACAGCTACATTGTAATTATTTAAATAAATGACAGTCTTCTTTTAAAATTGTGATTTAAAAGAGCTTGCATTTTCATTTTAACACTGATTAATACATACTGTCTTTGCACCTGGGCAAGTTAACTTACTTCTGTTGTATCCACAGTTAACTTTTAGGAACACTGACCACTTTTTTCCCTCAGGAAGAGGATAAACAACAAGTGAATCAAGAATCACGTAATTGTCAACCAACACATGGAACTTCTCGAGACGTGACAAAAGCTGGGCAGCCTGTGAAACCTTGTCAGGAGAAAGCGGATAAGCATAAGTGATGTCATCATAGCCTCCATTGGAATAAAATTCTGCTTCTGCTAAAGTTGACACTGATATGCATCTTTTTGTTCCTGCAGTCATGTACTCTCCCGCTTCCCTAAGTGTAACAAAAATACTATAATTAAGGATCATTGCACAAAAATACTATAATTATGGATCATTTCACAAAAATACTGTAATTATGGATCATTTCACAAAAATATTGCCCTCTCCCAACCCAATCAGACAGGGACCCACCTTGGGTTTGACAGTAAAATTAGCTGTTCACAGGGCTGTGCACTGATAGCTTTTTCGGTTGTTGGTTCTTGTCTTAGATAATTTTAGTGGAGGACCATTATGGCATGTTTCTTGGGGGCAGGTTGGAAAGCTGTTGTATGTGTGTGATTGTATATCCAATTAGTGCTACCATTGTACTGTTGGGTATTAGCTTTAATTTTGTAGAAAACCTGTAAATTGGCCATACAGCCAGGCATTTTGTCTAGGTTCAATTAAGTTACCTTCTTTTATCTTAATTATGGGTAGGTTTTTACTAATGACCCTGAATTTTAATTTTTTTATGATACATTTCCATCTTGAATCATAATTCCCCCTGATAAAAATGTACTTCACAGGTCATCTTTTGGTAATTAAGGGACTACTATTGGTGGAGTAGTAAACACTGAATCTATCCCCTCTCTTAAGGACGTGACTGAAGTCTGAACCATTACCATTTTCAAGAAAATGTGAGTCGAAAATAGGCATATTGCTGTAAGAGTCTTAGAGAAGACAGAATTCTTTCGGGGAAAAAATTGGCAAAGTGTGTAAATACTCTGCGATAGATGGCCCAAGGTTACTTCTCAATAAACGTGGAAAAGCTTATTTGATTACCGTCCGAGACAATGAATTTTTCTTTCTGAATCTTTTTAAACCGAATTTTGGAACTTACAACGTTCTGTGAGTCTTCATATTTGTACGAAGCTCAACTCCAAGACCTTTACATCTATCTATCATGGCTTTACAATTGCTCTGAACTGTCTTTAGGTCAATCATAAACGCTGGTGTACGTAAGTCCGTAATTGTTAGTCTGTCCGCCATATTGCCTTCATGGGTCATCTCCAGGCGCCACGCAGACAGTATCTGCATAAGACTGGATTTGATTATGGATTAGTTGTCATAGTTACAAGTTACACTGAGACTAGAAAATGGCGAAGTTGTATTCATCAAGGCATTTGAGGTGTTTTTGAGATTTTCTCTCTCGGGATTTATTCGACAACATATGTTTAGTATTTAATTGGAGATCTTTCTCCTCTCCGCGTTTAAGAAATATTGACGGTTTTTTTTAAAAAAACGATCAGGTTTATGATGAGCAAGGGATAATCAACTTCTCCACGATGGATGTTCAACCCCAGGTACGCAGTTTGTACCGTCTTGTTTTGTTGTATTCTCACAAAAGACACATTCCTTAGACTCACTTGTGCGTTCTGCTAGAACAACTATGCTTCTTTTTGTTGGTAAGACTAGGTCTTTTTGGGACAAATGGTGGACTGTTACACAATTTAAAGAAAATTTTAGTAGAAGAAAATTTTCAGACAATTTAATTTGAGTAACAATTTACAGCCTTCAACCCTGAATAAGCAAGGATTATCGTAGCTCAAGAGTATCAATATCTTCGCTCTTTGTTTTCAAGAACTAGTGGAAAATAGCAAGTCCAGAGATTACACCAGTTACTGTTTCTTCTGCATTGGCGAAATAAATTTGTTTTTGTTAGGCTTCTTAACTTAGAAGTGATTTGGTTCACAGTTTTCGTCTGGCCAAGTCAAGGGTCGGAATCCTCATTCACCAGTAAGATTTCTTCCTCAGTTACCCGAGGTAAGCTTAATAAAACGCAAAGATCATTATCATGTACATGACTTAATTTCTATTGTAAATACAGAACGACTACTGTTGAGTTTCTTGCGTAACTTTAAGCTGCATTGATTTCGTTTCGCTAAAGAAAACAGCATGAAAATTAATACTGTTAAGAAGAAAGTGACAAAGTAAAGGACAAAGAAAACGAGAAATGCAATTGCTGGTATGATAGCAAAAACACAGCAATGTGTTGATCCAAGGTGATCAACATGGTTACATGTACCTTCTCTGCAGTATTCTAACGGTTAGGTATCTCTCAGAGGTACCTTCATGTAGATGTACACTAATATTATATAATATTAGAACTAATATTTTGATGGCATTCATGGTGTTTCTTGATTATTTTCAGACTCGCAGTAAGCCAGCATGGCAACAGACTGCACCATCTTTTCAGCTAAGTCCTAACAAAAGACTTGCAGCTGATGCAGAGGAAGAAAGTCGTGCATTAGGTAAGTTCCAAAATTATATTTGAATAGTTAAGTTACTCAGCAGTGTTCAAGTCTAGATTTTGCTGAAGTTACTGTCAGGAAAGCTTCGAGCCAGACAATGAAGGGATGTAAAGCTACATAAATGTAAGATCAGGTGTTTGACTTTGGATCCTATTCCCAAGTTCCAAAATTAACTTTTTGACTGCTGCATTACCAATCACATGTTATGGTCTGGAGTTGTAACCTGATAATGGACAAGTATTAAGTTCAGAGTCATTAATGAATTTGTGAATAAATAAATGGTATTCATAAACATCAACAACAATCCCAAATCAGAAAGAGCAACTTTTTTTATGTCTACATGATTACTTATTCAGGATATTTAGCAAACTTCACAGTAGGCTAAGACTTTTTTTGGTGTGGGGAGGACTCTGGAATAATCTAAATCAGTTAGCTTTCATGTAAATGATATTAACCTTAAAACAACACTTTTTTTCCACTGGTCCAATTTGTCTATGCTAATGATAATAGGTTTTGGCAAAAAAGCAAAACACTTACGCAGCAAGACTTGGGATGCTGCAAATGGAAAAACAACTCCATCCCCACCCAGTCCTCCCCCAGGCACAAATGGCAGAAAGGGAGGTACTTCATATGCTGTTAAGAAGGACAGAGAATCATTCCGTAGTGCTCTGGTCAACATCATCATGTAAGTATGGTGCTACAGTTAAAAGATGATGGGAACAATTGTCAATTTTACAACAATGCATGAATACACATGTATAGCAAAAACCTTTGACTTAAATAACTTACCAGTTACTTCCCTTATTTTTATTACTATTTTTAAATTACTTGGATAGATCCTGCAGCAATTTGTAGTTTGTAGTTTTTAAGTTATTTGGATAGATCCTGCAGCAATTTGTAGTTGCTTTCATCCTTTGCAAAAATTATCAATATACCACAAGAACTGAAAGGCCAATGAAAACTTGCTTACTGTTTTACAGGCAGAATGAGGGTACAGCTCCAGCACGTCCATCCTCTGCAGGAGAGCTCCCTCCCCTGGAGAGAACTGGCTCCCCAACTGGGGCTGAAAAAGATATTTTGGTGAGGCTCCATCACAATTCATTATTTTGATGTTATTGGAAATAAGAGTGGTTGTGTTGTTGTTATTGTGGTGGTGTTCTGTACCCCTGGCAAGAGGAGCTTTACAGGCACTTAATTTATTGATCATTTACTTCATTTATTGATTTTTAGGAAAAAAAAAACAAAGAAACAAAATTTTTTTAAGTTTGCAAAACATGTTTTGACATTATTAATGTCATCTTCAGTTACAAATTGTACTTAGTACAATTTGAATTTTCACTTACACTGTAACAGTATGTCATGGAATTACAATTTTAGTGAAAATAATAGAAATTGGTGTAGGTGTACTTTTCTTTATGGATCAGAACAAGATGATTACATCATATTTGAGATAATACAACTTTCTACATAAATATTCAAAAACTTATTCAGTTAAATTGTTCAATAGATCACATTCAGCACTTACATTTCCTCAAAAGCTTCACGATTACATGTCAACATGGATCCTCAGTAGCTTTACACTAAACTGATCGTTAATCTAACCATCCTCATTTCAATTCTATAGCGGTACTACTACTATATTCACCATGGAATCGACACAGAACATGTGGCACCTATGGAAGATTCTTGGCTTGACCATGTTTTGCAACTTGTTCCTCAAAGTTTGAAGGTAAATGTTAGGGATTGTCTTCATTTCTCAATCATGTTCTGTGTTTCTGTTTGTATCTATTAGATTAATACATGTGATAAGGTCAATCTATAAGATTAATTTAGTTGTATAAGAAATTCTAGGTCATTACTTGAATATAAACTATAATAGGAACATAAAACAGCATTTATTTAAAAACCTAATGCAATAACTAAATTATCAGTCACCTCTTGAATCAAAGATATATACACTTGTTCAATCATGTATTCCATGCAAATTATCATCAGGATAAAGTGTTAATGCTATGAACAACTTTTAAAAAAGTAATCTGATTAGATCCTGTTTTGGACAAGTCTGTTCTATATACACTGTACAAAACAAATTAATACACAATTGTACATTTTCCAAAAATAATTTTAATAAATAGACATGGTATACAGAAATGTTTGATGTATAGAAGCAATTTAGGTGCACTAATTAAGTTTTAACAGCTTGCGTATCATAATTCTTTTAAGTCAATTGGCATATCATTTGATATGCAGCAGCTTTAGTATCCATTACTTACCTTAAGTAATATTTTGCTTGTATGATTTCAGGATGGGTTTGATTTGTGTATAGAAAATCTTTCAGATGAAATGAGAGAAGATTATTTACTCAGTGTCAAAAAGGCTATTGGTATGTACACAAATCTGTTTTCCTTTTTGGAGGCAATTTCCTGTGATTCTGTCATACAAAAAAAAGCTGTAATTGATTTATTTAATATGCTGTGGAAGTTTGCTTTAATGATTGAGGCACTCAGGGTACCCTGTGGCCACCTTCATCATTCCTTCAACGTAGTCTCTTCCTGGTTATGCCAATTAAAGTTCAATTCGTGGTCACATACAGTGTACCATTCAATACATTTGTACAGAATTGTGTTTTTAAGGTCCAGCCAATTTCATTGTGGAATTAAATTTGATGTTGCATATAATTAATATTAGAGTTTATGTGGAAAGTAGGTGTTCTTTGGTTCCAAGTTAAAAACCCCTCGGCCAGGTTGTTCAAAAGGGGGTTAACGTTAATCTAGGATTAACAGTTAACCTTGGCTTTAATTTCTCATGTAGATGAACGTAAACTAGAGATAAGGTTTTGTAGGAGTTCATCTCAGTATGACTTGAAACTAGCTGGGAGAATGCAAAAGAAAAATATCCCTTAGCAAAGGTATTAAAAATTTACTTCAACCCTTGGCTAGGTTAATGGTGTTTTGAACAACCCAGATTTGTTGCTGGTACACATTTAAAAAATAAACTAAGATATTAAAAGCATTTTCTAAATTAACCTTCCGTTACCATTAAATACACTACCTCAAAAAGATAATATTTAGTAGAGGTTGTGTATTTAAATTTTAGATTGAAGTAATTTTAGTACTTTACTAATAAGTAATTGTCCTATCCAGCAGTATGGTGGGTTAATGGTGTGTGTGTCTTTTTTCTTTTTATCTTTTTCTTAATATACAGTTGACTTTGTGCTCAAAGATCCTCGAGAAAAAGATGATGATAAAAAAGAGGAAGTTTTAGAACACAAGAAAGAGTGAGTCCATGCATTGATGTTGTATCAGAACTTTTATTAATGTATTAGGTATTCAATTTGATTTTAAACTGCTTTAAAAAATTTCCAATTGAATACTGATGATACATATTGGACTATTAATACCTCTAGCAGACATCTTCAGTGATTGAACCTAATGCAGACTACAATGTACCTTATTTTTCCCTACTTCTTTTTTTTCTGATGACTTGAACTATTGAGTACTTTCCCAAGCCTTTTTCCTCCTAGTGAATCTCTTTCTTACTTACTAATTTGCAAATGCTATTGAGATATGCATTGAATGCTTTGATTTCCTGCTGTTAAACATTTCCATTAAGTGCTTCACTCATGTACACATTCAATAGTTTCAAAGTGTGGATTTTGCTTTTACAACTCAGTTCTTATTTTGTTTAACATTCTTTATAATACATGTAAGTATTTTAACAAACAATAACAATTAGCTCTCAGACTGTTTGATACTAAAAACAGTTTGGAATACTTACATGATGATAAACAATTTTTCTTACACATGCAGGCACATACAGTGTGTAATGCTGATGTGTTGTCTCAATGTAGGTTGATGCAGGTTCCCAAACCTTGGTACAGATCATATGTCACTGCTAAGGCAGCCATGCAGCAGGACCTGTTTGGAACCAATCCTACCATGGCAGCAGTGCTGGACTTGTGGCACAAGACTTTTGGGTAATGTATTGTTATTGATTTTACTCTAGCTTGCAGTGATATCCTTATGGATATTTACAAGTGTGCCCTACTGTACACAAGTATTGTGTAAATTATTTTTGTTGTATTTTGATTGTTAGACATTTCTTATGTTGCTGTACTTTTAGCCATATTGATCACTTTGCATTATTAAAGTAATGATAATGGTATGTTTTCTTGTAGTAATTTGAGGCTTGTGGATATTCACGAAATTCAGCTACGGCCTGAGGCTTTGGAGCTTGCCATGTTTCAGAATGTTGTAATGAGACACATAGAGATTGCCAAGGAAACACTTTTGAAAAAGTACTATTTTTTCTCTTTTTTTCTAATTTAATCTTGTCTCCATGCTATTTGATGTCATGCTAATTATTATATCTTGTTCTTAATTGTAGAAGCACAGCATGGATAATGCTGTAAAAATATTGATATTAAACAGAAAGACCCTTTCTGCTGCAGAAATTTGTCTCATTTAAAGCATCCAGCAGCTCAGTCTCCCCATTAAATTTTGTGCTTAAACAGAACAAATTTAGTCCTTTACATGTAACAGTCCTTGAAATTCCTTTGAAAAACAGTTTTTCAACTCAAGGTCTTGTGCCAACCTTGAGAGATGGGTGTATAAACACTGTACACACATGATTTTTTCATCAAATAATGAGATCATATTTAAATGGTTTGAATGCGATGAAAGCTTTTTGTTGAGAATATCAATTTTGTATTATTGTGACTGCTCTCAAGGTGGTTTCCAGAAGTGCAAAATATTTATTACCAAGGAAACAAACGCAAGCAAGTACCCAGCAACCAAAATGCCAAAAGATTGGAATCATTTTTTAATGCTGCTGCTGTGTTAATGACAAATCAACTCCAGATGTTGGCTCTAAACTCCATTGACGATTTTACAAAGCTGTTTTGTCCCCCTGCTGTAAGTTACATGCATACCTTGTATGTGTACATGTACATGTAGATGTTTTATTTTAAATTAATGTCAGTTGTGTTCTCCATGGAAATAAAAAGAATTATCTTTTCTTAGTTAGTTATATGTAGTACTGCATGCAATAGCACTTGCACAGAAAGTAGTTGTTGGTAGGATATGGAGTGACATAGCATAGTGCCATGTTGTAAAGACACGAAGTCCACTACTTGAATTTGTTTTGCATTATCATAAAGTGAGGTATTAAAGGTACTCTCTGGATTAGAGCAATAAGATAATTCTGTAGCTTGTGACATCTCTCACTTGAAAACACAAGGGATAAAAAGTTGTAGCTGACACTAAAATTGAAGTTCAAGAATTTGTCTCAACAAGTTTAGTTAAGAAAAGATAAGGGAAGAAAAGGCCAAGTAGAAAGTAGAAGTGTGCAATGTAGGACCAATATATAGATTTAGCCAAGCCTAAAAGCAGAGCTTGCATTTTTTTTTCCCTACACAACTCAAGAGCACAACACCTTGCCCCAGCCAGGACTAGAACCCAGGTCATCCAACTCAGAGCCCAGTGCTCTGACCACTGGACCACTGAACAAAGCTGTGACATTGGCATGCCCGCAGTACAGTTGACCACACATGTTAAAAGTAGCACCTTGTACGGTCGTACAGTCGTACGGTTGTACATCCAAATATTTTCAGCTTGATGGGTTACTACTACTATTTTGTATAATTATGGGGCTATGCTCTGCGAGCTCCGCTATTTAAGTACTTCCTTATTGTGCAACCATATTTTTTAAAAAATTAATTTCTTTTTATTTATTATTATTTTTTTGATATAACAGGATTCCATCAGAGCATTTGAACATCCTGGGTTTATTATGAGGCTTGTATTAGAGGGTGACACAGTGAAATTTGAGCCAGATTTCAAGGATTTTGAGGTACCAGCTTGCTTATATTTAAAAATTATCATCATTTTTTATATTCATTATTAATGTTCATTGATGATTAATAGTCAATAAGTTAATATATTGTTCTGTTGCTGATTAATCAGTAATTTAATGAAAAGTCAAATTGCGTCAATGGCAAAATACTTTTGTTACGTGAATCTGACTGGTTCTTAAACAGCCTTTATTTGTCACTTGATGTAACTGACACTGCACCAAAGTTAGCTTAGCTTTTTACTCTTTATTGTGGCTAATTTACGTTTTCAACCCGGTTGTTAACACTAAATTAACTGCACCAAAGTGTCTGATGTAACTTGTAATTATAGCAGTCTCTTAAAATTTAACAACTAGCTTACCAATGCTAGCCAATCAAAAGCAAGGAAAATTATTTGGGAGCAGATTACCAAGGTTCTGATTGAAAACAGAAAATAAATGAAATAAACTGGTTCTGTGAGTGGTATTTAGATATGTTTCCTAAAAGTTTTGACAGCTGTTTTACTCATGTATTGACCTTAGGAAAGCCTTGATATGAGCATTAATATGACAATGAAAATTATCAAGAAGTAATTAAATGCTGTGGTGATTTGAAACCGCTCATCTTTTACTCTTTAAATGTTACTAATTTTGGTTCTATTACCTTTACTCACTATGTTCATTTTGTTCCAGGTGGTTTTGCTGAATGTGTATGATGTAATGATCAAAGCAGTTATGGTTGTGCCCAGAGTGGAAACCAAGTTGTACTCAGAATGGGTTAGTTGACAGACTATAACTTATTCAATTGGTGTTTTATGGTAGAAAATGTCTAGTAATACAGTGTTTACCATCCATAAGGTCTCCAAAGCCACTTAATGAGAAATGAAGGGTCACATGAACTAGATGTAACATTTTCAGAGGTGATTGAATGTAAAAAGATTGTGATGGGTAGGGACAACAACAAGCATGTTCATGAGCCTTACAGTTAAGGCCTGTTGTACATGAGGGTATGGTCATCAGTCTTGCATCCTTCCATGGAAAAAAACTGTTGAGATAGATGAGCTTCAATATAAATGTATGCCAGTCCTAAATTCAAATCAGGTTCATATGCATGTACATGTATCATACTTTTCCAGTCCATTTGCCTCTTTCAATGTAATTTTGTGAGGAAAGTATCACAAAATATGTGTGGGTAAGCAAGTTAAAGCAGATTTAGCAACATTGACAAGGAATATGAAATTTTTTTTTTTTGAAGGTTAACCTAGTACCATTTCAAAAAGTGAGGCTTTCATATGCCTGTAAGAAAATTGTCTCAACAGGTTTTGTCTGTGATTTTATGTCCAACAGCTTTCAAAAATTTTACAACTTGAATAACAATTGTGCTGGTATACATATATATATGGAGTAATTTAGTATTATCAGCTGAGTTGATATCATAAGTTGGCCACCGTAAAAAGTTTTAAAGCCGACATTTCAAGCGTTAGCCCTTTGTCATTCACTCTGAAGAAGGGCTAGTGCTCAAAACATGAGTTTCATAACTATTTATGGTGGCTAATGTACACTATCAATTCAGTTGATAATACTTAATTATCCTGTTATACTCTCCCAATGACACAGCATCACAGTTTCTTTAGAGACTTACCCCCTGTATACATATACATCACATGTTAGCAGTTGCCTCTAGTGAGGTTTAGACTGGCCATCACAGCACTATTTAAAGTGGAAAAAGTCCAGTGTTACTTTCATAATGGCAGCAGTATTTGCAATATTTTGATAGTTTAGTTTTTTTTTTGTTTTTGTCCTAGTCTGGAACAAAGAAAACACTCAAACCTGTGGTCTCTGATGAAATTGTCAATGAGGCAAAAGCAAAGGTAAGTCTATGAAGGGCAATGCATGTAACCACACTTTTCTTTGTGCTTACCAATAGTCTGCATATAAATTTTCAGTATTATATAATTTTGTCCCTGATCATCATGACATCCTGAGAGAAAAAACACATTAATTTGATGATCAATTTTAGCTGGTGATAATGTCCACTATGTAGAACTCTTATTAATTTGTTCCAAAAAAAAAATTTCTTTCATTTAACTAACATAAACATTGTAGGTACAAGCTGTGGTAGCACGTGAAATGTCTGGACCAAAAGAACACTTGAAATTTTATGACAAATTCAGAGACCTGATCAGCCGAAAGGTAATTTGTATACAGGAAAAACTTTATTTCACTGTGTTGTAAATATATTAATATTATACATGAAAAAATTACTCAGTTCTGATTGGTTAAGATAATTGCAGTTTTCAGGTATTTCGTTGCAGAAGAAGGTGAATTTGGTGCAAAGAAGTAACAAACCAGACATTCAATTCCTTGAACTGTTTAGCTGGACTTTGAACTTTTTTGCACCTTAAAGATGTGAAAATATCATTGTGTATTATTGTTTTGATCATATGCAGTTGTTTTGACCAAAACGCAGAATGTCGCTAGCAGAATTTGAATAACTTGTTTTTGTACTTGATGTGCTCGCTTTGCTTCTGTATTAAATTATGATAACCTATCTTGTATTTTTTCATGTACTGGTATATTGTTAACACATAATCACATGATTTTTCTCATGCAATTTGGAATAAATAAGCACTTGTAAATTTTTTCAAAGACCACAAATTGCACTGGCCCAGTGAGCTCATGCAAATCGTGTGATTACCTATATTAATAATGCAAAAGGTGTGGCTCAATGCATCTTGCACTGCTAGTGCTTTACCCTAAGTTGAGGTGGTACAATCAAGTTTTGATACTAGTAAATGTAGAGCATGTCATGAAATGAAACAGTAGATACACTGCAAAACAATATGAATATAATTTCATGAGCTCATATTTTTCTATATATTTAATTTCCTTGTCAGTAATGGTTGCATTGAATTCATTTCTCTAAATCCATTTTTTATGATTATTTAATCTACAGGCAGAAGCAGATGTTGATCAATTCATGTTGGAAGGTCACAAATTTCCCCGCTTTGCAAAGGTCAGAGTTCTTTCCTTAACTTGTAACTTGTTGCGTATAATTTTGGCAAAGATTTACCTTAAGTTGTAAAGTAATCAGAATCTTTGTTAAGTAGTAAATAAATTGAAAACAATGAATAGCGGGGGAATTTAAAATTTGTTTACTTGTTGTAGGAGGTGGAAAAATATGCAAAATTGGTTGACAACATCCAGTACAACTCTCAAAAGGTAAGTTTGAAGTAGAAGATAGTTGAAATTCATCTTGATTATAATCCAACAAGTTTACAGAATGATTGTACAGAATAGAGTGCATAATCAACATGCAATGTTGTTATTATGTGAAATCTATTTATCCCTTTTCTTCAGGTGACAAGAGTTGGGATGTTTGAATTACACTGTGATGAATTAATCAGAGCATTAGCCAAGAGAGCAGATGGCTTAAGAACTAAACTGCTACAGAGAATGAGCAAAGATCATCAGGTTTTAAATAAGAGGTAAACTCCTTTTGGTAAAATGTGTATGGAATAGTTGAGCTTCATCCTTAATGTAAATTGAAGGGAATGTAACTTATTCTGATGATATTTTTATTTGGGTTTTTTTCAAGACTCAGCGAGGAGTATGAGAAGATAGCAGAGAAAGCCTTGACTTCTCCCGCAAATACAGAACATCTGATGGAGCTCAAGGTATCCTTCAAATGAAAAGGCACTCTCAGAAAAATTATTAATTAAGGATTAAGTTGAAACAAACAAATTCCTGCTCATTGACTCTGAATATTCAGGATTGCTAAATAACATTTTTGTGAACACAAGTTTAACCAGCTTATTGGATGACATTGAGCAGTTTTCAATTGAGTGTTGAAAAACCAAACCAAAGGAGACCTAACAACCAATCAAAATAGAGTATAACGATAACATTAACAACTGAGAACTCCAAGGGAAAACAAGCAATCTACTTGAAGTGCTGGAAAACACAAATGACCAATTGGTGATTGTTTTTAGTTTTGCATCTGATAAGTTGAGTAGGAGAGCAGCATAAGTTTTCTCAACTAATCACAGGGAAAAGTTAAGTAAAACCAAATCAGTCAAGGATTGCTTTTGCTCTAAAGAGCTTATCAATGATTCCTGCTTGTTCTTTTACATGCAGCTGTTAAATTTTTTGTGGAATGATAAACTAAGTGAATGCTTGAAAGTGAACAATAATTTATGTAAGCCTAAGTTCAGTCTAAAAGTAATTGTGATATCAATTAAAAGTATTTACTTGTATCTCTTATATAGAATTATATTGAGCAAGTGGAGAATGAAACAATATTTGACCTTGAAAAGAGACTGGTGGACACCAAGAACAGACTGGCCTTCTTGGTAAGATTGTAGCATGTATATTTATATTTCAGAATATAAAGAAATGGGTCAATAATTTGCTAAGAGTAAATTTCTTTCAAAATAACCCAAGGCAATAAGGCTTGTTAAACTATGAAAAGTCTAATAAACAAGCTTAACTTGCTGTAAAAAGAAAAAAGTGGGGTTTTTTATGTATCATGATTTTGTATGTCTTGCATGCATACATGTAAGTTCAACTTTCAATAGGAACTGAGTTAAGAACTCAAGTTTGGATTTCTACTACATTAAGTGACTTTGTCCTCATTGACAGGTGGACTATGCATCATTTTCTCCAGCTGACATGAGACTAAACAACAGTGTCTTTCAATGGCATTTCCGCATGCCAGAGGTCTTTGAAGAGCACAAAAAGATTATCAATGCAAACCGTGTACAATATGAAAACAGCCTCAAGGTAAGACAGTCAGCCTCAAGGTAAGACAGTCAGCCTCAAAGTAAGACAGTCAGCCTCAAGGTAAGACAGTCAGCCTCAAGGTAAGAGAGTCAGTCTCAAGGTAAGACAGTCAGCCTCAAGGTAAGACTGTCAGCCTCAAGGTAAGACAGTCAGCCTCAAGGTAAGACAGTCAGCCTCAAGGTAAGACAGTCAGCCTCAAGGTAAGACAGTCAGCCTCAAGGTAAGACAGTCAGCCTCAAGGTAAGACAGTCAGCCTCAAGGTAAGACAGTCAGCCTCAAGGTAAGACAGTCAGCCTCAAGGTAAGACAGTCAGCCTCAAGGTAAGACAGTCAGCCTCAAGGTAAGACAGTCAGCCTCAAGGTAAGACAGTCAGCCTCAAAGGATAAAATAGTTACAAGGAGAGAGAGGTTGTTTGATTGCATGACCATTATTTTACTCATCAGATGCGACGTGAGAGGTTTGTAGAGGAATTGGAAAGCTACTCAAAACAGCTTGAAGAGTTCCAGACATTTGGTGACATGCAAGAAATTCAGCGTTATCTCAAAAAAGCACAGGCTCTCAATCAGAGACTAGAGTCAGCTGCTGAAAAGGTAGGTCTTTCTATTTTTATGATCTTTGAAAGAAATTTTTTTACCCCTGTTCAACAAGAGTAAAGCATTAGACAGGATTTTAGAACTTGATTCTTACAGTGCACCATTCTTTGAAATCTTGAAAATGAAATTTCTACAATTTTTATGGGTCTGGATGTCATTTTCCATATTCATTTTTTCATTATTAGTATGTCATTCATGGATAGTAATTAATGTTTACCAAATTCAAATTGATTGTAGTTGGTGAGAGGTCAACATCAAGATATAACCTTTTTTTTTGTTTCCTTGTATAGATACTGACTTTCAACCAAGAAGAAGAAGCTTTTAATTGGGATGTGACGACCTATCCTCAGAGACAGCAGCTTATCAACACCTTGAATCCTTACTTAAAACTTTATGAAACAACTGTAGAGTTTCAGAACAAATACAAGTAGGTGACATTTTGTTGTCAATACACAACTTTCATTTTTTCATTCTCCTTAAAGAGGTTAGATTAAACTCTTTCTTTTGCAAATGAATATCCTGTTTACATGCAGTGGTAATTCTCATGATTTCTTGAACTAGATGTGGATAACAATTACACTAGGCAAATATTTTAGTACAACACTAGGATTTCTGCAAGCATACTTTGTCAAATTTGGGTGGAAAGGTCATGTTCAGAGCCACAAATTGACAATTTGTTATTCTTTTCTTTCTATCCTTGTTACTCATTTTCAAAACTATAGTTAGATTAAATAATTCTAATTTTTATATAACCTTACTTCAACACATATATCTAGGTTTTAGCATGTTCATGGACTGTAACCTGTATAGAACATAACCTGTATAGAAAATCTATCTTTTAATTATCTTTTAACTTTCAAGTGATGAAAGTATGTTGTTTTGAATACTTTAGCTTTAGAGAGTGTGTTAATGTATTTTAGTGTAATTGTTTTTTCTTCTCAATGAAGAGAGTGGATGGAAGGACCATGGGGAACTATGGACCCAGATAAAGTTGATGGAGAAACAGGGAATTTTTGGAGAGCACTTTACAAACTGGAGAAGCAGTTTTCTGAAGTACCAAATGCACAAAAGATTGCTTCAAGGGTAAGCTTATCCTTCCTAAAAGTTAACTAATCATGCAGTTAAATACAAGCCTTCATACTTATTTGATCAAGAAGAAGGAAGAGTGAAACATTTTAACTGTGTAGGGTACAATGCTTTGAAGTTCTGTGCTAGTTTGTGGCATGCAAAGGACTTTGTACTCCAAACTTGTTAAATAGCAGTGAATGTTGCTAACTTTGTCAACCCTTACTCAATGACTATGTGACAAAGAGTTTTGGAAATACATGTACCATTACTTCATAATTTCTTCTGTACAGCATTATTGACATGTGTGGCACATGGCCCATGTAACCAACTGAAGGTTTGTTATTTTTGATTTTGATGAAAATAGATGAAAGGAAAAGTGGATGAGTTTAAAGAACACCTTCCCTTAGTTCAGGTTTTGTTTAATCCTGGCCTTCGTGACAGACATTGGGAGAAGATGTCAGAAATTCTGGGTTATCCGCTTAAGCCTGATGAAGATACTAACCTTGCTAAAATGGTGGAGATGAACCTTGAGCCTTACCTTACTCAGTTTGAGACTATTAGTGAGGCTGCCAGCAAAGAGTTCTCCCTTGAAAAAGCTATGGAAAAGATGGTTCGTGAGTGGGATGAGGTATGCGATTATGCTGCATGTAGTTTTTTCACAGGACCTGCACTTTAAAAATTGTTTTCTACTTAGCACATTGCAATGTAGGTATAGTAGTAAACTAACTTCTCAGTTGGAAAATAGGGAGGATGATCTCAAATTCCTCTTCAAAAAAAGTTTTGTAAAATTGTTCTTTCTCTGGATAGTTGTCATAAAATTTTTAAGGATTTAAGACATTTACAATCAATACCAAAAACCATTGTCATCCTTAAGATTGATCATCAATTGATGGTAATTATCATTATTGCTATCTTCTTCAGGGTCATGGTTTTGTCCCTAGTCATTGTGTGACAAAATTACTCATTGTTTGTCATTTTGTGTACTATATTTTCATAGTTAAGCACCTGAGACATAATTTCAATTGATGATGTCATTGCCATAACCTTGGTAATCGCTTTGGAGCTAATTTTTTTTCCCTTTTAGATTGAGTTTGTCATGATTCCTTACCGTGAAACTGGCACTCACATTTTGTCATCAATTGATGACATCCAGACACTGTTGGATGATCAGATTGTGAAAACACAGACAATGAGAGGGTCACCATTTATTAAACCATTTGAGACAGAAATCAAGTATGTAGATGATTCTTAACATTTTTTAGTTTTCAGTTTCCTCTGGTGTTTCATCAGGTTCATACAGAGTTGCCTTCTTAGATTTAATGACTCAAACGTTTCTTTTTCTATGGCACTTTGGTATGTCTCAAAAGTCATTTATTAAAGTTTTAATTAGTTTTTGATACTTTACTGATATACATGTAGGGATATAAAGATAGCAAATGATCAGTATATCAATTTTTATTGCATTGCATTTGTCTACAGGTGTATGACATTGTTGATAGCCTTGCCTTAAGGGGGAGGCCTTCATTTCCTCTTTCCCCCTGCTGCAACTTTGCTATGTCTGCAAACTATAAAGCAATTGTATTTCACAGCAGTCACAGTACTGTTGGTTAATGTTTTTGAGATTATCATTTTAAAGGGCCATAAAAGGGTTGCAGTTTGGAAGCTGAGAATCACAAAAGAGTAATCTGTTATAGTGATCAAAAAACATTTTGGTTAAATGTTTCTTTTCTTTTTTGTTTGTTATTCAGGGAATGGGAAAGCAAGCTAATGCTCACACAAGAAATCATTGATGAATGGCTGAAGGTGCAGGCCACATGGCTGTACTTAGAGCCCATTTTTAGTTCCCCTGACATCATGGCTCAGATGCCAGAAGAGGGAAGGTCAGTACTGCTATTTTGGTGATCTTTAAAATACTATATATTCTGCTCAACAACTTCTGTTTTGATTTTGTTTATCATGCAGGCGGTTTAGCACTGTTGACAAGAACTGGAGAGAAATCATGAAAGTGGCTGTCTTGGTGAGTATGAAACAAACTGTCCCATCTATAACTATTCTAACATCATTGTTCAGTATATCAGTATGGGACCATTTTAGTGTAACACCTTGACTGAAATGATTTCTTTGGTGCATCTGTCTGGCATTTTTTTTCACAGGATTGCCATGTTCTCACTGTAGTGGCCATAGAAAAGATGTTGGAACGTTTGAAGAAGTCAAATGAATTGCTAGAGCTCATTTTGAAGGTTTGCTTGTTTTGATACTTTCAGACAAGATTGTTGAGGATTTTGCCTAGTAGAAACAAAGCATCATTTATTCCATGTGTGTGTGACCTGCAAATGCAAATACAACCATTCCCCTCTGGGATATTGAGAAATTTTTTAGACACTCATTGTTTCATTGTACTCTAATATACACAATCCTTGACTGCAAAATGCATTAATCTACCTTTGTATCCAAATGCTCATTTTAGGGACTAAATGAGTACCTTGAAAAGAAGAGACTTTACTTTCCACGCTTCTTCTTTTTGTCAAATGACGAGCTTTTGGAAATTCTTTCTGAAACAAAAGATCCAAAGAGGTTTGTAACTGTTTGCCAAGAGTATATTCTCTAATGATTCATTAATACCACATTTCTTGCCCTATAATCCATTAAAGTTCATCTGAACCTTTACTGATTTATAAGTTAAAAGTTACAAAAAGTTCATCCTGGATTCAGCACAGTGATGCAATGAATGTGTTATTTTTTTTAACTAAATTTTTTGATATTGAAATTGACAAGGAGAAAGACCCATGACCCCCCCCCCTCTCATCTAATCTAGCAGTTTTAGAAAAATTGTCCCAAAAATGATCCTAATTAAGCCCTAAAAGAGATTGTCACCTAAGCTCTTGTTGAAGGCTCTGCAAACTTCAGTTGCTAAACCAACTAGTAGCTGCATGTGCAAAGTTATTACTATGTAAGATCAAAATCATTCTGTTCATTCAAGATAGAAAACAAGATATTTGTGTATTGCTCTGATTGTGCAATGCCTTTATTTTAGGGCATTTCATAATAAATAATTGGCCTAGTATTTACTGTACTTAGTAGTGTCCCAAAATAAGCTACATGCCCAGTGAGTGCTAACCTTTGGTTGGCCATCATGTAACTTGCAAAGTATAACAATACTTGATTATATCAGACCCTCTTCACAAATAGTACAAATTACATATGATTCTTAATTATTTATTAGAGTGCAACCTCATCTTAAGAAGTGCTTTGAAGGAATTGCATCACTAGAATTCACAGACACATTGGACATAACCAGTATGAAGAGTTCTGAGGGTGAAATTGTGCCCCTCAAGGACGTAATCTCCACATCAAAAGCCAGAGGACAAGTAGAGAAATGGCTGTTGGAGCTACAGGAGGACATGATTGCTAGTATCAGAAAGGTAACTGGAAATTCTTGTTTTAGAGTTGTTCCTCTCTATCTTGTTTTAGAGTTATCCCTCTCTATCTGTTCACAAATATTTCATCACCTCTTACATGTATTTTCTCTGACTGCTGTATGTGTCAAAATATTCTCTAGGTCATCATGGAAGCTAAAGAGGCCTATGAAAAGACAGAGCGAGTGAAATGGGTGAGGGATTGGCCTGGACAAACAGTTCTTTGTGTTTCACAGTTGTACTGGACACTGGAGATACACAAAGCAATCAAGGGTGGTGCCAGCGTAAGTTATCTTTTTTATTAATTAATTTTTTTGTTCTTGTTTATTTTTGTGGGAGCAACAATGTACATAGCAGTTATTCCACCCTTTGTGGTTTATTTGCTATTTGCAATCTGGGTTAATATGCATCATCTGTCAAATTTTTTCCCTTAATTGCTTATTAATTGTTGCCTCTTGTGTGTTTCTCTTCTTAAGCAAACAATTTTATTCTTGAAACTGAAACATGTCAAAAATACTGAAAATATCCTAACATTGCTCTCATCCTCAAGCATTCCTTGGACTTTTCTGATAATTAGCTATGATGATTGCAAATCTTTATCCAGTATAATGTTGTTGTTTTGAAGGCTAACAGAAACTTGTTATGTCTGTTGTTATATTATGGAGGGGAACACCACCTGTGGACCCTTTTGAGTCCTTTTACAAAAGGCAATCACTTCAATTAATGGAATATGCAATTGTTAACTTCTGCGCTTTCATTTACGTGACAAAATTACATTTAATTACCGTTATGTGTAAGTGTTTCTGTCTTTGTTTTTCCAGGCTCTAAATGATTACCTTCAGCTTAACAACAGTCAAATCGAAGACATTGTGGCTTTAGTGCGAGGCAAATTGTCAAAACAAAACAGAGCCACCTTAGGTGCCTTGGTGGTTCTGGATGTACATGCAAGAGACGTGCTCGCTAAACTTTGTGAATTGGGTGAGACAATTACGTCAATCACAATAATGAGCTTGATAGCGACTTTTAAATAATTTTCAGTGCTTTAACAAGAAGTTATCTAATAATTATAAATAGCTAGTAGGCAATGGGTTGTACTCTGATTTCTGTTACTTGAACCAATTTTTTTTCTTTTTAATCTGAAACAAAGGTTCTCAAAACATTTTAGCTCCTACAAGTGCACATCAATATACAGACGTTTCTCAGTGTAAATTCTTAGGAAATGTAACCACCTGACCTGTCCATCTTTAGTCTGTTTCAAACAATAAGTTATATCTTTAATCTTTTTTTCTGTTCAGGTATCCAGAGAGAAGATGACTTTGAGTGGTTGGCACAACTTAGATACTACATTGAGGTACTACTCCATATATATAATACATGTCACATGACATCAAAAAAATTTTTTTAATGCAATTTTTTGCATTATATTGTTTAGGAAGAGAACATAATGACAAGAATGATAAGTGCCCAGTTAGCCTATGGTTATGAGTACCTTGGAAACTCTGGACGTCTTGTTATCACTCCACTAACAGACAGATGCTACAGGTGAGCTGACAGGACACTATACAAACATGCTAATTAAATTCTGTTTGTCTCACAATGGATGCTGAATTTGCCTCAAATGTTGTAGATGTTCGCAATTCCTGCATCATAGAGGAACTAGGAATTTTTTAACTAGTCATTGTAGGTTACTCTGTAACTGTTACAATACATGTAACTTTCTTTGATGTTCCATCAACACTAATAATATATTCTCCCAGTTGGAGAGGCATACTGTGAGGTGATTGTCATTTCTAAGATCACAAAGGCAATTCGCCTAGCTCGTTCTCAAATGGTAAATGCTTGATCCAAGGTCTTATATACTCATTGTCAGTCTGCAATACTAAAGAAATAAAAAACGCGTCGAGTTCATTGTTGAGTTATATAAGCACGCGGGAATTTTTAAGAACACGAGAGAAGTGCGGAGAAGCATAAGCCAAAGGTGAGTCTTTCTTGCACTTCACGAGTATTCTTAAAAATTCTCCAGTGCTTATATAACTCAACAATGCTCCAGGAACAATTTTTTTCATTTCTTTTATAAAATGTATCGTGAATTGCGCGCGCTCGTACCGATGACGAAGGCTGCGTGCTATATATATCTCAATAGTGCACTTGTGTGACGTAAGGCGCGTGCTTTATGGAAATATAATGAACTCGTTCTGACCAATAACGGCGCGCGTATTTCTCTGAACATTTTTTAAATGTATTTAAGTGCTCTTATATGGACATACTTTAGCAATAATTTCGCATTCCTGCAATTGTTTGATTGTCGTGATTCTTTACCACCTAGGACTCTGTTTGGAGCTCTACAGTTGCACTTGGGGGGTGCCCCTGAGGGTCCTGCTGGAACAGGCAAGACTGAAACAACCAAGGATTTAGCCAAAGCTGTGGCCAAACAATGTGTTGTATTTAACTGCTCTGATGGACTGGACTACATTGCACTTGGAAAGTTCTTCAAGGTTGGCTTATTTACTTGTTTATCTCTACTATTAACAACAGAACAATAAGAAAGAAATGAAATACCTGAAAGCCTACATATATTGTTTCCTTGAGCTTTGAAAACTTTTGGATGCATGAAACAATCAATAAAATCAAGTTTTCCTGGCTTGAGCTGATAGTCATGAAATGTTTTACAAAAGGAGCACGGCTGAGTTACTCATGGTAAAATATTCCCCCTTTCATTTTGGGCATTTCGGAAGTTCTCCAGAGTTACTGAATTTTGGCATATGACATTTGGTCCAGACAATACACGTGGTTTGGAACATTGTCACTGGTTCACACTTTGTTTTAAAGAACTGGTCCTTGCAAAAACATCCACATTCCTAATGTTGACCTTTGTTTCCAAACCCTGTCAGTAAGGAGGTGCAGCCACGAGTCAATATTCTTATTGATTGCAATGTACTTTGACTTGCAGGGTCTGGCTTCGTGTGGGGCGTGGTCGTGCTTTGATGAATTCAACCGAATTGACTTGGAGGTGTTGTCTGTGGTGGCTCAGCAGATTCTAACCATTCAAATGGGTATGACAAAGTTGGCATTTTGGCTGATCTGAAGTTGCATTTGCATAGTTAAACTAAATTATATTTGTTTAATACTCCCAGGTATCAACTCAGGGTCAGATACTCTGCTGTTCGAGGGAACAGAAATCAAGTTGGATCCATCCTGTGCCACATTTATTACCATGAATCCAGGATATGCTGGCAGGTCTGAGTTACCAGACAACCTCAAGGTATGCTGATATTTGTGGATGAACACGCTATGTTTTAGTTTTCCTTTCATTTGACTGGCTACCACTGCTTTGGTTTCCACAGGCTCTGTTTAGAACAGTCGCCATGATGGTCCCCGATTATGCCCTGATTGCCGAGATATCATTGTACTCCTATGGTTTTGTGAATGTAAGTGGACCTCTCACCTATTTTGCTGCCTTATACAGCTTATTTTATGTTTGACTTCTCAATCAAAATCATTGTTTTATTGTTAATTAGGCTCGTCCCCTGGCTGTGAAAATTGTCACCACCTACACACTGTGTTCCGAGCAACTGTCATCACAGCATCACTATGACTACGGCATGAGAGCTGTTAAGTCTGTGCTAACTGCTGCAGGAAACTTAAAGGTAATGAGGTGATGAAGTGGATTACTTCACTTTTTGCTCTCAGGAAAACTCTTTTATTGTGATTTGCTCCATAAGGAGTTTCATTCTTTCTTTTTCTTTTTCAGTTGAAATATCCAGAAGAAAATGAGGACATATTGATGTTACGTTCCATCAATGATGTTAACCTACCCAAATTCTTGGCTCACGACTTGCCATTATTTGAAGTAAGTAATTCACCAGGACATTTTTATCGTTCTTTTTGATATCGAGATCCACAACTTACTCTGCTCCTTTTTTCACTTAGGGGATTACTTCTGATTTGTTCCCCGGTGTCAAACTGCCCAAACCTGATTACACAATTCTGACAAATGCTGTTCAAGAAAACTGCAAAGCAATGAATCTGCAGATGGCAGACCAGTTCCTCACCAAGATCATACAGGTTAGTTGTAACCTGGAACATGCCATAACCAGTGTTTTGTTGGTCGTTATAAAATAACCGAGGTATTACGAGTGCACTGATTGGTAAAAAAACTATCGTTTGTTGCACTGGTGAACCCATAGTAGCTTATAAAAGCAATAATCCACACTTTTTATCGGTTTACCAGCGTAACAACTCAATTATGATAAGATATGATAATGATAACACTGGATAAGTTTATGGATCGCTCACCTTCAGCACTTGAGTTACACATTTTTCTCGTGTTCTTCCAACATTGTGAGTGGGTGATTACGCAGGTAAACTGATGGAAAGTCTGGTCTATTTCTTAATTGTCATAAGTATTGCAAACATATAATCTTTGATAAGTAACATCAATAGCTACTGTATGGGAACTTTGTATATGCCCAGGCAACTATTTCGTACTGATGACTTATTTATAAATACACTTCTCTACGTAATACCTCCATCCATTTATTGACGACTCCAACGGTCTTTTGATGCCCCTATTTCATACATGTAAGCTTTTCCTTTCAATCGCTCATTAATTCTCTTCTATGAAAGATGTTCTTCTAGCTGTAAACAAGAATTTCCGTTATAAAATAAGTCCGAACTGGATATTTCATGCCCAAGGACTCTAATTATTAATTGACCAAATCTTAGCAACCGTCAAGGTTACGCACGGTATCTTATTTTACTCAAGATGATCTTTTTGAAAAGGTTTTATCGTATTGCTGTCTCTGACATATTGGTCGCTTAACTGGACCGACTACAAATTTGTCTATGAAGGCCAAATGGTGAAAATGTAAAAGGTGCAATATCTCTACTTCACGTTCCACGGTACATTTACTCGCAGATCTACGAAATGATGATTGTGCGTCATGGCTTCATGATTGTGGGAGAACCATTTGGTGGCAAGACGTGTGCTTATCGTGTGTTAGCTCGTGCCTTGAGTGATGTGGCAGAACAAGGTTTGATGGAGGAAAACAAGGTGCAGACTGTGGTCATCAACCCCAAAGCTATCACCATGGGTCAGCTGTATGGACAATTTGACCCAGTCTCTCATGAATGGTCAGATGGAGTCTTAGCTGTTAATTACAGAGCGTTTGCTTCCTCAACAGTGAGTACTTTTTTAACTTTTCCTAACCATAAGCCAACCCAAACTCAAATTTCCTCTATCAAAAAATGATTCCTGTAGAAAAATAAATAACGATCAGTAGAGATTGCTGAAAATCTTAAAATGATACAACTCAAGCTACGTATCTGTAAAATCACGTTCTGTAAGAGCTCTTATTTTTAAACCCTACAAATGTGTGCAGAGTCATCAAGTTTAATTTCACGATTCTATGGCTCAAACAGGTACAGGATAGGTGCAAAGCTGTAAGATAGAAAAATGAAGAATACCCAATTTGGTTGTGCCATTTTGGAGAAAAATCTCTTGTAGTGATCTTCAAAGGAAACTGTGATGATGATGACTCTTTTCATTTTACATAATAGTGTTATTGTCAAAGTGTTCGTCTTTAAACTTGAAATTTTTCGTTTGACAGACTCCAGACCGCAAGTGGTTGATTTTTGACGGACCTGTTGATGCCGTGTGGATTGAAAACATGAACACTGTACTGGATGACAATAAAAAGGTAAAAATAAATCTCAAGTATTTTTTATTTCCTTCTTTGCACCCAAACATGTTTATCCTTTGATGTTAAAAAAACCTTATTCCTTCTTCATAAAATAATCAACATGCTTGGGTACTAAGACAACTACTTATTGAGATATAAGCTCGTTTACATTTGAATTCGTTCTTCTTTTGTTAGCTTTGCCTTAACAGTGGTGAAATTATCCAGCTTGCTCCCACCACTAACTTGATCTTTGAGCCGATGGATTTGGAGGTCGCCTCACCAGCCACCGTAAGTACTGTATGCTGACATGTAGATCCGGCTTACATGTACGTTAATAAGGAGAATTTGATGCCTTTGTGATAACATCGCCATTGTTTAAAAGTCTAAACAATTTAGTCCTCTCGGATGGGGCAATAAACCGTTGTCTCGGTCTCTTGTACATGTATCTTGGCTGTCATCAGTCATTGTTGAAGAACTCAAATTCTGGGGCACGTAACTCTTATTGTTCTAATGTGGTTAAGGTGGGGAACGCTCTCACTGATGAATTGGTTAATATTTTCTACTAATTCGGCAAGCTGGTCGATCTAAGAAAGCGCAGGGGACTCTCCTTTATCTAATTGTTTTTGCGTTGTTAAATAACCGTCTCCTGTGTGTTTTTAGGTGAGTCGTTGTGGTATGATTTACATGGAGCCTCACATGCTCGGATGGAAACCGCTTCTTGTATCGTGGCTCAGCACTCTTCCCAAAACTTTGAATGAGGAAAACTTGGAACTCATTAAGGACCTGTTTGACAGGATGGAGGAAGCGCTGCTGCAATTTGTTCGCAAAGGGGGCTTTAAGGTAATGTAATATAACCATGTGGTACCTCGTGAAATCGTTAATAGATTTGTCAACCATCTGACAGTGTATACTTCAAATCTATGATCGGCCTTAACACTAAGTTAATTAAATTGTGGTTTTATAGGAACTGTCTCCCACAACAGACAGTAACATGGTGAAGTCCCACATGAACTTGATGGACACCATGATGGATGAGTTCCATGACGAACAGAAATTTAAGGAGCTCAACGAAAGAGAAGTGGCTGCGTGGCTTGAGGTATTCATCTATCTCCTTTGCTTCTCTGCGTAGACTTTATGGTCCTTGTGTTTTCTGATCTTGGTCTTTTCGATTCTGTTCCCATTAGTGTATCTTCCTCTTCTCGTGTGTTTGGTCTCTCGGTGCTTCCATTGATTCTCGCGGAAGAAAGGATTTCGACAAGATACTCCGAGAAGTTGTAGAGGTAAATCTATGTATTAGGCATATCTACATGTAATTGCTTCTTGACTTTTAGTTGTGCAGGTACATCTGGCGATATAAATGCACACGAATTCTCACAATCAGACATCTACTTATTATTGTATTAAGACTTATACTGCTACTTGAATATTCGGCTTCTAAAAGTGTTTTGCATCATGACTTATGTGATGTCCAAAGGTTCCGATAACATTATTGTAAAGCCAATTTACTTACCCACTCTCAGACTTCTTTACGCTTCGTCTCCACCCCTTCTCCGGCTGAAGTAGGGTCGTGTTTGGGTGTAAAATATGTTCCAGGTGTTGGAGAAATACAATGCCCCAGAGAAGTTAGAGTCGCTAATTTTGACCTCTTTTCGCTTACTATTCATTGTCCATTGTTCTGGTATCTTTTCTCCGTCAGTGACTGATTGTACATTACTGTGTTGTTTTGTAGGGTCCTTTGTCCCTGGAGAGTAAAAGCAAATATCACATCCTGGAGATAGTGGATCCACCGCCACGACCCTTTCTCTGTCCTTTCCCAAGCAAAGGGACTGTATACGACTACAGATTCGTCAAAGAGGTGACACCATTTTCTGTAATGTTTAGTCAGTCTACAATGGAACAACTTTTTAATTCGCTCTTTCCTTGCGTGCAATTTCATCTATAGGGAATGGGCAAGTGGGAACTATGGACTGAAGAAATCAAGGATGCTCCTGCTATTCCTAAGGTATTTTGCGATATGACTTCCCCTGAGGCCTTATATGAAATTTTAGAAATTCCATAGCATGTTTTGTACATCATCCTATAACCACATTTTATCGGAAATAATGAGGTGTGGTTCTGTCAGCTCACTTGTTTGTGCTGCACATTGTTAGTTAAAGCAAGCGGAATTAAGAGCGAGCCCAATAACGCCTGTTTTGCACTTGAGACATTGTATATGAAGATACGTTCAGAATTGGTCACTATAATAAGCTTCAGTGTTGCTCAAAGGACAAATCACGCTTAATAGAGTACAGTTTTTCATGATGATCCGATCAAGGTCGCTGATTGAACACAGTTTCGAGAGTCATATTATGTACGGAATGGCCAAAATCTCTGTCACAACGTACCTGGTAAACTCGTGTAAACAGTCATTTGCGCGAGCGAGCTTCATATCCTTATTGTGCTCGCTTATGACGTCAGCAAACAACTGCCTCGTGAAAAAAATGAAGTTTCCGCCCGGTTTGGCCGCGAATTTTGATGTTGTAAACATGGTTTTACAGTTTCATTCTGATAGTGATAGACCTCTAGTAACTCATAATGAAAAGAAAATGCGCAAAGGATACTCGATTTGGAAAACAATGGACATTTAAGCCTGAAAAGCGACGAAATGAGCTTTCCAGTTCACAATAGTTATTCCCAAACGCGATAAGAATTTTGGCTGGAAAATGAAAACTGAATCTTTGACTCCACGTTGGGTTTCGCCAATTTCGGACCATTGCTTGGACTGGTAAGTAATATTTTAAGTATCGATTTGTCTTGAAAGTATTATTCAACAGAATATTTTCTTTTTAATCTGACAACTTTTAGAATTAACACAACGCTACGCAATTTTCTTGTCGTGATTACCAAACAACGATTCAAGTATGGTGAATCAATTGGGACGGCTACACGCGAGAAATTCTGACTATTTCCACTTCAAAATAGCCAAATTTGCGTTGCTTTGAATACAAGTTTTGTATCGAAATTTTTCTTCTTCATTTTTGCCTTACAATTTAATAACAGTTTTCGGTTAACACGCGGTTATATGGTAAACCCGGCATGGGTGTATATCAAGGATCTGCAAATCTAATTCTTAAGCATGTTTTTCGATTTGATTTTAAATTCTGACTAAATTAAACTTTCATTTTGTTTTAGTCTGGGAACAAATTCAACTTTAATGAAAGAAGAGTTCTTTAAATAGTGTTCATCTTTCATTATAGCTTGTTTTGGTTAGACACCATATATCTCAGGTCTTCCTCAAAATTATGACGCGCCCCAAGCCACTCTTACGTATCTCTCGTGCTTTTCAAAATTCGCGCTGCTTGATATCTCGATGAAGCACTCTGATGAATAGACGGTTACAGTGAAGATTTGTACTCATCACCTAAAGGTTAGACGTGCAGTGTGGAGGGGCACCATGGGAAACGACCAAAAAAGCCTATATAGATAAAATCACCGTCCAGACCAATCACGACGTGTTTTATCTTTGGATTAATGTTATGAAAATCTTTATATTGAACTCGCTTTATAATTGTAGATAGCCTGAATAAAACCAGGAGTTAGATGCGTAGTTACTTAGATGCTAAATTCTGGTAGCGCCATGAATCTCATAAGTAAAAGAATACTTCATACTAACCTCTTTCCAACAATGTTACCAGGAAATGGCTTTTAACGAGATCATTGTACCAACTGTGGATACTGTGCGATATACGTTTCTTATGGAAAAGCTTGTGTCTCATCAGAAGTCTTGTCTGTTTGTTGGGCCCACGGGAACTGGGAAATCTGTTTACATCACGGTTAGTCCTGATATTCTCCAACGTTACAATTTCTAAAGTGGAAGCATTGAGGTGACACCGTGTCACTTCACACAATTCAGTGAAATGGTTACGAATTAATCGCACACTATTATCAGAGGTGAAAAGGTTAATTTCACCAAACGTCCAGGATAGCTCTGATTTATAGGGCCTTTTTGCTTTCTGCATTCAGTTGCGCAAACGTTCTAACTCTGATTTAAAATAAGGGCGAAGATTGCACAAAGTTCTTATGTATAGATTACCGAGGTAATGTGGTTTCTTTCCTTTCAACAGAACTTTCTATTGAAGAACCTCTCGGACACATACAAACCTTTGCTGATAAATTTCTCAGCTCAGACAACAGCTAAACAGACGCAAGACATCATTATGTCCAAACTAGACAAGAGGCGCAAAGGAGTATTTGGCCCTCCACTGGGCAAGAAAACGGTAACTGTTATTTTTTCATCTTTTCCTGTAGTAAATCAGTCTCGTTAGTTCAGTTTTAATAGATTTTAATAATAATAATACGTTTGAGGTACAAGCTATGATGGGTTGAGATACGTGGGGATTTATAAAGACCAGAGACCCTATTTAAGGTCAAATGTACCCTACCCGAGGACAAAATATCCAGGGTAAAATTACATCCTCGTGATAAACTGAGGCAAATTTACACCCGGAGATGCGACCTCAGTTGAGATAAGTCCGAAGTTTTTTGTTTCCCGACTTCGCTGGATTTAACCTCTAAAAGAAATTAAGAAAGCAACAAACGAACAAACAACTACCAATCACCGAACACTAGAAAAGATCCAATTTCATCCATCTTTTGGCTTCTTGCCTTCGTTTAGAAAGACAGTTCTGTTTGTCATTTCATCATTTCTTATGTTGGCCTAAGACATCTCATGCGCATCTGATTGTTTTGTAGGTTGTGTTTGTTGATGACTTAAACATGCCTGCCCGTGAAGTTTATGGTGCCCAGCCTCCCATCGAATTGTTGCGTCAGTGGATGGATCATTGGAACTGGTCAATAGTCATTACTAAAATTCTTCCGTTGATCATTTTGTGACATTCAGTAGTCACTACTTTCATTAAAGTCAATTTTTGACGTGGCTTATTTAGTTTTTCCTTTTTTTTGGTATTCCCTCAGGTATGACCTTAAGGACACTTCTCCCATCCATCTGGTGGATATTCAGATGATAGGTGCCATGGGACCTCCCGGAGGTGGCCGCAATCCCGTCACGCCTCGCTTCCTACGCCACTTCAACACCATCAGCATCACCACGTTTGATGACACCACCATGACTAAGATCTTCGGCAGGATCATGGAATGGCATTTGACAACAAGGTCAGTTGTACATGACGTATAACCAGTAGTGTGTGACACCTCTGATATGTTTAGAACTTTTCAGGAAGCTAGAAGACACCCACTGGTAAAAACATATGGTTTATCTATTTATTTATATTGTTTAAACTTTTCGTGGTCAAAATAGAATCGTTTGATCTCATGTAAGTGGCTGTGCTCGGTTCTCTCTTCTGGATATTTTTACCAATACCAGTTTCCTCGACTGAAAGAGGTGCGCATTGAAAGGGAACAGCAAAGGTCCCCTCTTTGATATTCTTGAAAGATCGAGATTAAACCTTTTGGTAACTTATTGTAAATTCATTTTAAAGAATGTTATTTATATAACCACTTTCTTGTACGTTAGAGTTCTTCTGCACATCAGCTCGAACTGTCACAATTGATAATTGCAATAGGAGCGGGTGAACGACCCGAAGTCCTGTCACCAGTGAATCAAAGCACTACGTATTCTTAAAAAAAAAAAGGAACATTATCGTTGACCTTATTTATTTTCAAGAGAAAGTTTACTCAGTTGTCTATAGAACAGCGCGCGCAAATGACCCGAACTGTCCAGGTTCTCCAGCATGACACATTAACTGTCCTATCAGTACTCAGGTTGGGCTGCTGATGTGCAATCATGTGCGATATTATTGTTAACTTTTTTTTCATTACGGGTACTATGAACTACCGTTGTTTATGTTTATTTTCATTGAATATTATATTTCAGGGGTTTTTCAAAGGAGTATATTGCTGTGGGTGACCTGCTGGTAAGCAGCACGTTGGAGGTGTACAAGAATGCAATGGCAAATCTGTTGCCCACCCCAGCCAAGTCACATTATTTGTTTAACTTAAGAGACTTCGCTCGAGTCATTCAAGGAACTCTTCTCTCCACTCCTGATATCATTGAGGATCCTGATAACCTCAAACGTCATTGGGCTCACGAGGTACGCAATCAGTTACTACTAATAGTTACTTGTTTCATTTTTACAGGTGGGCGTAATTTTGAATGGACATGATAAATTTGACAGTCATTAGCTTGGTTAAATTAATAGTCAGACTCCGATCAAATATGAAAGTATTATGTGATTTCTTGAGTCCTATAATTACTCTTAGTTTATTTCCGTGCTTGTTTGTTGACAGGTATATCGTGTGTACTATGACCGATTGGTGGACGACGGTGACAGAAAGTGGTTATTTGACTTCCTGCGTGAGATGAGTAAACCTCACTTGGGTGTGGAGTTTGACAAGTTGTTTGAACGACTTGACTCCAATAATGACGGCCGTGTGGAGCAGGACGACTTGAGAAGTCTGATCTACTGTGACTTCACCGACCCTAAGGCTGACCCTAAACCTTATTTGGAGGTCAAAGACTTGAACAAACTACGCGCTGTAGTGGAGACATATCTCGATGAGTTCAATAACATGAGCAAAAAGCCAATGAACCTAGTCTTGTTTAGGTAAGGGAACCCATTTTGAGTGTGTGACTCCTGTTTTGTGACAAAGCAATAATCACTCCTGGCGTATGCTGTTGCAGGTTTGCTATTGAACACGTTTCTCGCATTTCGCGTGTGATAAAGCAGCCTCGTGGTCATTGTCTTTTGGTGGGCGTCGGCGGTAGTGGAAGACAGAGTTTGACCAGACTAGCTGCACACATGGCAGATTATGACTTGTTTCAGGTAATGACTTCTCTGATTTTTAATAACGCTCTCTCTTTTTAATAACGGTCATTTCTCTAATTTTTAATAACGGTCATTTCTCTACTTTTTAATAACGGTCACCTCTCTACTTTTTAATAACGGTCACTTCTCTATTTTTAATAACGGTCACTTATGCTACTATTGTTTGTTTGCCTTCACAGGTTGAAATAGGTAAAGGTTACACCTCAAATGAATGGCGCGAGGACTTGAAGGCGATCCTGAGAAAGAGTGCTGAAGGAGACATGAATGGAGTGTTCTTGTTCACTGACACACAGGTAAATAAGCTATGTTAGCATTCGTCGTCTATCAGTCTCGTTATTAATTATTGATAATTCACTCTCATTCACTCTCTTAAGATAAAAGAAGAATCGTTTTTGGAGGATGTGAATAATCTGTTGAACGCTGGTGAAGTACCCAACTTGTTTGCTCTGGATGAGAAACAAGAGATTTGTGAAAAAATGAGAGTACTTGACAGGTAAGTTTCGTCAGATGTGCACTTTCCTAAATTATTTAAATATAAGCTTGGGATTCATGAGAATCCCAATACAGTACCTTTATAGATGGATTGCATAACGGCGGTTGCTTACGCACTCACTCGGCTAGATGAAATCACCGAATGCAGCGAGCTGTGGCACATGGATCCTATATGAAACTGTCGTGTAGTAGCATTTTCATTCTACGACACTCACAAGTAAAAATCTTTTCATAGATACTGATAAGACATTTTTTCTCAAAGGCAACGTGACAAGTCCAAGCAGACAGACGGCTCTCCTGTGGCTCTGTTCAATTACTTTGTTGATCGCGTCAGAGACCAGCTGCATATCGTTTTGGCTATGAGTCCTATTGGTGATGCCTTCCGAAACAGACTCAGAAAGTTTCCTTCACTTGTCAACTGTTGTACCATTGATTGGTTTCAGGTAACCGTATCCTAAAATTTGTTTTTAGAGAAAAATCCTTCTTTGACAATCGACTCTCATAAGTATATCGTAGCTAGATAAAAAGGCTTGAAACTGAAACCTGAAAAATGTGGGCTTTAGCTTGGCTTGGACCCATGCCTCTTAGTTATCGGCTCGGAAATAGATACAAGTCAGCTACAGTCCGAATTTTGGTAGCGAGATACAATAATCGTGTGGAAATTGCTCCTCCAAATGAAGAGTTCTTGGTTTCGTTCTTCATGTATTTTTCTTTTTTTGGCGATTTTGTGACTCAATTATGCTAGTCAGTTTTCTTTCAATAGTTTTTTTTTTGTTCGTTTGTTTAACAGTCTTGGCCAAACGATGCACTTCAAGTCGTAGCTCAGCGGTTTTTAGAAGACCTTGAAATGGACGCTGGGGTGAGGAATGGATGTGTTGAGATGTGCAAGACTTTCCATACTGAAACGAGAAACCTTTCCAAGTCTTTCTTGGATGAACTCAAAAGACACAATTATGTTACACCGACATCGTACTTGGAGCTTATCTCGACATTCAAGACTCTGCTGAACATGAAACAAGTGTAAGTAACTTGATTCTTCTTCTTAGGCCGCCTGTTTTGATGCAACACTCTTACAATCCTTTAGCAATCGTTAAATTTGTGACGTTAGCAACCGTCCAACCACATAACATGCCAGTCACTAAAATAGGAAAAAACCAACTTGCAAACAAAAGAAAGCTATGAAAATGAACAATAAAGGTCCAAAAACAGTTAAAAATAGAAGTTTTAACTATTAAAATAGAACATATCACAAACAATTCTCCACAAACATTTGACTCCAAATTAAACTTTAATTGAAATTAAACCTGAACTTTATGCAACGAGTTTGTTGTTTGTTGTTTACAGGGAGGTGATGAAGGCAAAGAAGAGATATGAAACGGGCCTGGAGAAACTTGCATCTGCGCAGTCACAGGTAACCCATTGGCACAGACTTTTGGCTTGTTAAAATGACTTGATCTTAAATATGAATGTATTTTCTGTCAGGTGTCAGCCATGCAGGGTGAACTGGAAGCTCTCCAGCCACAGCTCATTCAAGCTGGCAAGGAAGTTGATGAGATCATGGTTGTCATTGAGAAAGACTCAGTAGAGGTTGCCAAGACAGAAAAGGTGAGAAGTCTAAATTAGAATGGTGTTTTGATCACTTAACTTTGACTCGTTTTGTGTTTTATGTAAATGTATCTGCCGTTCTTTTATAGTGTTTGAAAACTCCCTTTTGATTTCTCTCCCTATTTTCGTGTGTAGGTGGTGAAAGCAGACGAAGCAGTTGCTAACAAACAGGCTGCAGCGGCTCAAGCCATTAAAGACGAATGTGACAAGGACCTGGGTGAAGCTATTCCTATCCTAGAGGCTGCTCTTGCTGCACTTAATACGCTGACTCCAGCGGTGAGTGCTCTTCTTTTTATTTCCTTGTTTTGAAAAAGACAAAAGCTCTTTTTGGACAATACATCTCGGTACCTATAATTCCAAATGCATTGAAGAAGAGGTAAACGTCTTTCAACAAAGTCCTTTTTGGCACTCACACTCCATATTGATATGAAAGATTTTTATGATGAAGATTTGGTTGGAAGGGGAAGGGGCTGACGATAGGTATACATTGCTAAATTGGAGAAATAAATGAAACCATGTCCGATGGAGTTAGAGAAATATGCGTTTAAAAGGTAAAGAAATTTTCGGGCGAAAAATTAGTTTGATTGTGGTCCTGACGTCTCATTTTTGTTTCTTTGTAGGACATAACAGTGATGAAGACTATGAAGTCCCCACCAGCCGGTGTTAAACTTGTTATGGAAGCTATTTGTATTTTGAAGGGCATCAAGGCCGAACGAATCCCGGATCCCTCGGGTACAGGTAAGAAACCCGTGCGGCGGTCCAAACTACCCGAAAGCCCTTGGATTTACCTCGGGCTCACGTAGGAAATCGTTGTTCTATTTTCGTGTGCTGAATTAATCTTCAAATTGATGTTCTGTTATGTATACAATTGCAAAACTCATCCTGAAATAAACTTTACTTAATAAGATTTGAACCTGAGACCCGAGAACTTCTCACTAAATTTGTTGCTGCTTTTAGGAAAGAAAATCGAGGACTTCTGGGGTCCTTCCAAGAAGCTGCTTGGCGACATGAATTTCTTAAAAAGTCTACAGAGCTACGACAAAGATAACATTGCACCAGCCATAATAAAGACAATCCGACAGAAGTACACCTCAAACCCTGAGTTTGATCCCGAAAAGATTAAAACAGCGTCCACCGCTGCAGAGGGTCTTTGCAAGTGGGTCGTCGCCATGGAATCCTATGACAAGTAAGTGACGCTTCTTTTTGTGTACAAATTGTATATTGTATTAAACCTTAAATGTGGTATGATATAACTTAGAATATAGCGACATTTCAGTGTAATTTGAAATACATCAACCAAGAAATATGCGGTATTGTATTGGTGGAATGTAAACTGACCATCGTGATTGTGTTGTGCAGGGTGGCGCGGGTTGTGGCTCCTAAGAAGGCGGCACTGAAGGAGGCTGAAGCAGAGCTGTCTGTCGCTATGGAGGTAAGGCACTCTCATTTCCATCACTCTTATTTTCATACGTTGCTTTTAATGTCAGCCTTTTGTACAAAGGTGAGCTCGACGGGAGAAACTGAAGCCAGAAATATCAGATGGTTTGAGAGCTGGCACTTGAGCTATCTGCTGTTAAATCCACAATTTGTATTTTGGTATATTTCATTGTTGTTGTTACTTGTAACGGTTAATGAATTGAGTGTGGTGCAGTTTGATCTGAAATTAGAATTTTTTTCAATATTCTCCCCCAATTTTTTAAGGAAAAAGTGCAATTTAAAGCAAGTATGGCTATTCGTGAATTTAATGCAGTGCTGAGGGCTAATTAAACTGTAAGGATGGGTACCTATTTTAAAATGCGTGTAACGAATTCGTTTATTTATTTGTGTATTTATCTCTGAGTTATCCGTTGAACAGAATTCTCATCAATTGAAGTGCCGACTGAACTATCGGTTATGTTTGTATGACTGCAGAGTTTGAATAAAAAGCGTGCAGCGCTTCGTGAAGTTCAGGACAAGCTGGCTCGATTGCAGGAGAAGTACGAAGCCAATGTGAAGAAGAAGGCTGATCTTGAAAAACAGGTACAAACACCCTTCTTATTCCCATCCTTATTTACTCATAGGACGCTAAGGACGTTACTGGTTCTAACTGTATGCAGGAATATGAAAGTGATATAAACCCTACCTCGCCAACGAGTTTTTGTAGAACAATTGTTAGAGAATATAACCTCAAAATTTAGAGGTCTTATGCTTGAGTTCTCATTGCTTACTGATATGTTTTCTTTGCACTTCTCTGAGACTCCTCTGATTTCCCCTAATTACTTGTTACAGGATTATTTATATACTCCTTATTTTGCCCTCTATTTGATTGGAGGTAACGAATTTTGCCTGTTTACAGGTTGACCTTTGTACCAAGAAACTTGAACGCGCAGAGAAGTTGATCGGTGGACTCGGCGGAGAAAAAACAAGGTAGTTTTCCCTCCAACCTTTTTTCTTGATGATTTTTAGCATCATCTTCATTTAATTTCTTTGAATCTAATTGTTTTTTTAATTTTGGTTCAAAGGTGGACTGAAGTAGCAAAGCAGCTTGGTATCAAGTTTGAAAATCTGATTGGGGACGTTTTGGTATCATCCGGTGTCGTGGCGTACTTGGGCGCCTTCACGGCTGCCTTTAGACAAGAACAAACAGTGCAATGGGTCAATGCCTGTCGTAGCACCAATATCCCTTGTTCTGATGACTTCTCAGTCACAGGCACGCTCGGTGACCCTGTGAAGATAAGGGACTGGAACATAGCTGGCCTGCCAACTGACAGTTTCTCTATTGAGAATGGAATTATAATCAGGTACTGTGGATTAACTCAGGCGTGTTGTCCTTCAGTTTGGGTAGCATGTTTATCTCCTCACTGGTTGAGCAAATTTCACTCCTTTTGTCGTTTGCATTCAGTGTGTATGTTCTCCATCGTAAGCCATCCTTTTCCCTTCTTGGTTTGTTATTACTCCCTTTGCTTATGTCCTCCTTGCCGAGCAAACATTTTACAGTGCCTCTCAAATAAAGAGTACTTTAGCATTTCAACCATCGTGATACAGCCCGTGTTATGGTTGCCCTGGTTTTCCAAGGGGGAAACACCCAAACACAAACACGTTGCTCAATGTTTCCCTCCGTAGAACTTCTATCAAATGAGCTTGTTTTCCTTTCCTTTTCACAGCAATGCAAATCGTTGGCCACTGATGATCGATCCGCAGGGACAAGCAAACAAGTGGGTTAAAAATATGGAGAAGAAAAACAACTTACACGTCATTAAAATGACCGATGCTGATTATGTACGAACACTGGAGAACTGTATCCAATTTGGTACCCCGGTAGGTTGGCTACTCCTTTGCTATTTCCACAACGATGTTTACATTTACATGCCCAGTTTACATTTTCTGTGAATGTGAATTTTTTTCGTTTTTCTCTCTAAGCTGACTAAAAGATGAAATAGATAGTGAGAAAAAAATCAAGTTCATTTTTGCCGATGTGATCCCTAAATGCGCTGCTAGTACTCTGCAGATAGTTTTTTCCGGTGATTTTGTGGGAATTCTCTCTTTACGCAGTATGGTGTTGCTATTTTAGGTTTTGTTAGAAAATGTTGGCGAGGAACTCGATGCACTATTAGAGCCGCTACTTTTGAAACAGACCTTCAAACAGGGCGGCAGTATCTGTATCAAGCTTGGCGATAGCGTCATTGAATACTCCAAGGATTTCAGGTCAGTTCTGTGAGGGAATTCTTATTGAGTCTTAGAGGTGATATTTGTAATAATGTTTGATGACTGTCGTTGAATTACGACTCTAGAGAGAAAAAACGAAAAACGATCAGGACGTCTAAGATTATCTCGTTCTGTACATAGCGAATAAAGGAAAGTTATTGATGGAACAAGTGATTACTCACTCTCCGCACTATTTCCATTTTAAGGTTTTACATAACAACGAAGCTCAGAAACCCACACTACCTTCCGGAGACGTCAGTCAAGGTAACTGGGGAAAGGTTACGTTTGCCTTGGTATTATAGATTTATTAATCGTTTTTGTTAACGTCAAGGTTTCAAATCGAATAAAACGGAGGTCATAATTTCTGAATCTCATGCGTTTGCTCGGAAACTCAATAGGTACAGGTAGGAAATATGCGTAAAAAAGGAACTTCAGTTTGGGTGCTTTCAGTTTGAAAATTTTGTCAGAATAATGAATAGCGCTTGACTTGTCAGCTATTGTTACCGTTTTCATGCCGTAGATACTTCGAAAAGAGTCTGACAATGTCACTTATTCAGCGTATATGTTACATATGTTTTTCTGTAGGTGACGCTGTTGAATTTCATGATCACACCTGAAGGACTTGAGGATCAGCTGCTTGGGATTGTGGTGGCACGAGAAAGGCCTGAGCTGGAAGAAGAGAAGAATGCACTGATTATACAAAGTGCAGAGAATAAGAGGTGCGTTCACCATACTAACATTGTGATGTTTATAGTGTACGTAGCTCCTAACTTTGATTCTCTGTCTTAAAACAGGCAACTGAAAGAGATTGAGGACAAGATTTTGGAAGTGCTGTCTTCATCTGAAGGAAACATCTTAGAAGATGAGACTGCTATTAACGTTTTGTCCTCATCTAAGGTGTTAGCAAATGAAATCTCCGAAAAACAGGTCAGTCGACTTTCTGCTTTTCTGTTTGTGTCCACCTGCTCGTCTTTCTTTCCGTCCTTTTCGTTCCATGTCTATTTTAAGTCTGTCTGTCTGTCTGTCTGTCTGTCTGTCTGTCTGTATGTCTATCGGTCTCTATCTTACTTCACCCATTCATTATTTCACTGTCTATCAACTTACCGTTGTACCCCGATTTCTTAATTATGGTCGATCATGATGCTTTTTCTTGATAAGTAGTTGTATGTTTTGTCAGGCCATAGCAGAAGAAACGGAAAAGAAGATTGACAACACACGCATGGGTTACACACCTATCGCTACTCACTCAGCAGTGCTGTTTTTCTCCATCGCTGACCTGGCCAATATTGAACCTATGTACCAGTACTCTCTTACTTGGTTCATCAATCTATTCATCATGTCTATTGACAATTCTGAGAAATCAGAAGTACTGGAACAACGGTAAGAAAAACTACATAAAATGTGCCCATGCCTTTTAGCTTTGTCATACCTCGTATACCCTGCTTGTTCCTCGGTTAGCGCGTGTAATTTAACGTGACAGCCTTATTTGACGATGCATTTTGTATTTCTGAGTAGACGAGAAGATCCTTGCTGTTCAAAAGGCTTAACTTAAGCCCGCTTTACTGATTATTAGTGAGAAACTGATAATGGCTGTTTTCCATCTACAGGCTGGAGAATCTAACGAATCACTTCACTTATTCTCTTTACTGCAATGTGTGCCGATCACTGTTTGAAAAGGATAAGGTGACAGAATTTTGAATTTCTTGTATTTAACATGGTTTTATCGCACACAAGAAATACGATATTTGCATTAACGATAATAAATGGACTTTCAGAACATGTTTCTGATCCCAGTTTGTGAATTGTTCAAGCCCAGCTAATGTTATGGTCACCCTTGTTTTACAGCTCCTGTTCTCGTTCCTGTTGTGTGTCAACTTACTGAAAGGCAAAGGAGAAATATGTGATAATGAGTGGCGTTTCCTATTGACTGGCGGAGTAGGCCTGGACAATCCTCATTCCAATCCGTCCACTTGGCTTCCCTCGCGGTCCTGGGACGAGCTGTGTAGGCTGGATGACTTATCAATGTACGTTGCTATACACAGAGCTCTGCAAATTTTTCTTTGACTATCCTTTCCCATGATCGCTGAATTAATTGACTCACCTTAACTTTCTTTTTGTTTATATAGGTTCAAAGGATTCCGACACAAGTTTCCCAAACACTTAGAAGGATGGAAAAAGATTTATGACAGTAATGTGAGTGATTTCTGTTTTTAATTAAGTTTTAGCTCTTTAACCAAGTTTCATATCAGGTATATGGTATATGCTCGTTTTCAGTATTGGACGGTGAGGGTATATTGTTCGTTAGAATTCGGGCTAATGGGGGAAAATTACACAGCGGACTTATCTAGTTTTGTTTCTGTATTGTTGTTTTTATTTTTCTTTGTCTGTTATTTTCATTTTTTTCTTTACTGTTTTGTTTCTTTTCTTTCAGAGGGGTTACTCTATTTTCTTGTCTTTACTCATTGTTGTGTTACTTTGCTTTCAGGAGCCACAAAATGAGCCTTTACCAGGAGATTGGGATGAGAAACTTGGCCAGTTTCAAAAAATGGTTATCCTGCGCTGTCTTCGACCTGACAAGGTCTGTTATAGCAGTCAATATCGACAAAATTTACTCGCGTCCTTTTTTTATGATATTATTTAGGTATATTTATAAACGTTGCATTGTTTTCCTTGCTTGTTTTCAGATGACGCCCGCAGTTCAAGATTTTGTTACCGCTAAACTTGGTAAGCGTTTCATTGAGCCTCCACCATTTGACCTTGCTAAGGCTTTTGCTGATTCGAACTGCTGTGCGCCGCTCATCTTCGTTTTGTCTCCTGGCTCTGATCCCACTGCCGCCCTGCTCAAGTTTGCTGACGATCAGGTAAACTACAACGAAAGCTTCAGTCTTACACGCTTTATCTGCTTAGTTTTCATTGCTGAACAATAGAGTGAAGCTTACGAGACGATTAGATTGCTTGATTTTCAACTGAACGTGCAATCGCCCCAAGGTAATTGTTTGTGATGAGATACAACCGAATGATCAGTCATCCCTCCCGAGAGGAGATTGTCCTGCAAGTCTTTCTTATGAAGTATTCAGTCCCTCGTCTATGTTAAAGGTGTTGCCGTTGTTGTTATAAATGGCCTTAGCAAGTCATTTTCAAGGCAGCACGAAAGACGATTTATATGAGACAAGTTGATCGGCAATTGTTGACACGGTCATGTAGTGCTATCTATTTCACAAGTGTTTGCGAGATTCTGCATTATCAACAATTTTTTAGACCGCCTGCACTAAGGGCTAATGTATTTTGTCTGTCATGATAGGGCTTTAGTGGATCCAAGTTGAGTTCTTTATCGCTCGGTCAAGGCCAGGGTCCAATTGCCATGCGTATGATAGAGAAGGCCGTCAAAGACGGCACCTGGGTAGTGCTGCAGAACTGTCACTTGGCCACATCATGGATGCCTACACTGGAGAAAGTTTGTGAGGTTAGAACCGAATATCATGTTGTAAGTTTAATACAAGGTAGCTAGCAGGATCAGCTTAAATTAAACTTTTAATGAAAGAAAATATGAACTCTTCCCTTCCCACTCATTCCACGTCTGTGCGAGACTTTATGAGCGCTTTGATGTTTAGATCACTCATTCTTACACACTTGAACAAATTCAGCTTTGTTCTAAATAATCAAGCTTGTATTTTGTATCATTGCTGCACAACAGATTTTGACTGACATGGTTAAACATTTGCTTTGTTTCCTCTTTTGAAGGAACTGAACCCAGACACGACGCACCCTGATTTCCGTTTGTGGCTCACAAGTTACCCGTCACCAAACTTCCCAGTGTCTGTACTTCAGAATGGTGTCAAGATGACCAACGAACCTCCTAAAGGACTGCGTTCAAACGTCATTCGCTCCTACCTGAGTGACCCTATCTCAGACCCAGAGTTTTTTACGACATGCAACAAACCTGTAAGTAACAACTGAAGATAAGTTAGATACTTTGTACAACTTCTTGATCACTGTTCAAGGTGATGGTCTGTCAAATTCTTGACCATTTGTCTTTACTCTTCATCTTCCAGCGCGAGTTCAAAAAAATGCTGTATGGTTTGTGCTTCTTCCACGCCATCGTTCAAGAGAGGCGGACGTTTGGTCCCTTGGGTTGGAACATTCCTTACGAATTCAATGAGACTGACTTGAGGATAAGTGTGCGACAGCTGCACATGTTCTTGAATAAATATGATGTAAGTATTTTTGCCTCTAGTTACTACTGAGCAACTCTGTTAAAATCCTTCAACCTCAAACAGCCTCGCGATGGGTTTTGCATCTTAGAAAATCTAGCCAAGCTTTCGGCAAAGTGGTTTTCAATCCGTTTAAATCTTCGTCAGCAGCAGCCATTCTTGTTCCTTGTCAGGTTGACATAACCTCTGCTGTATTTTACGATCCGAAGGGGCTTACATTTTGTGTTCTCCCTCTAGTTTGAGGTGCTTTGTGCCTTTCATGAGTCATCAACAACTTTTCCTGTATTTTTTAAATTGCAGGAAGTCCAGTTTGCTGCTCTGTCGTATCTGACCGGAGAGTGTAATTATGGCGGCCGAGTGACTGATGATCGTGACAGACGGACCTTGCTGACCATCTTGGACAAGTTTTACACCTCGGACATCATAAACAACGAAGATTACAAGTTTTCTCCCAGTGGCAATTACTTTGCCCCTAAAGAGGGAGAATACGAGACTTACATCGATTATTCACGAAGCCTGCCGTTGATAACCCACCCTGAAGTGTTTGGTATGCACGCTAATGCTGACATTAGTAAAGATCAGCAAGAAACTAATCTTTTGTTCAACAGCATCCTGCTTACTCAGTCCCGAGCTTCTGCCAAGGGGGGAAAGTCAGAAGACGAGGTGGTGTATAGTGTGGCAGCGGACATCTTGGAGAAGCTTCCGCAGAACTTTGACACTGAGGCTGCACTACGCAAGTTTCCCACCACCTACACACAGAGTATGAACACAGTGCTTGTACAGGAGATGGTAAGATTCAACAGGCTCACAGAAGTAGTGCGGTCCTCGCTTATAAACATACAGAAGGCCATCAAGGTACGCGGTATTTAACTTTCCGAATAGCCCTGAGGTGCTAGAGGTAAATTCCCAAGTTGTTAGTAAGTTGACAGAGATAATGGAGGAATACTGCTAATTCTCTGAAAACGGGAACTTTCAGAATCAGCACTGAGTGTTCATCCCATAGTGGAAAATTAGGTTGTTAGAAACTGACAGAGAGTGCAGTAAACGATAGGGACCGACTCCAAGTTTACGTATAAGAGGACTGACTGTTTTAAAGAAAAGTGCGGAAGCAAAACTTTTTTGGGAAGCGCAAGGAACCCAAAACAGAGTGATATAAGATTAATTTTATTCAAGAGTCTAGTGATTAAGCACATATACTCATGAGAGAATCAGCTGTAACTTTTGCACCAATAATCATTAAAATAACGGACAGAGATTGTCAAAACTATTATTCCCAATTCAGATAACTTGTGTGACATCGTTATACTTGTGATCATCTTTTTGCAGCTTTTTTAAGGGTTGGCAATAATTCTCATCTAAAGTACACTTAGCGGCGAAAGTAAGCCAAACTAAAACTCATCATGTTCTTGTTTTTTTCAAGGGATTGGTGGTGATGTCGTCTGAATTAGAGGAGGTCGTGAGTGGCATCCTGAAAGGAAAAATCCCAGGCCTGTGGATGAAGAAGTCGTACCCATCACTCAAGCCTCTCGGCAGCTATGTTAATGACCTCATAGCCCGACTGAAATTCCTTCAGGAATGGTATGATAATGGCGCACCTCCCGTGTTTTGGGTGTCTGGATTTTTCTTCACCCAGGCTTTCTTGACTGGTTCAAAGCAGAACTATGCAAGAAAATACACCATTCCCATTGATTTGTTGACCTTCGACTTCGAGGTTCTTGAAGACAAGACATACGACACCCCACCTGAGGACGGAGTGTACGTGAATGGCTTGTTCATGGAAGGTTCCCGCTGGGACAGAGAGAAAAAAGTGATAGGCGAGTCTCACCCTAAAGTTTTGTACGATAACATGCCTGTGATGTGGCTGAAGCCCTGCAAGAAGGAGGGTGTTGTAGACAGACCACACTATGTTGCCCCTGTGTACAAGACAAGCGAGAGACGTGGAACACTCTCCACCACAGGACACTCAACCAACTTTGTAATGGATATGCGCCTGCCGTCTGACCAGCCGCAGTCGCACTGGATCATGCGTGGAGTGGCTCTTTTGTGCCAGTTGGATGATTAAGTGATTTAACTGTGTGATAATTCACCTTGCATATAGTCAGTCACCCAATACGTTATATTTAATTTTTTTTTCTTACTCAATACTCTTTATGAGACGTTTGTAATACGATTGTACAGATATTTTCTCTTCATTACTGATAGAACTGGATGGACGTGTGCAAACAGAAGACTTCGAGTGAACTTATCTCGTTAATGTGGTAACTAAGTGCCTAAGATGGCTGTTGTACAGAGAAAAATTTCACATTAAAATGTTTTCTCTCACAAGTGTGGCTTACTGTTACCTGGATCAGATACTTTGGTTCCAATCTACATTTTGAATCTTTTGGTGGCGAAATTCTCAAAAGTAGAAAAAAAAATTACTTCGAAACCTAAATTTGCAATTTCGAGAACACACCCAACGGCATCGCTTACTTAAATAAACTTTAAACAGACTGGTTACTAAAATGGTGTTTTCCAGGAAAAAAGAAGTACTTGATAAAATGTTTTTCTCTGAAGGCACAGTGGCCTCGAATGTAGTCCGTGGGTATTTTCACTGCATGTACTGAATGAGTAACATTTCCAGTTTTGAAAAGTTCAACGCCTGATCGCAAGGTACAAGACAATCAGCGTGATTGTTTTCCTGGTTTAGAGACAGGTTTGTATCTTTCTTTCATTTACACATTGTAATATTTAAATCAGTTTCACGAATGCTCTGACTTCCGTAACCATTTTATCAAACATCCTTCAGTTCTAATAATATTAAGATCCCATTTTGAATGAAGCATCTTTGAGTAGTTCTTAAAAGTTAACAAAGGCAACTACTTGGCACTAGTAATAGCGAACGCAGTTGCTCCTGTCTTTTCTGATTTTCTAGTTTTTCAATTATCTAACGGTGTAAGGTATCATGAAAGCGACCAGCAGAAGCAACAACCAACTGTTAATGTGTGTCTCAGTTGCTGTTGTGTCTTAAGGTGGAACGCCTATAGTCGTTATTCTATCATCTTGTTACTCGGTTTCAATATGCCTAACCTCTCAAGAGGCTATCCAGATACTTTGTTTTTACACAGATGGACTTAATTCCCTGAGGGAAGCCCTCCCAAATTTTAAAATGATAAGAAATTTGCATACCGCATGCTTACCTTGAGATCTTTATACCAACAATTTCTTTTTACTCGAGATTTTAAGGCAGCACGATCAATCTCGTACGATGACGTCCTCAACAAATGACCTATAGGTAGTTCCATGACTCGAGCAGGAACCGTGCTGTGTGGCGACAAAGTATGTTATGACATACTGCAATCCACCTCAAAACAAGTGTTGCTAAAACAACTGTTCTACCGAAACAGTTGGCTGCATCATGGAGCTCATTTTAAGAAAACCTTGTAAATAATGAATATGAGTTTCTAGGGAGCGCCAGATACATTGAAGATGCCAGAGATCGCGTGTAACATCTGTCAGTCATTATTCTGCCACTATGTAAATGACTTTTCGTCGCACGCTGAACAAAATCAATTTATTGTGATATTTTCATACAAGGTTACTAATTCTTTGATTTGAATACGTGTTTTGATTTTCATTTAATAAAGCTAAAGGAAATTCAAAAGATGAGGCAAATCTGATGTGAAAATTTTTCCGAATTTTTTTTTGTTTCTTGGTTCATACGGTTGAATTTCTAGGATAGAAAGACACCTGCTATCATACAACAATGAGCCTTGTGTGATCACTTACCCTATATGTCATAGAAGAATAAAAATATTACCATTCTTTTCTCTTTCCCGTGATATCACATTCTAGTAAATGGCGGCAAAATTACCCAGTTGCATTTCGACTGGTCTATCTCAAAGACGATGCTACAGCATGGAAAAGGCCGAGAATGCGTACGAGTTACCTAAAGGAAAAGCTCCTGAGATAAAGAATGACCCCGACTCAAAAGCCTCAGGCTTGACGTTTAAGTACGATGAGGGTCGAATATATTCAACGTCGGCTCCACCGATGCCGTCTGATGAAGAAAATCGTCCCGATGACATGGACTTTGATACAGACGGTGAACAATCCACCGTTGAATTAACAGGAAGTTTAACAGATTTGAGCCAGGCCGACTTTAGAAAGTTACAGGTAGGAAAGCATACACTCCAGCTGCCGACACTCCATTCGTCCTCAAAGAAATGCCGAGTAAACAACGACGTAAACAAATAACACATAAAGGAACACAAACAAAAAGGCTCTTATATCACCACTCAACGAACGTGATCTGCCCAAGTGAGATATACTTAGAAAATCGTCTTCAGTTCGGGAGAAAGGATATTTCACTGAATAATTTCAATCACGCGTTGAAATTAAGTAAAAATAGGTTATTTCTTATTCAAATAATGCATTATTCTGATATTGCGTAATTACGGAATTTATATAAAGGAAACAAAATCTTTGATATTCTTTCATTATGTCTGTGAGTAAAATCTTTGTATTTGCAGTGCAGGCTGCAATAAAATTGAAACCTAAAGCCTAAGATTGTAATAAGCAACATGCTATCTGTGCACTCTAAGATCAAATGGTGGAACTTTTAAATCTTGGCAGAAAATTGAGAAAATATCAATTTTAAGGGGGGTAAGTTTCTAAAGAAACTGTAATGCTGGGTCGGTGGGAGAGTATAACAGGTAATTTAGTGTTAACAACCGAGTTGAAAACGTAAATTAACCACCGTAAAGAGTAAAAAAGCTGACGTTTCGAATGTTAGCCCTTCGTCTATCGCTCTGACGAAGGGCTAAAGCTCGAAACGTCAGCTTTTTCACCCTTTACGGTGGTTAATTTACGTTTTCAACTCGGTTGTTAACACTACATTACATATCAATTTTAAGTCAAGCTAAGCGGCTGTCAGTTCTAAGCGCATGGAAGGAAAAGAAAGATCTCATCACAATTCTTTATTTTCTAGTTTATTTTCTCACCTAACACGTTTTCATGAGCAGCGGTAGGTTAGATGAAAAGCTTTTTCCCCTGGTGGCTGAATAGGAAACTTCATAAACAGACTTCATTCCACCGTCCCTTGAGTCCTTGTTATTTTTCCTCACAGGCACGTTTTGATCTATCGTAACCCGACGAGGGGCAAAAAAAGTTCCAGAAATAGACAGTTGTAACGAAAGTCGTTACAGAAGAAGCTTGGTTTAAGATACTAAACAGTAAGTACACTCACCCTTGCATGGTGTTACAAGCTTCACGGGAGAGCCTTCGATCAATTTGGCTAGCAAGTTTCCCCGCGGGGAACCTGGGCGTAACAACGGGCTAAGTGAAAAGACTTGAATTTCACATGCTGATTTAATTGGCTGAACAAAAAGAGAAAATGATTGACTTAGATGTACACGAGGATCCACTATGGTGTAGCTACTGTTCCATTTGTTTGCCTGCATTATCTTGCTTTAACAACAATCGGATGCTTGGTTTCCATAAAGCATTAACAGATTTGTTGAACGTTTTAACAATACTCATATTGTGATCTTGTCGGCTACTGTTCTTTAACTGCCACTTGTTTTGCGCACACTATACATTTTTCAAATACTTGTCTTCAACTGAGCTACCTAACTTGCCTCATCTTGATTCGATCTAAGCAGAAAAATGTTTCAACATACATGGTGAGAAACAGTCTCAGATCAGAGTTAAAAAAATTCTGAGAGACAAAAAAGTTTTCAAAATTACCAAAATGAAATACCGGAATATCGAATCGAACTTGTTTGCCTAATCTATAAACAAATGGCCTACAGTTAAGCTGGATCTTTTATCTATACTAATGTGTTTACACTTCAGCCTATTCTGATGCAAAAAACGTCACTCGTCTTTGTGTTCCAGAAATGCTTCTGTCACCGTACGTTCAGGAAAAGGAAAATATGAATTAGAAAGAAAACAGTGAACAGCTTCAAAGATTTCCGCTTGTTAATGGAAAATGCGAAATTAATGTCTAATCTCAATTTAATCGAACCAAAAAGATCGAAAAGTTTACTCGCAATAATTTTTCTACTAGATCTTGATCAGACTTTGGCTTGGTGTATGGGGCGCTTAATATAACTTCTAATTGAGTTATATGCGATTACTTTCCAAACAGATTGGCGTTAAAATATACGATGTGTTAACTATAGCGTCATGAGTAAGGCTTCGATAACGCCATGCTCTGATTGGCATGCCGGGGTCACACACTAAGCTTGTAACATGTTATTAAACGACCTTCAGGGATCTGATACTCCATATATGCAGTTATCCTGATCTAATAACCTTAACCAGTTTTCGTGATATTAGCAACAAAGTATCCATTAGGTTTTCTTTTTCTTTGTTTGAGGTGATGTTAACATATCAATGCCAAGAACAGTCCCTATCACAAAGTCGGCAAGTAATTCGTTATAGTAACGATGAGTTCAGTTCAATTCTCGCCACTGATCGCAGAACATTATAACTAGGGCGAATTACATTTAATCCTAAAGCGCTCGTCGTAATTTGCCATTTGATGAGCAAAAGTAAAGATAATAAAAATCAACAAATCAACGCTAATGGATAAAAACGTGACGGTCAACAAAGACGTGTCAACATATCGAGCCACAAGACAGAGGTTTTCCACTCAGCCGATCGACGAACTACAGGCCACGCTCAGCTTAAACAGTTTAACAGTTTTGTTCGCGTGGCAGTGAACATCAGACTTCAACAAACTCAATGAACCTGGATCAAAGACAAGAAGACAGGCCCAGAGTATCGTCATTTCTCATAGATGACATTTTAGCACCACAGACTGTCCCTACAACACCACAATGTCCCAGTGCTAAGCCGATCGCAGCAGTAGAACAGCCCAGCTCTTCACAAAACTCCACGCAACTCACTGATAACCGCTCACATTTGTGTCCGCAACCCTTGGATTCAACTTTGCTGACATGCTACGGTAAAGTATACTGTATTTTATTCCACGATAACTCGGCTCTGAGTTCAGTTTTTACATAGTTCGCTTTATATATAAAGTAATACAATGACACATATAAACTCGCACAAAACTGTCTTCAGTGACTCAGTGCGTTGTTTTCTTTTAATTGTAATATCACTGTTAAGACATGTTCACTGTTAAGGGTGAGTCTCATTTATATTTTAGCGGATACTTGATAAAATTAATCGCTGTATCGGAGGATTGTTGTGAATTTGGAAACTTCATGTTTGTTTTAAGTGCACCAAGTCTAACATGAATCAAATGTTCTCTTTTTATTTGTTTACCATATATTTTCATGATTTTAAACCTGCAATGATGGAAGCACGCTTACGCACATTAATCAACTTGTAAGATGAACTTTACAACTGACAAATGGTGCATCCAACGGCAAATATCGTGTTGCAGAGCTCAAGTGCTTTCAGTAGGGTCCGTCAGATATCGTCTTGCTCGAATATAGATACTGTAAGAGGTTTGTAAGATACCCCGGGTACGAAAGCCTTAAGATGTCGTCATTTTGTCAGTTTTTAACACCGTATCAGTAGAGATTGCTTCTTACATTATAACCGATAGAGATGACGTGAACAGCTCTCCTAGTGCGCGACTTGCTGGAAGGACAAGACTGATCGTCGTTGTAGAGATGTCGCTTCTCAAAACACTTTGGTTTGGAGTCTAACCAATCGTTCCTACTTGTTATATATATAGCGTGTCTATAGATTTGATAAACTATGCACACAATTGAAGATTTTCTCCGTAGCGAAATACTTTGTCCGCCGCTACATTTTCAGCCGAGTGTCACTAAACTGGGCGGAAGTGTTTTAACAGTATTGTGAGGTCAGGAAGAGCAAAGATCAGATTAACATCAAATGATACGTCCGAGATTTCTTCGTAGATATCTTCTTCTTTCTGTGAATTTGTTTGTTCGTAAATTACATCATATTTCACTCTTTATTTTTCAAAAAGTAATTCAGGGAAATATTACTTTGTTTATTACAAATTTTAAAAAAAAGTTCCTGATTTGACTTTCTCTTTTCTTTTTCTTTTATTCGCAAATCCCACACAGAGTTCGAGGCAAAAAACAAACCTGAGTCACGTTAAAACACAAGCGTTCATTAAAACTGAGCTGATTATTCATGTTTGTCTTAATATGCGTCTATTAATTTGGACGGCATCAAAGAATAGTCAAGCAGTATAAATACCGCCGGAGATCTAAGCAACACACAATTGCCATTCTTGGTTTCCTAGGTTGCATTTCGTGATGGTCTCCAAAAATGTCGCAAGTTCTACCGGCAAAACTGAATAAATGCCCAGATAAACTCGCGCCGATCTAGAACTACTTTCGCTCTTTATCGAATTACACCCGCAAATATTCTGAACGTGTTTGCTTTTTCCTGTTCGATTAACGTCCCTGTATGGAATTTTAGCTTTGGAGCGGTCGTGTTTCTTCCTTCGACTGCTTGCACGTATTTAGCGTCACGAACTTATGTCAGTGTTATTAGTTTGGGCCAGAAGAAGAGAGACCTAACTGAGATATAGATCCCATACTAAGGTTCGTTCACGTTAAGGCGTAGTTTACGACAGTTTGTCATGGATGAAGCCAAAAACGTCAGAACTAAAGAAGAAATCTTGCTCAACATTTTTCAAACTGAACGAGTTATGTTCCGGACACAGATTGTTGCTGGAGTGATTAAGGATGATAGCAGGCCCTAACCATTAAAACAAAACGCAGTTAGGTCCGGCCCTTTACTGAACTATACTAATAAAGGCATCATGCTTTCTTTAAAATGAAACATTTAACACACATTTTTGTAAGAAACCTGATAAACTATTCACATAAAACTGCGTCGCAGAAAGTCGAGTAATACTGAGTAAATTATCGATTAAAAAACTGCATGATAATTATTTTGGAGAAAAATGATGAGGCTTATTAAAATGCCACATCCTAGTCAAGGATTCTAATCAATCAAAGTAACCCCTGAAACATTCACTCAGGAAAGATCAAGTGTATCCCCTTTTCACGCCTAAAATGATTAAGGACAAACGAGCATCTTCGCCGGAAAAATCCCTTTAAAAAAACTTGCAAAAGGAACGCATTTATTGAAATGCTTATAAAAACTAAGAAATTGTGTTTCGGTTTCTAACGACGAATAAAAGCTCCAGCGCTGAAAAACGATACAACAAAATGATTCAGTTAGACTCAGTAACATGATTCATTGTGGATCATTTAATTCCATCCTTATCACAAAGCTGTATACACAACTGGATGTCCCTTTGACACATTTCAATTTTATCATATCAGCCCTTCTTGCTTGTCGGTTTTTCTTTGAAGTATGTTTTATTTCTGACAACATTTGAACCCGACTTGCTAATTTCGTGTCTTACATTTTGATGATCAATATGGCTGCGATTGCTTTGGTCAACTTATCTTATTATCTACGCGAGCAGTTAAGAGACCATAACTGTAGAGAATTACCAACAAACAAATTGCGCTCGAAAACATATTTGTCTTTCAAATATATGATTGAGTTACACCAATTTATTAAAGATCTTAGCCAAGCCTCGGCAGTATATTTTCTTTAAAAATGTCGCTCCAGTTCAACGTTTTTTTAACTGTTTGTTCCCTTTTCAACCGGGTAGTTTTTGTTCCTCGGTATTGTTCACTGCTTTGTTTTCACAAGCTAAAAGCATTAATGGACATATTCCTGTCTTCCCTCAAAGAAAAACAAATAGTGTATGCGCAAAGAAAGAGACGGTAAGGTGTTAAACAGGGCCATCATAGAACTGGCAATAGTATTAAGAGACACCTTAGATGTATACCTCAGCTGTGTAGTAACAGCATCGCATCAAAATGACATAATCTAATTGATTTTTCCCAAAAGAATGTCAACACAGGGTAAGGGTCTTTTAGATAAGTGAAGAAAAAACCGTGAATTGTTACCCTTAGAAACCTTAGAAGAGTTGTGCTGAAAACTGCAGAAAGAAATGACTTTTATCCATGATAATACAACTTGCGGCGATAATGATCTTGTGTTTTTACTCCTTTACAATTTATGATTATAAAAAATAGTGAATCATGTTTTTCTGTGCATTACTTACTCACTGTGTTCAACGAAGTCGGTTGCTGATTATGGTAGAATTCATCCATTGGTTCTGGGGATGATTTAACGGTAGACATTAAATTATTACTATGTTGGGAAGAAAAGCATTTGGCACGATCAGGTCTTACGGGCAACCTTATTCTAGGAGTTACAGCGTAGACAACCAGTGTTTGCTGAATTCGACTGATTTGGTACTTCACAGTTCCACCAGAACATGCCCAAGGCCGAAATAGAGGAATAAAACATGAGGTAGTAGTACGAAAGGCGGTTATGCTAAGCTAGAGTTACAATTCAAAATTACTTTGGACTATTATTGTGTAAAAACAAATGTTCCTAGACGGACAAAACTAGAGGAAAATGAATGTAAACAATGTCTGAAAACCGACAAAAAAAATCTAAGGATTCTAATAACCCTTGGTTCAGGCGCTGTGGTTTCTTGCATCTGTAACAAACTCTGATTTGATACAACTTGTTGGCCGGGACTCAGAGAATCACTCTGAAAATGTCATATAGGAATTGATTTCATCGAATGCGCATGCAATAGTAAAATACATTCGGAGCACTAAATCTTTGTATTATTTTGCTTCCAAAGAGAAAACGCCCAAAGTGGATATAACGGCGTGTTAGCAACACAGGTTGATAAGAATATGGCCAGGTTCATAGCCACTAAGGATAACTAGTTACCATTATTTCATCTCGCAGCATTGTCATGGGAGATACATAATCGAAATTGCCATAGCAGTTTTAAAATTATGTAAAAAAAAAAATGCTGCTCATTAACACCTAAAAGAGAACATTTCATTGGTCACAAAGTATATAAAAAGAATATAAATCTTTCACATTCCAGGATCTCCCTGTCATGTGGCTCGGCACCCTTACTATTGGAGACCCCCATACACGTGTTATTCACCAGCTCATGGTTACAAATGCAATCACAGTGCTAATTCTCCTCTCTACTGTACGTCTTCAGGTAAGCTGCACATTATGAAGTTAGTTAGCAGGATCCTCAGCTAACTCGAGTCGAAGAAATATGTCAGAACGCATGGAAACAGAAGGATTTATGAAGGCTTGATGATTAATTGAAGCGAAATGTGATATTTTGGCCCAACACACCTCGTCATCGATATTTTCATTTAATCCGATTAACAAATATATTATGTGTTGTCATGCTTATCACAAATGACGTCAAAATGTAGTAAAAACAAAACAATGGCACACGAAGCGCAGCCGAGTGTGTCACTGATGTTCTTACCGCGATTTTAACGTCTTCTGTGACCTATTACAGACCTACGGCAACATGGAACCTGCTCTTCATAATAAAAAAGCAAAATATCGTTAATGGTAACGTCATCCAATAGATCTCAAGTGAGAACATCAGCCAATCAAAATGCATGTGTAATTTAGCTTATCATAGAAATCCGCATATCTTAGCTGACGTTGTGTGATAACATAGTAAGATAAAATGAGAAGAGATTTATGCTTTTTCTCCACAGATCTCTTCATTAACTGTAGCAGACATCCGTCAACTTCCTCAGAATCTTATACACAGTCTATTCATGAACAATCACGGTCGCGAAGGCCTAGAAGACCCTGGACACGAGCAGTGTTTTCTAACTTACAGCGCAAGGGACTTGAAAAGCGTTTTCAGGTTCAAAAATACCTGACAAAAGCAGATAGACATCAGTTAGCGTCTATGTTAGGCTTGTCAGATAATCAGGTCAAAGTGTGGTTTCAAAACAGGAGAATGAAATGGAGGCAAGAAGCCAGAGAATCTGTTACTAGTACGAACAATGACACACATGATCTCGAGGAGGAAGAAACTTAGCAAAGCCTCCGACAACTTTAAAACTTATTTAATAAAGACTTCGTGCGCTGCGTCAAAATTTCTGAATCTCATCAGCTGATGGAGGATTGTGTTTTACACCAAAGCCGTGAATTTCATGTGTTCATGAGTTAACTGCTCTTTTCCAACATTCGGGAATTCTAAACATTAATTATAACCTGGCCATGACTTATTTAAATTGTCTTTTCAATTTGAAAGATGAGTTAGATTTATTAACATTGCCATGGGGACAATAAAAAAAGGGTTTAGCTGCCTCTGCGTTCGTTGCACTTTTAAAGACTGTCGTTACGACTATATTTAACACGTCGTTTAAATATTCAGAATGCAGGAGTCTTAGTCCGTAGTTTTACGACAGATAAAAACGCCCTACATGCTATCGAAGGAAATAAAAATTCTACATACCCAATTCAGCTGTGCCTCGTGCATGATTGCACACGCGAAAGCCACTGCATACGTTTATTTACCAACTAGCTTCCACAATCCTCTCTGTTTCTCCCTAACTTTTCTTGAGGGGGAAAGGGTGGGAACCTTGGGTTCGAGGTTGTCTCTTATCCGTATGAAGATGAGAAATTAATAGAACAGAGGGAGGATCGTGCAGTTGGTTGGACGTGTTAATTTAAAAAAAGCTTACTATCACGGCCAGTCAGTCTTTTATTCATAGCCAATATTTGCATATTACTACAGTTTATCTATAAACATGTCCACTCACACATACGATGGTCCGCCTGTGATAAAACACCGCCCTCAATTGAACGCTGCAGATGAAAGCAAAATTAGCTATAAAAGTCGGAATCAGTCAATTTGATGAGGCGTTTAAACCAGAAATTTACGAAGAAATTACACATCGGGTGAAGCTCTTGAACGTACTAGTTCCTGGTTGTAAACATCACAAACCAGAATTATGCAGTTCTATCCATTAAAGAGGCCAGATATTGAAACTTTCAGTTGCCATGTTTCTGTTGTGCATATTTTTGAGACTTTTTACCGAATGGATGTCACTAGCTGACGAAAAATGATTTTATACGATGCCGGCCAATTAGGCATGCAAAAAAAGGCCATGAGTAATTTTAGGATGAGGAGGGATCAGTTTTGGAGAGTTGTCCACATTTCCTATTATCAATGGACTAGCTAACACTTTCACCATGACAAAAATCGAACACAAAGCGGCCATGGCTCAATAATGCGTAAAAATTTGCAAGCAAAAGATTCTGAGATATGAAACCTTACTTGGGTGAATGTAAGCCTTTTCCTCTTTTTTTGCACATTTTACATATCGGTAGTTTCATGACTGAACTCATGAAGTTTAGTTGCCTCGAAGATACGGTATAACTCGAGAGTGCTCTCGGATCTGACTTTAGATAGTTAGACGGCAGGCATTTGGCCTCAACAAAATCAGAAGTCCTAATTCAAATATTAAGTATTAAGCCTTAGACAGTTGAGAGGTATTAGGCTCAACACACAACCTCTTTATCTATAGAATGCGTTACAGTAAATCGGTCAGCGTTTAACCACACCTCTGGACATTCTTCGTCACCTTACACCACATAGAAACCAGCGGCGCGAAAAGTCAGAAACGGAACCTTTGTGCACGTAAAATAACGTTTGCGGATTTTTTAATTTCTCTCAATGAAAAGTCCACCAGATTTGAACAAAATGAGAAATTAAAGCTGTTAGAGATGGATGGCGACGGATCTACCACAGATGACGATTCAACAGAAGATGAAGAAGACTCAAAAACAGCTGATACTGAATCAGGAAAAAGTGTAAACAACCCCAACGCTCAAACAAGAGGGTTAGTTAGAGGTTTTAAAAAAACTATTTTTTTAAGTAAACTTTCCAACTTAAAAATTAATAAGATCGATAATTAGAACTGAAGTTACATTTGTAAAGTTCGTCAATTCTCATTATTTGTCACATCAGTCAGATCGATGTTAAGATTGATGAGAGGAATGACAATGGCGCAAACTGCTCAGCCTTGAATGATGAAGGGTTATCGACAGCTACATCAGGTTTGAAATTTCTTCGATTTAATTGTATGAGGTAATTTTTGTCGTTTGTTTTTCAGTCATTATATACATTTCTAAAACTAGCCTCTTGTGGCTCTCTAATATTACATGCCTTGACCTTGATGACTTTGTAAGAAAAGTAACAACAGTCAGAGAGAGTGATAGCTTATGGGAAGTAAGCATTGATGATAGGTAGTCACATACTGAGGGCCCATATTTGACTTATTAGTTTTTTCCAAGGATTCTAGAGGCTGAAACTGTTTGTTTGATCATTGGAACAATGCATCTACAGAGTATTTTGGTCAAGGTTAAAAGAAAGCTTGTGGAATCATTGACTATTACAGCACACAATAAGGTTCTCACAGAGATCTTAAGGTCCACTGCTTACTATGCACATTTCCACCCTGCCTCCTGCCTCCTGTTACCATTGAAAAATGACCCATGTTTGGTAAGATTGGATGTGAGCTAGATGAACAGGGTGGTCAAGTTTCAGTACACTAATAAACTTTCTGAGTACAATGAGAAAAAATAAGAAAACCAAAATTATCCCAAACCTCTATTGTTTAGTTTTTGTTCCTTGAAATATCTTTTTCGTTGGAAATGTTTTGAGGTGAGTCATGGTACTTAGTGAAAAACAATACTCAAGAAAAGATGAGTTTTAAGAATGAGGAATCAAACCTCAGACCTTTGGATTCCATCCTCTAATGCTCTACCGCTGAGCCACAGAGACTCTACAGTGAGCGAGGTCTTTTACAAAGTTCGTATGACATGCATCCTGCATACTTCTAGGATCAGCAATGTTGATAGCGTAATGTTTGTAGATAGAAATAGTAGAGATGGTAAGTTTTGGGCTTGGAAAAGAAATAAGAAAGATGTTTTTTGCCTTGTCACACACATGGGACGAAGAAAAAATTCTTTGTCCCCATGAGGAATCAAACCTCAGACCTTTGGATTCCGTGCTCCAATGCTCTACCACTGAGCAACAGACTCTACGGTCAGTGAGGTCTATTACAAAGTTCATATGATACATGTCCTGCACAATATTTCACATAGAAAGTCAGTATTTGTACATAAAGTAAGCCTTATTTTTGTGTACTAGGGACAGTTTGTTGGGCTTTATTTTAGAACATATTGCAACTACAAGTAGGCCATTGATTTTGAAGTCTTTATTAACCTATCAATTAGTCATTGAATCAAAGACCATTTCTTCTGAGTCATTCACCTGCCAAAGGGGGCTCATTACCTTTAAACACCTCCATATTAAAACATGAAACAGTTGTATTCTGCCGGAAAGACTTGATGCTTCTGCTTCAAGTCCCTCATCCTACTCCTTCAAGGTTCAAATTCCTGTCCCCTGGGCATGGCTGACAGTCATATGCCCATGTGTAACCCAGGGGGAGGGGGAATGTTTAAGCTTTGAATTGATTGGCACAATATTAGTGAGAAAGTTAAAAACATCTCGTAAGAACACCAAACCATGCAATTGATTGCATTTCCCACTGTTTTGTTGTCCTCTGGGAACTGATATTTTATCTATTGCAAAAGAAAATTGTGGAAAAGTCATTGTTAGGTATGATCATATGGCTAGCTACAACTGTACAAGTGCACATGGGCAATGAAAAATTTTTTAATCATTTCACAGAAGCTTATATTATTATTAACTCTGTGAATTTTTTAATTAAAATTTTTTTTTTAACCTTCAAAGTGAATTCTAAACACTGTCCTAAATTGTATTGTGAAAGAAAATTTTTATAAATGTGTAAAATTAACTGCCCCTTTTCTAGATTTTAAGTCCTTTACAACAGAGGACACTACATTCTTTACTCACCTGAAAGGAAATGAAGCTGAAGAAACCATGAGGTTGGTATTGGGTAATTTCTAAGAAAATAATATTGTAATACATGTACCTCTAAGCTCAACCTTTTTTCAAAGTCACTACATAAGTATTTGGCAACCTAAGGTCATATAACTGTTGCCAGAAGTAAAGTGACACAGTTTAAGTGAGACCTGACCTTAACATGCTGAAACCAATAAAAGAGGCTTATCTTTACATGAAAAAGCAATGAAACATTAATGAGGGAGTGAATAGGAGTAAGCAAATGTGCAGATTGGCTGTGATTTGAAGCTGTTTGCAACTGACACGGGGATTTGTAAAAAAGGTACATGTTCCTTGAGCTTTGTGTGTTAGCTAAACAATTTTTGAAAAATTGTCCACACCCTTTTTAAAGGACCTTCTACCAACTGTAGGGAGACTTTTTTTATCTCTTTTATTTTACATTTTTAAACAATTTTTTAAACATTTTTTTTTTAAAGAAAATTTTAAACTCTATTAGTGAGCAGCACTTTGCAATCAGTTACAAAAACTGTCTCTAGAGTGCACTTCATTGGTTTAGTTTTAAATCTTCAATAAAACATTTCTGATTATTGCTGAGCTTTATCACAAGCAAAATACAAGATGCTGGTCCAAATCATTGATGAAAATTGCAAACTGCTGCAATAGCAGGATCTGCAAATTCTGTCAGAATCCTGGCAAAAATACTGTCAGAATCCCCTGATCCGTTTGCTTACTCACCCCCCTCTTAAAGATAAAATTAACAGATAAAGCCTTAATCTGAAAAAAAAATTAAATACTGTAAGGACCCCTGAACAATGAAGTGCCTGTATGAAACAGTGTTTCATTACATCAACTTTTAAATGAATGCAGAGGGCACCTACAGATTAATTAAAAAATTGTTCTGTGTTTTACAATTCTTACTTAGATTTAAGTATGGCAACTATGAAGCAGTTACCAAAAGTCCTCAACAGGAAAAGGCAGATTTGAGATCAAAAGGAGGTATTAGCAGTCTTCAGTAGTTAGGCAACTTATGTTTACATCAGTGCTCTTTTTAGAGGGTGTCATATTTCTACTTCACCCTTGAATCAAAAGAGAGTTGTAGAGCACATTTTCTATTAGAGTTTAGTAGAATTGAAATTGTCAATCTCATGTTTGACCTGCAAGCACAAATTTTAGTCTTGATTGATGTAACTTGTACATCTACAGACCAGAACTGGGAGAGGTGATAAAAGTGAGTTAGAAATGTTGGGAATATTTACAAGTGATTGATAGCATATTTGAAATAAGCTTGATTGTAGATGTACAGTACTTGAATGTAGATGGTCATTATTGACCAATTAAAGAGAAAGGTGTTTAAATATCCATTTCCTTTTAATGTTTTAAACCATTTTACCAAATAGATCATATGCAATCAAAGACAAGGAGCAGAGGGAAAGGTATTGATTTTACAATATGTGTATTGTATTGTTACAATTATATTTTCCAGCTTGGAAGAATATCCATGTCCTCTTCAAGGAATTGCCAGAGACAATCGTCTTAAACAATTGTTTCTGAGAATTCTAATAAAATTTTTTGATCTCTTGAACACTTCACGGTAGCAATTTTTAAAATATTGCTCTCCTCACTTTATTTTCACTACATGGTCAGAACTTTCTTAACCAACTTGTTTCATCATGTGTTCAATTATTCCTAAAGAAATCAATTCATTTTACACTAGAGTCAGTTTATTTCAAGATTTGAAATAAAGAAAGAAAGAAACAAGACTAATTGTAAGGATAATGAGACAGGTTTCAAATGGTTGATAGACAAATGTTGATATCTGTACCGCATGAGAACATTTGTAAGAATCACCAAATTTTACGGAGGATCATGTCCTTTGGGACACCTCCATTCATGGGACACAAACAAGGGTCCAAAAAAGTGTTCATATAAACTTTTTGTTTCTTACTTATGACAAATTACAGACACCTCTATTCAGAGGAAAGGGACACTTTTTGTGGGTTTCAAAGTCTGGTGTTGACCTCCATACAGGAGACAACTGAGCCAGTCACTCATGTCTACAAGGCAGCTAAAATTGCTATTGTTCCTTGGTATCTTTGTAGAGATGGAAATAATCTCTCTATTAAAATAGAAGATTTGAAACAGTAAAATATGATTTAATTAGTTGTTCCAGTTACCAAGATGTACTCAGCAAACTCTATTATGTGACTGTGTATAGCACCAACAAAAAATCAATGTATACACAAGATTGCAGACATTTCTGTTAATCATATTTATTTCATACATCATATGGCTGCTTGAATTGACATCTATAGGAGTTTCCAAGCCAAAATAATAATGGGTTGGGGTTTTTTAGTTAATCATGAACAAAAGACCAAGTTAGTCTCCATATTCAGTGGCCACTTTCTCTGGTCCTTGAGGTGTCCCCTCAGTGAGGGTTTTACTTTATTTAGTACCTTTTGGGAACCAAGTCAATCACTCACCTTTGAGTTAAAGTTTTAAGAGCATTGAAGCCCTTCGGTTTTACTCATTATAAATTATTCATTAATTCAATATATTTTTAACAGGGAAATTAAATGTTTCTGTCCAGTCTAACAACAAATCACATGGTAGGAGGACTTCAGTAAACAAGAAAAACAGTTCCTCTGTCATTCAGAATGTAGAGGAGGAATGCAAAATAATAAAACACAGCAGAAATTCTGCTAAATCACCAAGCTCAACAGCAAATCCAGGAAATACAAGTTTTGAGAAGGCTAAATTGAAAATCAGTGAGAGAAATGAGTCATATGTGGATAATGAAATGCTAGCAGATGGTAAGCTATTCAGAAAAAAAACAACTGGATTGGCTCATTGTTTATCTTTATGTTTAGTGTTTGTTGTGTTTATCCTTATCTTTGGTGATAAACTCATCCTTCATGGACAATGCATCTAACATAAAATCTACATTAGTCATGTAGGAAGAGAATGAAATGCCTTCATTGATAAACCTACCACACCCCTCCCATTCCTCTGAATTTAACAATAATGAGGAGAAAGTTTCAATCTCAGTCTTAAGTCACCTTCTCAGCTATCATTGTTGTTCTATTCAATGAAATTATCAGTACCTTCATGCCTGGTTTGAGTGCTATATTTTGGTGGTGCACAGGCAGCCCAAGCTCCAGCTGTGAGATGATAGTCATGCAGAATAAGAGTCATGGCCAAAATATGAGTTTGTATGGGAATATTTACAACTGCTCATAGGAGTAAAACTTGAAAATACAGTCAATCTTTCAATGAAAATACCTCACCTTACTTTCATAGTGCACAGCTTGTTTTCTGACCACTTACTTTGAAAGAAAGACTTTCTCTTAGGAGTAGTAAACCTAGAAATGGATAACTAGCTAAAATTGCTTATTTTCAACATAGTAAGCGGCCAGACAACAAGAAATGCTCTGTGGAGGTAAGGTTAGGTATTTTTATTTCCTATGAGTAGTTGTGAATAATCCCTTACAGACTCTTATATTTTGTAGCAAGGCCCATGGGAAGTATGAAGTAAATGCTGTGTTTTGATTGGTAGGCAAGATGGGCCCATCTTCTCCACTTGGTATTGCCTGCTCTGATCCATTGCAAAAAAAAAAAAAAGGGCATGGAGGGGACTTGAAAGTTCATAACTGTCAGACTATGTCAGCGATGAAGTCACAAAAAGTGGCAGAAGACAGTCAAAACAAAGAAAACATGAACAAGGTTCTTGGGTTTATTGTGCTACAAACACAGTTGTCTTTCTTTCCTGGCTCTCAATTCATTTAAACAAGTCATTCTTGATTTTTACTAAAGCAAAATCTTTTTGCAATATGAAAAATCCTTTATTGTCCAAGCTTGTTGGTTTAAGATGGCTGGATATTAGCCTTGTTCTCTTTTGGCCTTTTTATGGACGTTGACTTCATCTTGGTACATAGAAATGTAAGGAAAAGAACTTGGCCAATATCAAGTCATCTTGACCTCCCACTTGGTCAATAATGCATACATGTATGCAATGCTTACTGATGTTCAGGAATATTCAACAATTATTGTACTTGTATTTTCATGTTATTATAACAGGTTTTGATGATCAAGACATGATAAGACCATCTTTCACAGAGCCAGCCTTGGGTCCTTCAGTACCTTTTATTTTGTCCAAACCTGGAGTTGTTCCAGTGATTCAGGTTAGCATCATCATGAGAAAATATTATATACAATAAAGTCAGATCCCAAAATCCATTTGTTAAATACTGAAAGTACTGCACCATCCATGGGCAATTCCTTTCCAAAATAATCACCCTCTCAATTCCTTCAGACTGTACCTCTCTTCCCTAGATGTACCTCATTCTAAGGGTGAGCACTACTTTACTATTACTTGGAACCCACAAAGGTTTGCTTTTGACCTTTTAAGGAGTTTTTGTTTTCTTACTTTACTCCCCTTAGTTTTGTTGAGTTTTACTAAGGTATTTAAATATTTTATTATTGTTTTTTGGAGTTAAGTGGACATTTGTTTATAATACTTGTCTGTCTGTTGCCAGGATGGTGTTCATTTCAATATTCTTCCACTAGGCAGGGAATACTTAAGATTTCTTTTTAATGATATTAAACCATCCGTTGGTTGTGGTAAGAGAAACGAGTGAAGGACAAATATGGAAGTAATTAGTAATTTGGCTGAGCATGTGGGGCCAGGTTGATTTAAATTCAGACTACAAACCTCACATACATACCCTTGAATTATACACACTCCATCTTAAGTCTTAATATGCTGGTCATAACTTAAAATTTGGTGAAATTACAAAACTGCTACAAATTACCTTTTTATTTATGCTAACAGAAGCTTGGTTTTTTTCTACCAAAAAAGTTTGCTCCACTTCCCTCTCTTTCTAAATCAACAGTATTCATGATTTTTAAGAGCTAAGGGAATTTCTTTTTTACCACAAAATTTTCCTCTCAGATTTAACCAGTTCTGGTGCTGCATCAACCAAATTAAGTAATAAACAGTGCTTCTTCAGATTTGAACTTTTTGTTATTGACTCAATTAATTTAGAGATCTTGTTATGCCTCATGCCTTATTTTCAGATTTAATGTGTTTCTTATTGTACCATGTACTTAATACTCCTTGCAAAGTAATTATGTAAACGACGAGGCATTAAAGCTGGCTGTTTTGGGCAATTTTGAGCAATGAATCTTCCCTTTTTGTGGTAATGCCACACTTATTCATTCCATCAAAGCCTGAAAATCTCTAGATACACAGGTTAGAATTTCATGACTTCATTATTTCCCTCATCTGAATAGACAATTGCACATCTTTTACCAGATATTACTAACGAAGATTTTTTCCAGCAGATTCCAGCAACAATCAATTGCTATTTGCGGCAATATCAGAGAGATGGAGTCAGCTTCTTGTTTCAACACTACTCTGAAAATACTGGCGCCATTCTTGGAGATGACATGGGTTTGGGTAAAACGGTTCAGGTAAGAAGTTTATCTTAATTACCTCAATTACCTTATCACATAATGAAACCAGGTAGGTTTTTTATTGCTGAACTAATCCTAATTCTCTGAGGTAACTTCTTGAGAAAATTTCTTATTTGAATTTTGGAAAATGAAATCATCAGCGTTACTAAATTAGTGTTTAGCTACACTGTACTTGCCTTGGAGGAAATAAATGTGCCGTGTATATTCTCCTGATTGTATAATTTATGAAATCAAAAGCATAAAGTTGTAGTAAAACTTTGCTCACGAAACAAAGGTGATTGCAGATAGGTTTTGCAAGGAGAAGTACCAACTTGGTCGGTAAAAGCATTGCTTTCCATTTCCCCAAGAATTATATAAAGTAACATTGCAATTCGCTCTTTTATTCGATTTGGCCGCACGCTTCCACCCACAGAAGTGGTAAACGTTTAGTTTGTCTTCACAAAGAAACGTAGTGGATTTAGAAGGGAGAATTGCAAACTGATTGTGAGCTTATTTGTTTTGCAGATAGACGTAAGTTAAAGTCAAATTTTGTGCTAGGAAATTCTCACCCTTTTTTGAGATTGTTGGAGTTCAATATTATTCGTCCAAAATCTTAGGAATCTTAATCTTAGCATTATTACTTACTCAGTAATATTGAAGACTCAAGTCTTTTTCAGTTTCCCTCTTAAAATTTCGCAAATTTTTTCCTAAAATATTTATAAAAGCAAGAGAACAAGGTACCCGTTTATTTTCCAGGCATGTTTTATAAAAGAAAAAAAACAAGCCTTGTTTAGTGTCCCGATCGTATGACTAATAATGGATCATTTCACTTATGATTTCCAGGTTATTTCCTTCATTTCTGCCATTTTGGGTAAAACTGGAACCAAAGTTGATATATTCCGCAAATTCATGGATAGAATGGCGCATGAAAAACAGGTTAGTTTCATATAATAGAGGGGATATGCAAAAACTGATTCGATCAATCTGAGACTGAAGGGTGAAAATCTAAACAAATTCCCTTTGATTTTCTTTACAATGCTCTCCCTCATTGGTTAAAAAACGCGCCTACTTTATATTTTACCGATAGCATTTGTTAATGTTCCTCCGCTTACTGCCGATTGCGTTAAATTAATTTGTGTTCAGATCGGTTAGATTCCTCAGTCTTTTCGCGCTTAACGCTGTATTCTTGTCTTCCCATTAGTTCTGATTGCTTGAGTTTGGTGCCTTTGCTCTCAATTGCCTTCTGCGTTCCAAAGGATCCTTTTTGTCAACAAGACACAACCGATGTGTTGTTTAATCTCTTTAAAATGTCCTTCTTGAAGTAAGAGTAAGCCAAGGGGTTGACAGCAGACCTTTAACACCAAGATAGGGATTATGAATTCGTGATCATTGCATGAATTTTGACCAGAAGCGAAACTAAATAATATGATGCAACGCAAATAAATTCCTTTGCAAAGAAGAAATATCCCTGCTATTATTCCCATCATTAAAGCAGCAGCTTTTTCCTGAGGTTTGAAAAAAAACCTGATGGCTGAAGCGTAACTGTTTTGCTACTTTCAACTGCGATCGGTATCATCCAAGAAAAGGAAATCATTTGAATGAAGTGGCGATTCTTCATAAAACTCAAGTGTTTGAAAGGCTTCACGACAGCCATGAGGCGATCAAACAGCACAAATTTATTACGGATGCGTTCGCAAAAAGGTTTCTCGCAAAATTCATCACAGAATGTTCTGGGGTGCACCCATCTAACTTTTAGCTGGTGAATAGTGACTGCCATTCCGACAGAAATCAGCGACCGCAAGTGAAACAGTATTGAAGAAAAGCCACAAACAACCATTACAACGTTTCTAATCACTGAAGTATCAATCTGGATTTTAAACTTGAAGATATACATCTTTTACCGACATTATAGACTTTAAAGGTTATGACTTGCAGACCGAGTGCAACGAGGTCCGTACGTCATGACCGAGAGCCAAATATTTCCAGTCCGGCCCTCCCACTCGGTCAGAAAGCATTTTATCATATGATCAGTAAGTGTTGAAAATTTCAAAATTTTATTCCAACCCTTATAGGACGTACTTATATAAAAGAGAAGGGCACGCATGTTTTTTCTACGGGATTGCGCCCGCGGGGTCTTACGGGTCATTTGATGATTGGTTTTATTTGTTACATAAACCTCGCACGATGCTGTGGATATTCCTGATCCAAGTTACGTGTTTGAAGTTTCTTCTCTGTATTAACCTAATCAATGACCTAGTTCACCAGTGAGTTCTCTGTAGCTCAGTGTGTGTCGAAGGTCTGAGTTCGACGTGTCGAAAGAGAGATTGTAAGGTTGAGTTTGCTGGTTACTTTCTTTATCCCACAAAAGAGTTCATAATATAACGTATTTCTCGATGGATCTATTCGCCTTTTTGCAAAAAAAAAAAAAAAAAAATGCCATGATATATTTGGATGTATCCAGCTTAGTGACGTCTCTTGTAACTCTTTATTTTATCTTTTTTTGTTTCAAATAGGAAAAAGTCAACCCAGAGACAGGTACCTTTCTGGTTGTAAGTCCAGGCTCCGTCATGTTCAATTGGAGGGATGAGCTAGAAACATGGGGTCATTTTAAGACGGGTCTCTTTCATGGTACCACTAGGGAGTCCACTTTAGATAGGGCCTCTAGAGGGCGACTAGATGTAGTTCTGACTACATATGAGACCATGAGAAATTACTTGGTGAGTTTATGAAGCCTCTTCTCTTGATAATGAAGCCGAAACATTTTAACTCCTGCGTTTGCAATCCGTGTGAATCTTCCCCATCCTTTCAGAAACTAGTTTCAATTTCGCGTATTCTTACTGCTGTTGGGCTCGTTTAATCGAGAGAGATGTTTTATATGTTATTCTGTTGTCTAGCAGTTTTCAATAGCTCTTTCATGAAACGCACGAAATAACGTTAGGTTATATATTTAGGAACTTACCAAGTTCTAAAGTGAAGTGGTCTCAATTTGTTTATTGAGGCGGAATTGAAGTAAGAATTCGGTTCGCAACAGTTGGAATGTGAAAACCTAGTTCCGTATCGGAATGGATGGAGAAGCAATCTGAATTTCCAAACCGACAAAAGCGTGGAAAGTATAGTTAAGTTCTTTTTCCTTTCTCTTTAGACTGATTTGAACCGACTCAAATGGTTAGCTGTAATCATGGACGAAGTCCATCGCCTCAAAGATCCCAAGGCTCAAATAACTGTGGCTGCTAAAGCTCTCAATGTGAAAAGAAGGTAACCCCACCTAGGAATTACCGTTACCTGAAATCATACAAATATCGATAATTCTGTCACACTTTGTCAAGGGACCTTCATTGCAGGGTGGTATTGTCTTAGTACTTTCTCAAAGTGGGTCACCTTTATTGATGAGATCTTGGGACGCAATGCCAATTTGTTGAGCATTAAATTATGCTCTAACAATTTGATTATTTGCCGACATTATAGTTGAGAAAAATTGTGTGAAAGGATGTCGTACTGTGTCTTGCTGAACAATTCGTTGTAGTTCAACATTGTTTTGTATAATTGATTTCCTGTACATCAGATATGGCCTCACAGGGACCCCACTTCAGAATAAACTGGAGGAGTTCTGGTGTGTGTTGGACTGGGCAAACCCAGGAAGTCTGGGATCAGCCAAAAACTTCAATCAGGAGTTTGGCAAACCCATGCTGAAAGGACAGACTTTTGAAGCAACTAAAAGAGAACTGGCTGTGGGAAGAAAGAGTGAGTTCTTCAAGTTTACACCTCATATTGTTGGCGGTGGCAACTTAGCCCGAAAGTTTTGTGGAAATCCACTTATTTGGCGAATTTGCGATATTCAGTATTTTGCGGGGAAAAAATCCGTTTTGCGATAACCGAAAGTTCTGTAGGACACTAAGTTTTGTGATAATGTAGTCTAATCGTATGGATAAGTGTAGTCCTGAGAAGGACTGTTGCCGGTAGTGATGACAGACGTTTCGACAACCTGAACGAAAGTTATCATCAGAGTCACGTGAATGGTTGTGGTTAGTCGAATGTTCTAAATCCAGTTCGTTTCAACTGATTTGTAGGTTTTGCCGTGACGATATTGGGTGTAAGACAAAAGTGGCGTAAGTTGGTCGAGATTGTTGTGTTGCGATCGGTCGGTTAGGTGGTCCAACAGTCTTTCTGAGGATTACACTTACTCGGACGATCAGATTGCACTATCACATGTAACCCCCATGAAGTTCAAACCATTTACTGTACACTAACTTTTGTAGTTTTGGGGATAGCAGTAGAACATTGATGAGGAACTAAAAGCTGTGCAGTCATCTCGTTTTCCTGGTTAAATTAGCGTGCACTTTAGAATCTATCGATGTAAGACACATTTCACTGAATTTTTCAAAGTCTCAAGGGGTAATACGTTCTTCTTGAAACGATGACGCAACAGCTGAAGCAAAGAGAAGCCTACCTTTATCCCTTGCCTACTCCTTGGAGTGTTTTCATGTCTTCTAATACTTATGCGGCTTATTATTTTTATTTATTATTTTCTTCGGTAACCCATATTTACGGCTCAAGGACAATCATCAAGTCTTACTTGCTTGCTTGCATCGACAGACTTTGTGCTGATGGGCTTTTGATAAAAGAAGACTCCATAAAACCTAAATCAAGTTCGTTCTTCGCAACTTGAGTGACTAAGTCGGTACAAGTGTTCAGTTAGTTTTCCGTGATCTTCTCGTGTCGCCCGATCTAACGAGATCAAAATTGACAATCTTATTTCCAACACTCCGACACGTTCTTTATCGAAGGGTTTTTGAAGACGGGATTAACCATTAAGTAGCAAACAAATATTTCACAAGGAGGCCTCCTGTCGCTCAAAATGATTTTCAGGAAAATAAAAAATAAAAAAAAATGACACGCAAAGACTAAGATTAAAATCAATGGAAAAAATCTTAATTAAGGAACAAGGTAGGAAGAGGTTGGTGAGAGACTTTTTTTTACCTCTTGTTTAAAATTATTTTTGGCATCAATTTTCTTTGTTACAACCAAAAAGTCTCCCGAGGAGTTTCACCGCTGCCCTTTTCAATCTTATCTTGTACTTGTTATATTTTACCAAGGATCAAAAGATCTTCAAGATAGAATTGGAAGATGGTTTCTTCGAAGAACGAAAGCGCTCATTGCAGATCAGTTACCTAAAAAGGGTAAGGTGCGGGAAAGAGTTTACCTAGGTCACGTTGCTGGTTGGGAAGTTGCTACGTTTACAAGAGTAAACAATTTTGCATTTTTGTCTGGAGGTAAGAGGCGCTGGCTCATTGGTTAGCGTGCTGGACTCCGTTTTGAGAGATCTGGCTCCTAGTATAAATGGGTAATGGGGACGCTCATAGAAACCTGCTAAAATGCAGGAGTGACGTACGATAACTAAGTAGTTTCGGCATTTTGTATCACTTAGCTCGTGTTCACACCCTAAATTCAGTATTTTTGTGATGGTGGACAGTTCGCGCTAAACAGTGCTTGGATAAACCTTTGCTTTTGCTTACAAGTTGTCTAAAATGTTCCAAACGATTTTGATACTTCTGCTTTGGGCTATACTAAACTTTTCAACCGTTTTTTTTTTCTTTTTTTTTTTCAAGACGAGGCAGTGGTGTTCTGCCCGCTAACGCCTTTCCAGGAAAATGCTTACCAAACCCTTTTACAGAACCCGGATGTTGAACTGATCCGCAAGAAAAACTTTCCTTGTGATTGCGGCAGTGGACAGGATAGAGGCAAATGTTGTTACACGGTAAATTAAGTTGCTTAGTTTTGACAAAACTCTCAACTGAGTCGAAGCTAATCGGTGATTACATTGATTTCGCTTTGCTATGCTGCTACTCTCTTTACTTTTGCCTTTTTGCCTCACGTAACTCGCACCATTTTCTCAATCAATCGGACGGAAAACTTAAACTTTCACTAAATATCTTGTAAACTCGCGTGTTCCCATGTTCAAGGCCGATGGGATGTGTTTTAAGTTCCATTAAGCTTTCTTTAATACCTGTTTACCACCAGCCTTTTTTATTTTTTAGGGTCCGGATTTCAAAATAGCACCGAAACTTGAACTAATTATAAAGGCCTTTCGATCGATGAGTTTTTGCAGTTATTAGCACCAACAGTAAGAAAAAAAGTTGGAATCAAAAAAACTTTAAAAAATTAATTTCGTCATTGTTGTCTTTTTTTTGTCTTTTTTTTTTTTGGCGAAAAGCTCAGCTCAGAGTTTGAGGACATCAAGACCGCAACCATGCGGTTCTTTCAGCTGCTGTTAAAAGTTGCAAATCACCCCGCTTTGTTGGCCCCAACCGTCAGACAATCACTCGACCAGCAAGAAAAGGTACATTACTGTAGATGATGAGCAGATAACTGAGTGGAAGGCAGATGAACATAGGGGGCATGTTGCTAACTGAAGGTGGCAGCTAGATAAGACTGCAGGTGGCAGCTAGATAAGACTGCAGGTGGTAGCTAGATAAGACTGCAGGTGGCAGCTAGATAAGACTGCAGGTGGCAGCTAGATAAGACTGCAGGTGGCAGCTAGATAAGACTGCAGGTGGCAGCTAGATAAGACTGCAGGTGGCAGCTAGATAAGACTGCAGGTGACAAGTGGGTAACTGAACTGATGGCAGGGTCTCATAGCAGTTTTCAACCCTCACCTTGGACAATTTTTCAAAAACCTTATGTTAACATGGAAACCATCTATCTTCTTGTGATATTTTTAGAGACGATTCACTACCCTTTTTGGCTAGTACCGCTAATGGCCTAACTTAGAAGTACCATCAACAGGCCTTATTTATTCTAAATAAGGCCTGAAAAAGTTCAGGCGTGTACGGGATTTGAACCCATGACCTCTGCGATACCAGTGTACTACTCTACTAACTGAGCTAACAAGCCAACTGGGAGCTGGTCATTATGTTAGTCCGTAATAAACCCTTGAAGTGTCGAATCATTGACTGTAAATATCTGAAAATCATATATGTGAACTGCGGTAACTGTGGTAACTACTATAATTGGCTTTGCAGTTGATTTTTTTTTCAGAAGTTTTACGGAGGGAAGGGCTGTTTAAGGTGTTTAAAGTGATCAAATCGTCGAGGTGGTGGGATTTTAGAGTGGTCCTCTCATTCTCACAATTAACTCATACGATTTGAGAGTTAAGGTTATTTAATCGTTTTGCTTGATTTGCCTTCCGCAGGCCAAAGACCTTTGTTTGCGTGTATTCGCAAGATATCCAGAATTTTCCGGATGCACAGAAATATCGTCGTTTGAACTTTTATCAGACCCAAAGTACTGTGGAAAAATGAAGGTACTTGAAAAATTGATGAAGGTTTTTCAAGAAGAACGCAGCAAACTACTTCTCTTCTCAAGATCCACGCAGGTAGGTAGAGTAAGAACGCTGTTCATGCCACTTAAGTGGAATAATTCGTTCGGAATATCGGAAAGCTAGTCAAGGTTAATGGATGGATATCATATAGTACAGCAAATTAATTTAGCTTCAACTCTCCTCTTGTCAATTCATCTTTTGGTTATTTACATTCATCCGCTGAAATATGGGTAAAGAAAATAAAAAACGGGCTTTTCTCATCAATGACGGACCATACAAAGGCCCATGTGCCTGTAGTTTCCTGAGCTTTTCCCCGTTTCTGCAATTCAAAGCGACTGGTAAACCTAGAAGATGCCAGTCCAGCATGCATCTGCCTCCCTCTGTACCGGTTTGCCAGTTTCCTGTTTTGCGTTTTCTCCTTGACTGAGAGAGGAATTGTAATAGTAAAATATTTTGTCCAAGAACACAACACCATAGTGCTGATCAGGAAAAAAATGTATGAGTTTGTTCCAGGTTCCGAAAGAACATAAAAGCTGTATATCCAAATGATGTATTTTCTATAACATTGTTTCAGCTGCTTAACATCTTAGAGGAGTTTGTAATCAGTAAAGGACTGGTGTACAGTCGTTTGGACGGAGGAACCAAGCCTGCAGACAGAACCCGTTTGGTACATGAGTTTAACGTCGACCCAAATATCTTTTTGTGTCTTATCTCGACTAAAGCGGGAGGACTGGGACTCAACTTCACCGGAGCTAATATTGTTATAATATTTGACCCCAACTGGAATCCGTCCAATGACTTACAGGCACAGGACAGGTATTTAGATTTATTTAGATTTAGAGTATGATTAGCGTACAACTAGGAGTGGCCAAAAGCTTAATATACTTCTTTTTAAAACAGCCTCAGGACAAAGAAAATTTTATTACAGAACTATTGGACTTTGGAACAATTTAGATCCCTTTTTAAAATCAAGCCGTTCGGTTCAAGTTTTTAAACGCATCTTAAAGAATAAGCTTTTAGATAATTTTGTAAATACTCCCTAAACTTCATTTATTTTAGTATTTTTCTCGACTACAAAGTTTAGATAATGTTGTAAATGTTTCTTAAATTTAATTAATTTTAATTGTGTAGTTATTAGTCACTTTAGTAATTTAAATAATTGTTCTTGAAAAGCCCCATTGGGGAGGTAACAATAAAGTATGTATGTATTTGATGGCATGTTTGCTCTGGAGCAGTTTAGACTGGGCTGAAAGCAAAGTAATCACGGCAGACAACCATAGCACATGAAAAGGGTGACAAGCAGTCAGTGATAACTCCCAGCTAAAATCAGCTGACAGCCTGAGGCGAACTAAAGAACAACTTTACTTTTGGATTTGATTTCGGCCTTGGGCAGTTTCTGATCCAAGAGTTACTATCGGACAGGTTTTTTGTGCTACTTGTGGCGTCTATGATTCCCAAGTGGTAGAATTTGTCCTTTTTTTTTCGCAGGGCATATCGCATTGGACAGCGAAGAGATGTGAAGGTCTATCGCTTAATATCTTTGGGGACAATCGAAGAAATGATGTATCTTCGACAAGTTTACAAGCAGGTTACTTTCCCTTATATGGCGTTTGTTGGTGGGTCCTTCCAATTTTTTTCCTGCAGACAGGCAAAAAGCATACTTGGTGATACCCCCCTCAAGTATAAAAAAAATAAACTTAGTGATAACTCTGGGTGGAGAAAGGGTTGTGAAGGTACAGTATCTTGCTCAAGACCGCAACACAATAGCTCGGCCCCAGCGCTAATCACCAAGGTACAGGGTCTTTAATTCGCAAGTCAGTACAAATTATAGTCTCCTTTCCTTTGATGTAGCAATTGGCCAGTATGGCGGTAGGAGGAACAAACGAGAGGCGATACTTTACAGGTGTTGAAGGTGACAAGGACAAGAAAGGCGAGCTGTTCGGACTCGAGAATCTGTTCTCTTACCGTGCTGAAGGTGCCAGTTTGTCCAAAGATATCATCAGAAGAACAGAGGAGCTAGAAGCTGGATATAAAGTTGCAAAATATGAGTTGACAAACTTCAAGGAATGGGAAAATGCCTTAGAGGGGGAGGTAACAGAAAGAAGTGGCGTTGAATATTTAGTCACTTTTTTGTTGATGCCCTCCATTCATCCGAAACCGTCAAAAATTAAAGCACGTCAATCAGAGTGCTCCTCGATTTGCGTCTATTCGTTATGAAGCAAAATATGTTTTCTTTTTTAGGACAATAACAGCTCTGCAAACCTGAAACTTCACGACGATCCTTATAACATTGAAGAACTCGCGTCACAATTTGTTGATGATCAGCAAAGAACGTCATCTCGAATCACTTCAAAGAAACAATATTCTGAGAACCGTTTTAAAGGTATGTCATTGAAGAATAAACTAATTGAAGACCATAGCGGTTTTGCTGAACACTACGGAGATTCCTTTAAAAGAATGGAAAGTAAGGGTATTCATGATGATGAGAAAGGCATTCTTCACGAATTTGACAACAGTCAATTGTGTTCAAATGACAATGACGATTTTCTTGAAACGAAAACTCATAAGAACAAGTTTGTCTCCAAAAATACGAAAGCTAAGAGCTCTCTGGAAAAAATTGAAACGAGGAAGTGCGTATCTGTTGAGCTGTTCCTCGGATTAGAAGACGATAACGGAGCAAATAGCTCATCGCATAACTTCACGAAAGTCAAAGAAAAAGCAAGCGTTTCCTGCACGAGAATTCCTGCTTCGATCGAGGAAGAAAGTTCCGATGTTATCCATCCTACTCCGAGTTGTAAACGTGGATCTAAATCGATAATAACCAATACAATCTGTGCGGGAGATTCAATCGACCAAGGATCATGTAGTAAAGAGAAGAAACAAAGTGAGATGAGGAATTCATCCAGAACGTCTTCGTCAAGTGGAGAAGATGACTCCAACGAAGGCTTGTTCTTCAAGCGTAAACGAAAACAATCAGTACGATTTTTCAGAAAGAGGAAGCATGCAGAGATGTCGGCGAAAGCTGTACTTAAAGATGGTCAAGGGAAATTTCGAAGGTGAGAGTTCATGCATCCGCCTGTTAGTTCAGGGAATCCGAACCAAACCTATTGTATCGAAATTGTTTCAGCTTGACCCGGCTTTACTTCATTGAGTTTTCTTTATCAAGTGCCATCGATCGTTCTGTCTTCATTTGAAGTGAATTTTGTCCTTGACCCATTCAATATAGTTTTCATTTTGAGGTGAAATTGATAGATAACATGACGGGCGTCTTATTGAGCACCTGGGCAGTATTCCCCTCATACACTCCCCAAGCCAACCCCATTTTTAAACCTTTTGAGGGATTGAAATGAGCTCTTAGGCAGTATCCTTCTCATACGCTCCCCACCCCACCCCCGTTTCCAAACCTTTTGAGGGATTGAAATGAGCGGGGCAGTATCCCCCTTACACTCAACCCCTCCCCGTCCCCTTTCAAAAAAATTTTAAAAGGCTGTAACTTTTTGGCAGCTTTTCGGCGCTATTCAGTCGTCATTGAGTTGTCTCTAGAGCCCCTAAAGCCATGATAAGTAAAGTAATTTTGACTTTACTTTTTTTTTTCTTATTGATAAGATATACAGGACAGAAAAACTACAACAGCAGGGTCGACAACCATCCTGTAAGAGAGGTAAAAAAAGCAAGGAAAGAAAACACGGTGGCAGAAATTCTGGGTAAGTTGTACAGGAACAACAAGCATTGTCAAAGACGCCGAATCACAATACCAGTATGTTGTGTTTTTTTTGAACGACGTTCAAAACCACCATCAACTGAGAGGGAACAAAAAATATTAGTTTGCAAAATGGAAACACATCACAGAGGTGATAAACAGGAATGGACGAGTGAACGATGAAAAAAATTAATAAGGATGGCAAATAAGACATTGAATACAAAAATTGTAGCCAAATTCCTAAAGACTCACAAGACGTAAGGTAGCTCTACTAAGCGCCATGACGTTATTTATCAGTTCTTCGTTTGTTTTACTTTTTGTTTTAATTTGTTTAAAATCATGTGGAATTTGTTTAGAATCATGTGGAGTGCATTACACACACGCCAATCGGCATGTCGTCGGACCAAGTGAAGCAGAGAATCACATGTCAAAACAGGCACTACAAGATGTGTTTGAGCTCAAGCAGTTTTCTCAGCAGCCAGCAAATTGTTTTCCCGCCTGGGAGGTATGCACCCGGAATGTTTCTTTGCCCTAGATCAGTTTGTATGCCATTTTAACAATGTAAATGGATGAGAGATGTCTTCAATATGATTTTTATTCCCAAGAGCACGTGGATATCTTTTCCGATCAACGAAAATTAGAGAATAAATTAATTCCCCAAGCTTGTCGCTGGATCCACGTTGATCTGCGCGGGGGATCTTACAGAGTTTCCCTAGCTTTGCACCCGTGTTTCCGCGCTTTTTGGTAAAATCAGCATTATAATTTTCTGAGTTTTTTTCCTTTTTAGATAAATTTAACTTGAGTGTATTCGAGAAAATATTTTGCAGCAACAAAGCCATTACTTTGAATTCCTTTCATAATCTTGCATCTTGTGATGTAAAAAGCGTCTGGCCTAGCATGTTCTATAAGTCAACGTATCATTTTTCATGAGAAATTTTTTAAGGATAACCTCGTAAGGTATAATGCGTTGCTCTGTATCCTTGTTTCAATCCCTTCAAAATTTCGTCCCACAATTTGATCATCATTGTACTCAGGCCAGCGATGAAAGTGATGATCTTGGTGAGGGCAGTCGCGACAAGCAACCAGAAGCCCTTTGGCGCGCACAACGACCGGAAATGGAGACTAATCAACCCAGTCAATCAATACCGCACAGGTATAATTTCGTGAGAGACTGTTATAGAAAAATGTTTATTATAATTATAAATTTATTATATCCATTTAGAAATCACTGGTGATCCTTGCAATGCGATTGGCTCTCAACGGCGCAATTTATTTACGAATCGCACCATTTTTTGCTCTAATTTGCATCTTTTTCTAAAAAACAACAACCAACAACCAATCAGATTGGCTTGTTTAGAATAAGCGATCAAATTTCAGGAAAATGAAAGACAACTTTAGCAACTTGTTACAAACCAGCTCAATATTGGATCAATAAAATATTTGTACATACTAAAGAATCCTGCATTTGAGCGACTGAATTTTGCGATTTCAAAATGTATGTAACAATGTGAAAAGAGACCGTGTCATGCAATTTTGGTCTGAAATAATACTTGTGATTTTAAATCAAACCTGCGTTGCGTACTCTTCGATTTTGAAATCACGGATTTCAGACCAAACTGCAGATGATAGATGGAGTGAGTTCTTTGTTTAAGAGGAACATGTTTTCTCGAGCTTGGTTTTCTTGTCACGGTCATCATTGTTGTGCTTGGTTACGATATCCACCCACTTCGCAACTTTCGAACTTTTTCGTGTTTTCTTCCTTGCAACTTTACACTTTCAGTCAACGTGAGAGAAACCTTGAAATATTTATATGGTGAGATAAACAAGGACACGGATTGCGAACGACAAAATTTGACTAACTTCTGTTAGGCATCCTAACGTTACATAGATTTATCTTTCTCTAAAGTATGATTGTGCAAAGAAAGGTTATTCTCTCTGTGGTATCTTACGTCAATTATTTTTCTTTTCTTTTTTTTTCCCGCAATAGTGAAATGTTAAGGCCTCTGATAAAATCACTCGTCACAATGAAGAAAGCGAGAAAAATTTTCAATCTTTCTTGTTTCATTTTAGATCAAATCAATCCGCGCGGGACAATGACACCACGATAAAGAGAATTGGAAACAGCACTGTATTTATCGGCTCGACTCCTCGTGGAATCCGTCGGCAACATTTTCAGGAAATGTCGAACGCGTTCGGATTTGTCTCTGAAGTCGACCTTGCCAAAGCTGTCGTGGATTGCAGTAACTGTGAAAGGCGTGAAATGTTGAGGCGCTTTTACGTCCACAAGAATCCAAATTTATCCGATTTATGGAACGTAACAAGAGACTTTTTTGCTGGACGCCAAAACCGAAAAAAGGCCGTTAAGGATGGCGAATGGTCTGTCGCGAAGATGCGGAAAAGGTTGATTCGGGAAACGTCCAAAAGATCGAATGGAAAGTCAAAGCCCCTGCAAACACATTTTCATGGTAAGGACGGGTGTTCTAAGGATAATCTCGAGAGAAGAATTCACCATCACTCTGGGGGGGAAACTTCCCGAAGTAAAAAGCCAAAGCTTGCTATGGCGTTGAGTGGGAATGAAAAGGTCCCGGATGATAGTCGTCTTGAAGACTTTGTAGGGAACAAAGAAAGAACTCATCATGTTGATCGGAGAAACAGAGATGTGCCTCCTGCAGAGGCAGGTCATTCTGTTGGACTTGTGCATGTACCATCGATAGCAACAGCTCCTGATGAAAATTATGTGGCAGAGAACCAAGATTCTAGTTTTGAGAATGACAATCCTCTCGTTGCAGTTTCCATTTTGGATCAATTTCTGATGCACAACTCTTCCAGCTTTGACACAAAACGAAAAGAGGATAATAACAGAGGATTAGATAAGTGTGAGCCATTAAGTTCTAAAAGAAAGGAAGACAAACAACTGGACAATACTGAACGAAAAGAGCCAACTGCATGTAGAACGAAGGCAAATAGCACATCACTACTAGATGAGTTCATTTAGGAAATGCTCAAAGTAGAATTTTACACCAGATTTGATGATTTGATAAACGACTAATAGGTTTCGATCAAGGGTTTTTCGAGTTTTAGAGGTTTTTTTGAGAGGCCAAGGTGGAACTGGCTGTGAATATTTTTTACGGAAACGATACGATTTTATGGTTTGACCCATTGTGCCAATGGTTTTTTAAGCATACACTAAAGACAATTTTTAAAAAACATTCCTGCAACCCCCCAAAATTTAGAGCACACGGGCAGAAGTTATTCGGCCCCCTATAAGTCAGTTTGAAAATAGTTCCTGTGGCCTGATTGGAACTCTTGTCTTTGATGACTTTCGTTGTATCCGTTGCATACACGCCATTATCACAAGCTGCAATTTTCTTAATCTGGGCCCAGTTGTTCAAAGGCCGATTACCGCTAACCCATGGTTAAATTGTATTCCGGGTTTCTTTATTTCCCTATACAAGAGCTCTTTTCAGATACTTTTGTCTATTCTCTGTAGAGCATCCTATAATAAAATTGTAGGCAAAAAGAACTAGACTGAATTATCTTGCACAGCTTTCAGATCTGAAATCAAATTTTATACCAACCCTGGGTAATCTTGACCCAGCTTTGAACAACCCGGCCCGGCCCGTTTTTTGAATGTATTACTTGTTTAATAACTACAATGACTAACTAACTGTTAACTGTTAACTATGTTAACCGACGTATTTTTTTATTACTGGCAATACTCCATATCAGCGAATCAACATCACATCTGTAAACTGTTCTCTTTGGATATCAATCACAACTTCCCCTCGATTAATCACTTCGATAACAACCTCAATTGCTTTCTTTGAGGCTTGAGAGTTACACTAACCATCTCCGACACGAAATCGAGCTCTCTTGGAAACAAAATTTTGACTTTCAACGTTGAATAAGATTTAAAACCATTTTTCGGGCGAGAACCGCTGCGTCGTTAGATAAGACAATCACGGCGTCGGGGAAGAGAGAAGAATTTTTTTTCTTTGTTGCCACACGCAGACTTCATCTACAAACAGACTTACGTCATTTTAACTTGCACAGTTTTTATTTCACTATTTTGATTAAAACCTGTCTGCACGGTAATTTTTTCCACTCTTGCGGCTTTCCTATCTAGCTAATTCGTACTCATTACAAATTTCATGATTTAAAATGTTTGTATGCTGTCCTGTGTAGCCAAAACATTTTACGATAAAATCGGCATAAGGATTTGATTTCATCCATCTGATTTTTATCAACATTTTTGTCTATATGATTAAAATTAAAAATCGTTTTAGTTCCTTTTATATATACATAGATATATATATATATGTTTCAATTATTTTAACCAATCAGTCAAAAATTCTAATTTTATAAATTCATTGTCAAAATTGATGAATAAGTTCCTCCGTCTAGACTTTGGTAAGCCGACAACGTGAGACGTAGATATATCAATCGAACGACCCCGTGTATCTTCAAAATTAATAATTCTAGAACGGTTTGTAATATTTTGATTTGTTACCTTGAGATTTAAAGTAGCTGCGGATACCTTGAGGCCATCTTATGAATACGTGTTTCTTGAATAATCAATTCACTTACATTCTTTAAACCGAAATGTGATGCATCCGAAGTTACTGTACTGGCATGAGGTAAGTTTCTAAGTTTAACGGTTTTTTCATTATTATGCTCAAGATTGCTTTCATATTAGTATTTGTTACGATTTGTAAAAGAGTTATTTAATATTATTTAATATTATTTAATCTATTCATACCATCATCATGTATCTTTTAGACACAGGATTTTTA